TCAGTGATAAGCTGTGGCTTCCAGAAAGTGAGGCTCCATGTGGTCCCTTTAGTAACGTGTGCTGGGTTTTACAAGTGTTCTTTTCCTACAGGAATAGGTTTTGGAGATCGCACAAACACCTTCTGTGGCACCCCTGAATTTCTGGCTCCAGAAGTCCTGACGGACATCTCGTACACTCGGGCAGTAGACTGGTGGGGATTGGGTGTGCTCATTTATGAGATGCTTGTTGGCGAGGTAAGACCTTTCTTTAAGAGGACTTCCCTAAACAGGCTTGTGGCAATAGCACCCAACCACATAAGATAACACTTTGCTGAATGCAGTCAACTGTTAGTACTTAAATTACATTTTACTCATAGTGCTTGCCAAACACTAATTCATACAGTTGTATGCTATTCTCATTCCTATGTAATAGTGAGGAATGGGTGCTATATGAATTGAATAATCAGATGTCCCAATTGCAGTCACCATTCCCTGGAGACGATGAGGAGGAAGTCTTTGACAGCATTGTCAATGATGAAGTCCGGTATCCACGATTCCTTTCATCTGAGGCACTTTCTATAATCCGGAAGGTAATGGGCTTGATGGGTCGCTGAGGAATTTGCATTTATTGTGGAAGTGGATCCAGAGGGACTCTGTTAGGACTGGATAACATTTGTGTGTGTAATCTGGAGCTGCCTGCGCAGACTAAGGAAACATTTAACATTTACACATATTTTTCCTTTCCTTCCCTTTACATAAATGTTATTCTTCTGTCTAAGGATGACTAAGCAGACTTCTTACTGAGGGCTGTTGCTGCCAAGTCTGACATGGAAAAGTGTTGATTCAAGGGCAGGAATGTCGGAATCATTCAGTTTTTAAATGTAACCCAGTAGTCAGGGGTTCACAATTAAGATGAGATGCTTCATGCGGTTTATAGCAGGTACCTTAATGATGTGGGCAAGTTATTTACAAGGAGCTAGGTCTGAGCTATTACTAGCAGATTTATGACCTTGCTGCAAAGTGAGAATGAGAAGATACCGAGGGGTCAGTCCATCTCCTTTCTTTTTTTTCTCTGGAATATGATTTCTGTCCACCTTTGTTCCCAGTGTTTAATTTTGACCTGATATTTTCTGCAGCTTCTTCAGAAATGTCCAGAGCGTAGACTGGGAGCAGGGGAAAAAGATGCAGAAGAGATTAAAATCCAGGCCTTTTTTAAGGTAGGAACTCACTTTATCCCTCCTCCTCATCTCTTGTGCTTGAGCTGAGAGTGATATACTTTCTGTTGGTATGGAGGCATGTTTTCTATTAGTCATCAGTGAGATTTTAGTGGTAGCTTCTATTGCACCTCAGTGCTCTATTCCAGAATGTGTTTCATGTTTGAAATGACATCTCCCAGGAGTGTATTCTGGGATCTATAAGCTCCCAGAACTGGTTTATTTCTGATTGTGCTGCTTCTAGGTATCAATACACCTACCTTGTAAGCCATGAACATCTAATTTCATAAATAATCTTAATGTCAATTTGGTCTGTTCACTTCCTTCTCTTACAGGGAATTGATTGGGATGCCTTGTTGGCCAGGACTCTGAAGCCCCCTTTTGTGCCCACTATAAGAGACCCAACTGACATTAGCAACTTTGATGAAGAGTTTACATCACAAAAGCCCATCCTTACTCCTCCCGAGGAGGTTGCTCTCCTAACCCGTAAGGAGCAGAATGTCTTCAAGGACTTTGACTTTGTCTCCAGGCACCTTTTACATGTTTGACTCGAGCTATAAAAAACATGAACAGATTGTTACCACCTTGAGAGAGCAAACAGAGGACTTGGCATGAGCAATGGAAAAGTCAACAGATCTACTAGATCTAGTAGTAGTGCTGATGACCCTGGGATGAGAGTGATCCACAAGCTGTGTTAACCTCCTGTGGGTTTTTTTCAGCCTCCTTTGCTGGAGGGATACTGGATGTCAGTTGTTTTTAAGGAGCAATTAGTTTGACTGGATTTATCTTCTGCTGCCATTACATATAGATGGAAGTGTGGAATTTAAGATGGACTTAATGAAATCAAATAATCTCTGCAACCCAGGTTACTCTTTGCAAAAAGCCTGAGTAAGTAGCACAGCTTTTCAAAGTTGCATAGTATTAGAGGGAATGGCCACTTCTTAACTGTTGTCTAAAAAAAGATACATACAGCATTCCCTCTTTGTAATGATTTTTAAGCTCATTCCCACTCATAATTATGTGTATGCCAGAGAAGGACTGGATTTTAACACAACCAAGACAATGATATTTGGGTTTGATAATGATCCGAGTGATTTATCTTGAGGAAAATTAGTCTCTTTCTACTTCTTTGAGGATGCTAAATCTCAAATACTGTTTTTAATGATATGAAGAAGCCACAGCTTTGCACATTCTATTCTTGAAAATAAAGAAACCATTCCTTATAATGAAATTCCAGCTTTTCATCTCCTTTGTGTTAGCTGAACATTTCAGGTCAGGGCTAACCATATTCTGTCCAACAGGCAGGCTTTTCTCTGTAAATGTTAATAGTAGCATTTCCTTCCTTCCTTCCTCCCTTCCTCTCAGTTGTCTGTGTACACGTTGCATGGTGTCATCCACTGTCACAGACAAATGACTGTAGTCAAATTGTCTCTCCACAGATGTTATCAATATGTATCCTGTATCTTTTGTTGGGATAGTCAAATAATTAGTGTTAATACTGGAAAATCAGTAAGTTAAAGGTGATTTCCTTTGCCTGGTAGCATGTGTTGTAATTATACTTGGTAAGATACATTTTTCCTCTTAAATTCATAATATTAGCCTGTTTGGGAAAAAAAAAAGTAGTGCAAGAGTATCTAGAAATGAAGCATCATATTGATCACAAATAGGGAACACACAGCTATTACTCTTTCAGTTTGTCTCCAACAGAGGTAAACAGAAGTTGAAGCAATGCAATTGTGCTGTATATGGAGATAAGGCTCAGTGCAGGTAGTGAGTTGCCACTGTTACATCAAGGCTGGTCAAGAATTCATAGAGGTAAGAGCTATGTTTGTGCAAAACAGGTATTTCACACTGAATCTAGATTTAGTATTTTCAGAGCCAATTATAACTGCATCTGAAATCCCTGTGTTCAAATATCCTTCATCCTCCTGCTCTGCCTTGCAGTCTAATGACCCTTTTAAAGCAGGATATGCATTTTCCTGCCCTTTGTTTGAACAGTGCTGCCTGGCTTGCTGTTGGCCCCTACAGTGTGTTTTGTGACTTTTCTTAAGGTCAAAGCCTTTGTAAAGTGATCAGTAAAGTGGATTGTTAGCACAGTGAAATCTAGAACTTGGGTTCAAAGAAGGAGGCGTAACCAAAAAGGCATATTTAATTTTTTAATCCAGAAAAAAGACAGTAAATTACCATCCTGGTGCATTCTAAGAAGAATTACCAAGCAGTGCAAAACTGTGTGTTCTGAGTTGTAGTATCTGCTGAGGAGCTTTTATTTGACTGATACTTGAAGAACCAGAGATTGTGATGTGGCCAATGAGCCACACTGACACAAACTGCAGAATCTTCTCTGGATGACATGCCATTGTTCTGAAAATAATTCTTAGTGTTCTGATTTCCCTCTGATAGGAGTTTCTACCCTGAACTAACCAGGCTGGAAACAGATCACAAGCACTGGAGTTGGTAAAAAAAGGGATGCTGTTCTGCTTTTGGACTATCATGCTGTGTTAGTGACTACACTGTCCTTCCATGAGTGCTCATCAGCTTTAAATCCTGAGTGCTTTCTACCAGCTCACCGGATGTGCTCTTGAGCTGGTGCATTTCCTGAGCCAAGGCAATTAAGGCACAAAATCATTTTAATGTTAAAGTTTATTTTGCTGCTTGTTTGGTTTTGTTGTTGGTTTTGGTTTGTTGGGGGTTTTCTTACAGAAAAGGCTCAGGACTAAACTTCACACCATAGCCTTTTCTACTTTTAAAGCTAAAATCGGTTATCCCATACTTTCTTTAGTTCACTATGGAAGTCTGACCTTTTATTCCACTGGAACACAAGTAAGCTTGCTGCTGTCCTAGAAGGCTGTCAATCCTCCTTCACCTCAGTGAAACACACAGGACCTACAATCTTTCCTTTTGCACTGAAACTTGGTATTCTTTTATAAATTTTTATTAGTATGTTGAGGTAGTAATATTGCCAACAGTGTTACTGGAGCTAGGCAAGAAGTATCCACCTCTACTACTGGTTCTTTCCCCACAGGCTACAGTAAAGGCCTAAGCATGAAGTTATCTGCAGAAATAATTCTGTATGTAAGTATGTTGGTATTATTCTTTGCTGAGTTGATTCACAAATAGTCTCTGAATTGTTAACAGCACCATCAGTTTAGAGAAAAAACCCTTAGGAAGCTGGTCAGAGCATTATCTCATAATCTGAATGTACTGTTTTACAGCTGTTTCTCATGCACATTAACACTATTAAAGCCTCAGATCCTTGTAAAAAAGCACTAAGTTGAGGCATGTGGTCAAAATGAAATTTGCCTTTGACTGTCCAAATATTGACTCAAGTATTTCTATTACATGCCTAACACTACTGACAAAAGGCACTGCAGTTCTCACAGTGAGAACCAGGTTGAAGAAAGGCCACGGGAATTATATTGATTCTCGCTGATTTTGTCTGTAATTGCTGTTCTTTGGCAGCAAAAGGAGAGGGAAGCTTTGGGGAAGTGAATGTGGATGATCACACTGCTCATTTGTCTCTTCTGGGGAGATATGGATGCAGTTACAAAAGGAAGTAAATTTAGAGAGAGACCTTTGCTCCATCCAGAACTCAGCTCTGCTGCCCTTCCCAGACCCAGTGTTTAACAGTGTTACCCATATGTAAAAAAAATAACCGACTTATCCTTGAAGTGTAATCTGCAGGATGAACAGCTCGTGGAATAAGCTGCATAGTTCAAGATGTACTGAAGTTCCATCTAAGGCAAGAGCAGCAATTGCATTAGCAAAGCTTTACCCAGCAGATGTGTTGGCGCTCTACCAGGTAGGTGCTGCTGTGACTAGACAGGCTTATTGTTCCTGTGAAAATAGATTTTCTCCCATGCAGTCAGGTGGCACGAACAGAAGAATCTCCAGAGATTGAGGATGACCCCTTGGTCAAAGGGATTCTCCAACTCGGAGTGTCGCAGGTAGGAGATGCGATGATGTGACATGAATTCCCAGGTGGTGGTGTTGCATGAGATCAGATAGAGGTGTGAAATGAGCAGCAGCACAACAACAATGGTGAATATAACTATCAGGAGAAAGGATGTGAGGAGGAAAATGTTGTGATTCAGCCACTCCCAGGACAGTTCAAAGTAGAGGCCTGACCTGTCAATTCAAAGAGCAATAAATTCATGGTTAAAAATGTTGAGCTAGTTTCATAAGCCAAGTGACCTTGATGGAACATGTAAGTTGGTACATAACTACTGAACTTCTGATAATCATGTTCTACAGAGAGTTATAATTCTACTGTTAATACACTGTTACTTAAGAGTTAATAAACTCTTAAGAGTCTGCACCAATAGTGACTTAGTATCTAAGAAGTTAAAAAGATACCGGTTCCCCTGACAGCTGAGACAATCATCTTCAGTTAACTCCTCCTGAACAGGCTGAAACCCTGTTGGTGTTTCCAGTACTTGGATTTGTAAGCCCAGGTCTTATTAGAGTAATTGAAGCAAAATCAGTTTTGGTACTGCTGTGAATTCTGGTAATTAAATCTTAATGATGAATATGAAACCTAAATTATCAGATTCTGCTCAACTATTGCTCAGCTATGTTGTCCCTCAGCAGATTAGGGAGCTCCAGGGTGCAAAAGAGGGTGAAGATCCAAAGCCTACAATTACTGCTTTGTTCTACAGAACCCCTTCAGTGGGACTCTAGCAACATCAGAACATTTAGCCATCTCAGAGGTCAGAGTGATGCCTCAAGGCCTTACCAAGCAACCTGACCTCCCCACAGCAGCACGACAAGCTGCACACTCAGGTAGACTATAAAGAAGGGGTGATTCTTTTCTCCTATGCAGTTCTCAATCCAGGGACAGTGATGGTCGTAGCGCCGCACGCAGTGCTGGCACAGCTGGCAGTGCCTGGCTCGCATCGGCTGCTGCAAAACACAACCAACAAAAAGAGAAGAAAACCACTATCAGTAGCCTGCTACTGTGGTTGTGCTAGTGTGGTAGAAGAGAACATCATGCAAAACTCCCTTCCTCCACAGCGGTACTGTCCCAAAACCACTCTTTTTTGAGATAACAGCACAACATACACGGCTAAGACAACTAAAGGGGATCGTGATCTCCCTGGTAAAGGTCCAAATGAATGAGTTCCAAATTAAATTATTCTCCCACATTTCTTCTAGCTATATTTTTCAATCTACTTATTTATAGGAAGTTCAGTGTGTAAGGGAGGGAGCTAGAGCCAATCGGTCTATTCAGGATTGATGTGGAAAGCTAGGACGACGACTGTTGAATAAAGTGGGCAGAGATGGGATGTTCTTACGCAACTGCATGGAGGAGGGAAATGTCTCTGCTGCTGGGGAAACACAACACACACACACAGAGGAAAGGGACTCAAGTGCCAGGAGCAGAGAATATGAAAGATCTGGCTGAGAAAAGTAGTGCCCCCTAGGATTTGTTCCCCAAGGCATATAAATGTCTTGCCAGTTTTTCCTCTTGTAATAAGCTCACTTCTCCTGGTAGATATTCTTCAGGAATTCATGGAAGCTAGGATAATGCTTGATTTTATTAAACTGATAAGCATCACTGTGAAAACAGGCTTTTCTAGGCTTTAGGCAAACTATTTTAAGAGCTTATCTAATTGCTCTAATTTTTCCTTCATGCTGTCTTTTACAACTCAGACTAACATTTTGCTGGGTTTAGACCTCCAAATGATAGAGATAGCAACAGTTTTTGTATGTCATGCTTGGATGCCTTTATCACAGTATCTTCAAAATAACCTTTTTGACAATACTGTAAAGTCTGACTGACATGGCAGTAAGAATGTTGCAAAAGATCCTTGTTTCTGTAAGCCAGCAGGGAATTGTTTCAGCCTCAGAAAACAGCAATGCCCATGACTACATCTTTAGCTACATAGTTCCTTTGGATCACTTCAATTCAGAACTGTATTGGAATTCAATTTGCTCGTTGTGCCTATTTTTTCTGTGAGTTTTTCAGCAGAAGGGTGACCCTTTAATAGAATCAATCAGATCTGCCATGCCTCCAAGCTGAGCAGTGAGCAGCAATGATAGAAAAGCAACAGCTGCTGAACAAAGAGGTTGCCAAAACATGTAAGCTTGGGAATTGCCCATCCCATTCTCTTCTAGTGTGTTACAAATGCCTACTTTCCCCATGAACACCTACCTTCACCATGCAGTAACCACAACGCCGCAGCTTGACATTACTTGGAACCAGGGGTATGACCACACTTTGTTCTTCACTCTTGTCTGCCTACAAAGAAGAGGGAGTAACTAAAGAGGTTTTGTGTGTTGCTGCTGTGGCATGACTGAGTTGTCTGTATCCTTTTAGTTAATAGTTAAGCAGTGCTGGTTCTCTCTGTCATTAAGAAGGTTAAACAGAGTAATTTCTTCAAATCCCTACAGGAACTGCAGACAGTTAAGGTACAGCAAGAGAAAACAGACTACTATAACCACCAAAAGAATGTTTTCACAGAGGCAGAAATAACTGTGGGCAAGATACCACACTGATCCCAAGGCTACACTTTGGGACAAAAACAAGGTTAGACTTTGCTTCCAAACACAATAATGGTATTTTTTCAGTATAAGCAGTGCTACTTATTCTTAGCACAGCCAACATGTACTTCAATGATGGATGATTAAAACTTGTCCTACACAATTTGTAGGCAGTTAACCTGAAGCAGACTATCTCTGTTACTGAAACTTTGCATCTTTTTTACTTCATTGTAACTTGTATGTGTACATGTCCGCTGAGAGGACAACAAATCTATACACAGTTCAATAGAGCTGCAGAGAGCTTTCTTCCAAGCTTGCCATTTGGTTTTTTGCACTTGGACCACTTGGCAGTAGTTAGTATAAACCAGGTCATGTATACATTCCATAGGGTATTGCAGCCTCTCATGTTGAGAGAGAGGACTTGTGCTCAAATGGCACAGTGCATTTAGAATGGGGATGTGGTGTAAAAGACACACTTAAAGTCTATGAACCCTACTGCTGTCACAGAATATGACTTGGACACTGTCCATCCTGATCTCCAGTGGTCCGTGTAGGTTTCCTTTATGCCAAGTGCAACAGAAACAGATTGTTCGTATCTAACAGTGTGGGGAAACAAAAGAAAAGCGTATAGATGTTATAACCTCACCACTTTCTTCCATTCATGAAGTGTTATACCTTCTCTTCCTCTTCAGCCTTAACAAAACCTGGGTCCATGAGAGACACCCTGAAGTACAGCAGGATCGAGCACAAAACCAGCGAGACGAAGATCAGCGGCTGCAGCAGCTCCCCGCGCTCCTCTTGCATTTGCAGATCTGCAAAGGAGAGCAGTGCCTTCCTTGTGAAGCCTTTAGGGCTTTTCTCTCTGCCCCTAACAAAGGGCTCCCGCACCCCTACGGGAGGAGCAATGGAAGAGGGCGGTAACGGTAGGGGCTCCCGAGCGCCCCACAGGTTCCCCTGTGCCCTCAGGTCCAGAGGCCGACGCAAGGCAGGGAACACCCGCGCTCCCCCCGGCGCAGCCCGAGCCCGGGCCGCAGCCCCCTCTGCCCAGGGGCGGGCCTGGCCCAGCCCTCGGCCGCCCCCTCCCCGTGTCAGGCAGGGCCTCGCCTCACCTGTGCGGTGCAGGAACAGCCCCAGCGCCAACCCGCCGCTGAGGGCCGTGTGTGCCACCCTCACCCACAGCCGCCCGCCACCCATGGCGCCCGCCGGCCCGGAAGGGCGGGCGGCTCCCGAGGGCGGTGCCTGCGGCCGGCAAGGACCGGGACTCCGCTGCGGAGCGGGCGTTGTTGAGCTCCGAGCGTGGACCGCGGCTGTGCTGTGAGGTGGCCTGAGCAGTGGCCGGCACCTCGGGCTCGGCTCCCACGAATGGGAACCGGGGTCTCTTCCGCCTCCCCCTTGCACTTGCAGCCTGGCTGTAGCCTGCCGGCCGCCTTTCTTCCCCTCACGCCGTCCTGCATGCTGGCCCTCCACCTCCTTCAGCTCCCTTCGCTCTTGTCCTCCCACCCTGAACCCCGAGATCCACGCGGCCCCTCTGTCCCCAGACGGGTGTTGTGGCTGTTAAGTACTACGGGGAGCACAGGGCAGGGGCCCTTGAGGGCAGTGATGCTGGTTAAACTGCCCGGCACCTCAGTTAAACTCGAGGCAAATGCTGCTCAATGTAGATAGGAGCAGTAAGAGTCTCACAGAGGTGTGCCGCTCAAAGGCGAGGGGGTCAAGGTGCTGTCTGGGTGAACTCTGGTTGTGCCACTTTATTTCACGTGTTGATTTCTATCCCCTAGGAAGAAACGCAGAGGTTCTGCCTGGCTGAACACGTTTAGCTTCTGAAATGTTTGACATACTTTCAACAGGAGGCTGCTGGGGTGGGTGGGAGCTGATCTGAATTCCAGTGTCTGCAGACTCCCCTGACAGCAGCAGAGGGAACCTGGCTTGTCTAGAGGATGGTCCTTCTCATCTGAAAGCAGCTGAATTGCACCCCAGATGTGTTGGTTTTAATCTCTTGCTAACAGTAAGGAAAGCGAAGATGACTAGCTTAAATGTACACATTTACACTCTCTCTGTTGGTTTGGGGGAGATGAATCTCATCACAGGCCTCTAAAAGTTCTGAAATCAGGTTTTTTTCTCTTTAAACTCTTCAGTTTTAACACAGATGTATCTTGCTGATATCTTGTTACCTTCTTTCCCAGTCAAAATTTTGTGAAAGAAAAATCACATTCTTTGCACATTTAAACTTAAAACCTATCAGATTCCTTGGTATTGTTTGACCACAAGGGGGGTATTCTTGATTTGGTCACCTTGAATCAGTGGCCACCTGCTGATTCCAGGAAAGCACCTGGCTTAAAATGGTTTATGTGAGACAGCTGTGTTGAAATGTTAATGAAAAACGTAGTTTACATTTCCAACAGTCATTCAAATCCTTCTGCTTTCTTTTTTTGTTCTAGGTAAGTGCAAACCCTACAAAAACCCTCCCTCAGACACCTCATAGACTGCATCAGGGCTTGTCAAACCTCACTTTGTATGTGAGGTGGCCCTGCTACTCTCTGCCTGCTTTAAATATCCTGAAAACCTTTCCCTTCCTTGAGTTGCAAAGGAAGCCTTGCAGAACAGTAGGAAGCTCAGAACAGCACCATCAGGCTCTATCTACAAACAGAAAGAGAAGGTGGGTAGTGTCTTTCCGTTCTTTGCAGAGAGGTGTAAATTTTAAAGCTTAGTGAAGGCAATTTGCGTAGTAGCAATATTACCCGCTTGAAAGTAGAAACATTCTTATGTTCTAGAAAAGTCTGTCCTAAGGAATGTATTCTCTCTCTCTTTGTGATTAAAACCATTTGGTACATGTTAGATTTCTGGCTTACAGAGATCAGGGCTTATCTCTGCCTTAAGGGGTTCAACCTAAATGACTGGTTGAAATTAGGCTTAGCTCCAGAAAAGTCTCTACTAGCCAGTTTGAGTGGAGGATCTAGGTTCTTGTGGCATTCCAGCTAGGAATTTCATGCTCCTGGAAGCATCTCTTTGTACTCTTACAACACGGTACATTTTCAGTTTCCCAGAGGTAGTTCAGTTTCACATGATTCCTCCTTCAGCCAGCCAGAGTGTGATCCTTTAAAGTTTACATTGACCATTGAATTAACTGGTAGTTGAACCCTTGCAGGACCAGGGTCATGAGAGGAAACTCAAGCCAGCCTTAAAGCGGATTGATTGTTTAAGCCACAGTCTTAAGTATTCAGCTTCTGCCCACTTACAAAGCTTAGGCTGTGGAATGCAAGCCACAGATCCGTTGCAGAGTTCAGAGGCAATATGCAGAGGCAAATATTGTTCTGATTTTTTTCCTTCTCTCCCATAATTTCGTAACAATACTCCCTTCCTCCATGCCTCTTTTCTATGGACAAACAGTTATTGTATCCTTTGGAGTGATGAAAGGAAAAGCCACTGAACTGCATCATCAACACATGGCAGTTCCTTTCATTTGCAATTAAACACATGACAGCAAATGGAGCAGTGATGTACCTAAATGAACCACATTCATAGATCAAAAGAAGAAGACATTGTTAAGCACTAGGTTTAATACACAGCGGGTATCCAATGGATACAACAGAAAAGTTAATTCATTCAGAATTGTAAGGAAGCAACAGTTGTGCATTATTATTTTTTTGCTTGGTTTCACCATGTACAAACATTTGAACCAGGCCTTTCAACATTAGGCAGGTCAATGGACAGAGTAAAAGCAGACACTTGCTCATTATAACTGAGGTTACTTTCTTGAAGCAAAACAAGGAAATACACATTTGGTTAGCTTAAAAATTTTTTTTTAAACAAGAAAAGAATTGGAGAGAATCAGTGACAATTCGATGAAATCAAAACATAGTCTGCTAAAGCAGAAGTGTTTCAGCTCAGCAGATCTCCCTCACTCCTTTTAAGTGCTGTCTTCTCATTCAGCCCCCATGTTTTCATCCATTCCTGACTCTCTTACCCTCTGTGCTTCTTACAGATGGCTGTTGTGGAGACCAGCTATTTTCCTGCTTTTAATTCTCTTTTTCTAGCACAAGCTCCCCTCTAACACCTGAGCTGTGGCAGCTCCTCCCTAAACGGTGTCAAGAAAATGTCATTTCTGTGGAGCAATGCTTGAATGCAGTGCCCCTACAGCTCTTCTCCTGTGGGTAATTATTGCCTTCAAGTGATGAGAGGGGACTAAGCTCACAGCTCCAAGACTTTTCTTCCCCCTTATCTTTCACAGAGACCAGAGTGCCTACAGCAGAAGCCCAACAAACGGGATAAGCTGGATAGGATTGTGCTGAACAGATCATTTCATCTAGCAGGTGCAGGGTGATAGCAGCCATCACGCAGATGAGGCAGATGAATTATCTGCAATGTTACTAATTGCCACAGGAAACAGTGCTAAACTTTCTTGGCTTGGACTAAATAAGAAAGTCTGGTGCTGCTGAGCGCTAAACTTCATACAAGTAGATGCCAATCCTTTATAAGCAGTTCCTCCCATAGATCCTGTAAAATGGAAGCACTTGTGGAAGGCTGCCCACTAATTTGCTTTCTTCTCTATTGCAGAGAAAACAGCAGACACCTGACGCTCTGCATGTTGGACTTTGACTTGGCCAAGTCATTGACTTGGGCTGCTAAACCATGAAGGCATCCTCCAGCCAGGATAGAAACTACATACAGTCAAGGTAGAAGGTTCCTTTGATGGCACAGTCTCTGCAGAGAGCTACTGAGTTGTGTTTGTGCTCTGTCTGCCATGCTTCTGAATATGAAAGGAAATGTAATAGTGAGAACATGAATAGGCTGAACAGGACAACAGCTACAGAGCATGAGGAGCCCCTCTGCCACATCTTTACGCATTATGAACTTCTCTGCCCCTGAATTCTCATTTGACAGAGATTTTGTTCTAGTTTTCTAGGCAGGGTTGGTTCTTGGCTCTATAATTCTGCATGAAGTTGAAGTCTCCAGGTTCATTCCTTTGCTCCAGCAAAGCCGGAAGGCCTGAGAGGCTTCTCTAACAGTCAAACATTTCAGGGTATGCAACTTCCCCTTTTACATTAAACCTTCATAAAAAATCAGCCACTTTGCCCTCTCCTCCTTTACAGAATATTGGTGTGATAGCTGCAGATAATTACCCTGTTCTGTCCTGGGTAATTAACACCTCTTTGCCTCCAAAAAGTGCTTTTGGATCATGGTACCTGCATTATGCCCAAGGTGCAACAGCTCCTGTGCTTTCAGTTGGGAAAATGGAGGTACAAATTAGTTTTAAACTTCCAATTCTAGGAATTCTTGGATTCTGCTCAGCTATTCAGAGGATACCTTTCTCTCTTTTCCTCCTTACTGAAAGGGAAATGTTATTTTTCAGCTCACAAAGTCCTTTGGCTTGAAGACATGGAAGCTTGTAGCCAAAGCTCACATTACTCTAACAGGGATGCTATTTTAAAATGCTATCTCAGGAACTTACTTTGCTGGTGGCCTGACTCAAAATCTTATGTGTAGCTGGCTATTACAGAGCAGTTACACCTCCCCCTTCCCCTGGGCTCAGTGGCAGATTTCAGAAAGCTAAGCTTTTCTGTCAGCCTGACCTGACTCCATTAATCTCCACGGGTCTTGTCAAGTATTCAAGACTTTAATGGCAGGAGCTTTCACTATATGGGCATTAGAAAGGAGGAAGCCTTAGTGGGTGGCACTGTCACATGAAGCAACTTCAGAAGGTCAGGAGCACTAAATGGAGAATTAAATGAGCAAAGCCTGACTCCCCTCTTAGGTTTGCATCTAGAAGGAAGATTAGCAAATGTTACACAGAAAACAGACCTTGAAATAAGCTTCCCTGTCTCAAAGCTCATAGGGACACAAATCCTTGGGGAGCAGGTATGACAGAGAGGAAAATACATTTCATTCAAACAACTGCAAAAAAACAAAGTATAATTTGTCAAGTTTTGCAAACCATATGAAAACAATTCCAAAGTGACACAAAAATATATATAAGTTTGAAAAATACTTAAAAGAAAAAAGTACAGATCTCACAATACCAAAACAAATGACGTATGGTTAAAAAGACATTGAATAACACCATATTGGCAGAAAAAGTAAACCTGTCCAGGGCAGCTGTGTTGTGTCATTTAAAGTGTCAGTTTGTGTATCTAGGATCTGTCTATATTGTGCTCAGCAATGACAACATTAACTCTGAGCATTAGAAGAACCTCATAGCAGCGAGTCAAATCTGAGAGCAATGTATACAAGGGAAGAGAGCAGCGAAGGTTACTGTGCTGAGGCCTGAAATGTCTGAACACGTGTGGCTGTGGCCTCCTCTTACTGCTGCCAGACATGGACTCTTTCCTGAATCCTTCCTACGGGAAGATTCGTGAGAGAACTGTGGCAAGCAGAGGGCTCTAGTCAAAGGACTGCCCTTTGTTGAGTGTGTTGTTGAGTGCCCAGCTGCAAGACAAGCCTCAGCCTGTGGTATCTTGAGCCTTTAGAGATCCAGAGCCTGCCGGGTGAAGACCACCTCACCAGGACTCTCCTCTCACCTACACTGTATCAGTTGGAGTAATGCTGCTGATGCGAGCAGGATTGCACTGGTAAGTGATAAGAGTCAGGTAAGGATAGAGCCTTCTGCTTCCCAGAAGAGGGGAAATATGTTGTGGTGCAACAAGAGGTGCTATTTCATGGGACTGTTCTCCTTAGGGTGCCTGGAGACTCTCCAGTCTCTGGAGGGTTGTTTGGCATCTCCAGTTGCATCCTCTGTGCTGCAGTAAGCTTCCTATAAGGTAATCTCCAATAATCTCCACTCACACTGATGCAGACTGAGGGAGAGCAGAGCAGCTCCAGTACTTTACTAGGACCTGCACAAGTGGTTCATACCACTCTGGACTAGGGCCTAGTAGATCTTATCATGCAAAGCGGAAATACTGTCTCTGGCATTTGTAGCCCTTCCCCATAAAACAGAACACAAGTGAAAAGGTGGTGAAGGACCTGAATGAAGATGTGTAGCCCTTTGTGAACAAATCTTGTTCCTTGTTGCACAGGCTCCCTTAGAGAGAAAAGCTCTGTGTAGCCAAGAATGTCTAAATGGTTTTACCGGTCATTCCTGGTCTTGAGGCTAGCTGGGCTGGCAGATCCCACTGCACTGCCAGAGGGGACAAACCAGGCCTCTTGACTTTAATGGGAATGTCTTACTTCCAAATGACCCACATACAGTTAGCAATGCTTCCATTAATGTGAGTCTTCTATAAAAACCCTTAAGGGAGTGAATTAACTTGGAAGATCTTCTTCATTTCCTCCCTTTACAATTAACACTAAAAAGGTCTGTTCTTTTGCTATAATTCTCGGGTATTGTCCCCCCCAACATCTCTAACCAAATAAGTAACTCATTGCTGCCTGCAGCCCCACTGAGCAGCCAATGCCAATTAGGGACTGGTGTTCTTGCAGACATTACAGGACCTCATGCAATACAGCAAAAGGGAATTTTCTAAAAAGTGGGAAATAAAAACGTCACACTAGTGATCACACAAGTAGGTCTTCAAGCTCATGGTCATTTGAGGCTCTGTGTGGTCTAAAATAAAAAGGTTAAAAGATACATAGTGTAGTTGTCTTTGCTTTTTTTTTTTTTTTCTTTTTATACAGAAATCATACACACAGAACTTCAACCTGAAACTTCATAACAAAAAAAGTCCACTAATTTAAGGAAAGCATTTTGTTGTGCAAAAAGTCCCTCCCCGCCTCCCCTGTTCACCTTCATCTACTGAGGGTCTCACACACACACATAAAGTTTCCTTCCAACAGGCGTGTTGGTAAGAAAGAGTCCTCCCTATATACAGTGAATTAGAGAGAAGCTGGATACAGTGCTGGCATGAGGCGTTAGAGGACTGCCTCTATCTGGAAGTGTCCATGTTCTCCTCCTTAAAGTTACTGCAGTGCTCTATAACTTTCCTATGGATAAAACAAGGACAGGGAGAGAGGGTTTAGTTTAAAGCTTACTGCATGACAGTTGTGGGACAGTTCTTATACTGCTGTCCCACAACTCCATCTCTGTGTAATGTGTATGATTTGCAGCAGGCAGGCTCTTCTGAGCTACACATCAATCAACATCTGTGTCAAACCCAGTGTACTCCACAAATGCAGCTCAGAGCTCCCAGTTCCTCCCCTTGGAAGTTCAGTGGCCAGATCCATGCATGATTCTGGATACAGGGAGCCCACACAAGTATGGTGAGTAGCAACGGCTGGAGACCATTGGTGTAAGAGATGCAATTAGCTGTGGGGCTCCACTGTCTGACAAGCCACTTCTGTAACAAATTTGCCTGATACAACCTGTGTGTCCCACCTACAAACACCTCTCTAGTCTTCTGTTTTCATCCTCTTTCCCCTACTCTTCTCCTGTGTTCACTTCTTGCCCCTCACACACATCAATATAGGCCATTCTTTGGTAGCCTTACTTGATGTGGAAGAAAAAAACCTAGCTAAAGCTAATGTCTGATGGTAGCACACTGGTTTCCTACCGGGCCATTTCCTTGGTCTCTTGCCGTGCTGAGGCCATTTTAATCATGTCCTTCAGAAGAGGGATCCCACCTTCTTTGATCAGCAGTGGGCAGTACTTGTCAGCTGCAGAGAAAAGAATAAAACAGGTCATTGTGAACCTTCACAAAAGTGGTAAAAGGGTGGCAGAAGGGAAAGGGGAAACCTGTGGCCCAAAAACGTATAAAACTTTATTATGGAGCTAGCCTGCTAGAGGTGTAAAACCACAGCCATAAAATGGCTGAGAATGTAAAAGCATGGCCAGAAGGATCGAAACATCGAAGGAATTTCCTACACACTAAGTCTCATTGTTTCTTATTTGGCTTTGTGCTGCTTGGACATTCCTGCATCATTCAAAGACCGTTTTCTCTACTGCCATCACTGAAGTGGGAAGACCATTTCTAACAAGCTCAGAACCACACCCTCAGCTCTTCCAGTGAAGTGGATGTGATTTCAAAAAGGGAACTTACGGTAGACAGAGACCAGGTTATACAGTGCCCAGGTAGCCCAGTGCTGGCTGACTGGGGAGATCCCTTGTGGAAGAAGTCGAAGGATTGGTTCAAAAGACCTGCACAGAAATATTGCAGAAGCTGTTAGAAATACCAAGAGCAGCTTCTTTCAGCACTTCTACTACTTCAAGCAGCACAAACTTGGGTGTTCACAGATACCATAACAGTAAATCCACTGGCATGTCAAAGATTCTGGCATTGAAGATGAGGTCTGTGTCGCATGGCAATACAGCCCCTACTGCTTTAGCATAAACATGCTGCCTGGATAAATAGCTGCAATGAATGCAAGATGTGATTTCTATCCTCTGTGAGTTACTTCCCCACAACAGCTGAAGCCCAGCAGCAATGATCTGTAGAGGGGCTGCTTGCATACAATAGCTGCTGTGGTTTTTCTGACCACAATAATGTGTTGATACTGTAGAGCAGGCACTGGAATGCCATTTGTTCTGGATTCCTGCCAGGCATTAAAGGGAATACAGAGTATACCTGATACCCTCTTATAGGAAGGACTTTGGAGGACTCCACCAGTTGTATTAACCCTTGAAGGGATTTCTGGGAACTGTGTCTCCCAGAGAAGAGTGAAAGCTAACAGCAATCCATGTGATTTTCAGAAGCAAACAGACTTAAGTAGGCAAAATGACAAGTCTAGCAGGAAAATGGTTAAGCAGTCCCAGACAAACAGATCATGTTTCCTGGGCTATGTAATTTCACCAGAAACACACAGGAGAAACTCTTTTGGGCTCCCACACTTCTCTCATAGGAAGTGCCAGGGCAGGTGTCTTAATTTCAGCAGCCTGTGTAACACATTTCAAAGGAAGGTGTAAAACCCTCACGACAGAGTATTGTCCCTGAGGATCTTTTTCCTTTATTCTAAACAGAGCCTCCTTGCTGGGTTGCACCTCTTCCCTCCTCTCTGTTGGTGTTTGCTTCCTGTGACAACCCTGGCTCCTAGGGGAGCAGGCCAAACTTTGCTATTCCTCACCTGTAATTGATATTTCTCCTGGAGTTGATATCCCAGCTTTGGATTGCTGCCCACATCCTCTTTACAACTTCCTCTCGGTGGGGCTCACATATACCCCAAGCCTCTGGACCATCAAACATGATATGGGAGAGCACACCACAGGCATTATAGGATACCTCAATCCCATCTGCTTTGCTTTCCAGCAAGTTACTGCCAAGGAAGAAGAGATTACTCAGAGGCTGACACACCATGTTTAAAAGTCTCCAGGTGACCCAGGAGAAGAGCTCCAGAGCATTCACTCTCCTCCACCCCAGCAGTTCATTAGCCAGGCACTCACCTGAACACACTGATGAACTGGGAGGTCATGAGCTGTGGGCGGAGCTCCTTCACCTCTGCTACATTGCCCAGGAGGCCCAACATGTTGCGATGCAGCTCCTGCTTCTCAGGGAACTCCTAGGCAAGCAAAGAACAGGATTATACAAAGTGGAGTTATAGCGGTGCTGAGAACATGCAACCTGCGAGAAAGATTGTACAGTACATCTAGAAAGGACTGAGTACGTTTAGGGAGTCAGCAATGGCTCTTAGCAGATGCCCAAATGGATCTCTAGTGTTACAGATACATGTGAAATGAGATTCAATGCTGCTCTACTTAAGGGGGACTGCACACAAGATGAGGAAAGAGGAAGATGGGTGTAAGTTTCTCTGTTCTTCTTATGGTTGGATGGATAGATGTGAGAAGAAGAAAATATGCAAGCTTTTTCTTTTCTGTCTGTGCAATACAGGAAGTACTGCTTATAGATTAGCATAGCCAGGGATCCTGCCCAGGCACCTGCATCTCTACTGCTGATGTCAGCATTCCTCTGGAAGGAACCAGATGTACTCACTTTCAAGCACTCTAAGAACAGTTTCATGCCACTGTAGTTAAGGAACATCTCGCAGTTATCAGGGGTCTCATCAGTGATGTTCCAGAGGGCACTCCAAGAGAACTCCATCACCTGATCACACTACAAAGCAGAAGAGAAAGGAACTGAAACAGCTTTGCTGATGTGGGTCCCCAGTGCAAACCAACTCCTCTTGTTTCCTCTCTGGTCTCACCCTAGATGACTCCAAAGGTAAGAAAACCTTGTTATTCACTTTCAACTTATCAGCAAGTGGATTTTTAATATTTCTTGTCTCCTTGTCACATTCTCCTGCCCTCACTCTGGGACAGGAAATTCTGCAGCATCAATTGAGATGTCTTGCATTTGTTAGTGAAGCTTTGGGCTGATCTCCATGCTCAAGTCAGACTGGAGAGAAAATACTCTATGGATATGTTTTTTGGGAAACACTCACCGTTTTATCAGCCAACTTCTTCTGAATCAACTTCAGCATTGTCTGTGGGCAGAGGAAGGGGAAGAGTGAGAAACAGTTCCAGAACCACGCAGCTAAAATTAACTGCTGTAGTACTGCAGGGCTGGCTGCAGGCATGTGCAATTTTGATCCTTTGTAGAAAACCTACTTGGTATCTCTTTCTTTAAACAGGTGGGACAGGGTTATGTTCAATGTTACAGGCATTTACAGAGCTGAACTGTGTCATAGTCCCTGAGCTGTTGAATTTGCAGTCAAGTTAGTTTTGATCTGTATTACAAAGTCTGGAATGTGGTATAACTGCAGCAAAGCAGTGGCCTCTGCAGCTCTTTGAAAAGGTGTGAGGGAGATGGGTTGACATGAGCTGGGAAGCTGATGCAAACTCGGGGAGATGCAGAAGGAGCTAGTCAGAAGGGATCATTTTCATTCTGGAAATGATATGATAAAGAGGTCAGGTCTAAGGTTATACTGCTTCCTGCTCTCATAGGTTGCCTGTCTCTGAGTGGATCACATCCAGTGCTGGTAGGCAAGTAGGGATAGGTCAGGAAAGGTTATCATTGGTAGGACACTAATTTCCTCCTGTGATACTGCAAGGCTGGATCACTGGCTCATGCATTTGGTGGACTGCTGCAAGGGAATTGTGGTAGCCTGGGTTAAGGATAAGTAGACACCATGGGACCATACCAACCATGACAAACCCCATCTTGCCCACAGCTTCTTTATGATCATTGTCCACCTGGCAGACCAGAGCATTACAGAGGTGCACAGCGATGCGCTGGATGGACTCATCCTGCCGGCTCTGGTTGAGGATGTTCAGCAGCAGCTCGTTGACCCGGCGATACTGGAACTCCAGTTCCTCGGGAATGCTGAAGTTGCACAGTGTCAGGCAGCAGTTCCGCTGTACCTGGGTCAGAAGGAAGCAAATGCTGGGCCAAGTGGCTATGAAAACACGGACCCCATCACCTCATGTTTCTTTGCTCCTTGGAACTGAAGCCATCTTCTTGCTTTACTACAACCTAGTCTCATAGGGCCATACAATCACCCAGTGCCCATCACTTTCAAGCCAGTTCCTTGCTGCCTGTGAGCTCTCTATGCAGCAGTCCCCATTCTGCAGCCCAGTGGCATTATAATGTCAGCCAGCTTCTGATACAGTGTACTGGGATAATGTTTCTTTCTGTTGGCTCAACAACCCCAATGCCTGCAACCTTTTCACCCCGCAGTCAGTTATGGATGTCTATGCTGTGCGTCCTATACACCCTTTAAACACCTCTATCATCAGATAAGAAGGACACTTGCTATCATCACTTTCTTCCCCTTGTTCTGGAGAAGATCACATGGCAAGGGGGTTGGAACTAGATGATCTTTAAGGTCACTTCCAATCCAAAGCATTCTACGAATCTATGATAAGGAGCATCCTGCCTGTAATGCCCATCATTCAGTGAAGGCAAGCAGCAGATCTGGGCAGTAGCTTCTCTGGTGTCTGCCTTGATTCATATCCTGGAGGCTTAGAAGACCCAGATGCTAATGCCAGAAAATAATCCCAGATCCTAATACAGAAAAGGGGATTATGGGATCTGAAGGAGACTGCACTGCTCTTACTGTGACTTCCTGGTAGGACTCCATGCCATTCAGCACCACCTGGATGACCTGGCGCCGCAGCTTTACACTCTGCTCCATGCGATACTCTGAGTTGGTCAAGTAGAACAGTGCTGCGCTGCCTGTCACCTGGATGTTCTTGTCATCCTTGTGGCACTTGAGGGCTGTGATCACCAGCTGCAGAGAAGCAACACGAAGCTTCAGTGCCACTGCCTTGCTGCTGAGTCTTGGAGTGACTGTTACAAGCCTGCAAGGAATGTGTGGCCCAGGCATTGCAGGAACATGCTTGTGAATTGAAGGTACCCAGTTTCACTGCATGACTGGAAGTTTCTCCAGAATGGCCTGATATGGTGTCTCAGGGTCAAGAAAAGACTGGGGTTGCAAAACTTCCCTTGTTATGGTGAGGTAAATGCTAGCATGGGGCTTACCTGAAGGGCTCGCAGCAGTTGGCTGCAGCGTTCAATACGTGCTATGTCAAAAAGGAGGTTGATGGCCCGGGATGTGATTTCTGGCCGGTGTTCAGTGTAAGCCTCAATTGCATTCAGGACTTGCTCTTCGTTCTTGTCTCCACTCACCTGGGAGGAACAAGAAGCATCATTTATAAAGGAGTAAAACAAACATGAGAAGGGAACTCTGAAAGGTCGAAGGGTACAATTTTCCTCTGCCCTGCTGACGGGACTGGGCCCAGGATGGGAGCAAAGAGGTTGAATCACTTCTCAGCCCAGGCGAAAAAGAAATGGGACCTTTGGAGCAGGAAGATGATATTCACAAGTAAGACTCCTATTGTCTTAAATTCTTTTACTGTAGCCACAAACATCCTGGTTTTTCAGGCAGGATGATTCTTCCATGCTCTTCTTTAAGAGACATGTTTTCTAACCCTTGTAAAAACCATATGGGGCACAGGTCTTGCTTTATTAAGGACTTACTGAAAGATCAGAGCTCGGCTGTCACACGAGACCTGAAGAGCTCCATTTTTATGTTCTTTCAACTTCTACCAAGCTCCTACTGCCAGTATTCTTGTGGCCTCATTACCTTGTAGGCTGGAATATGCGTCAGGCGACAGAGAGATGTTTCAAAAAGGCCCAAGAACTGGAGCGGTCGTTTCAGACCCCGGAAGGGAGCGATGCTGCTCTTTGCTGGCTCAATACTGACAGAAAAAATAGAGATCACTCATGTTGGTACCATGTTTCTTCAGGTTTCTCCTGCCATAGAAACACCTATCTGCTTTGCACTCACTCTGACTGTACTGCTTCATAACCAGAGTGATAATAGCTACACAAGCCAGCTGCTCCTAAACTTAACACTAGACATTCATTCCAGATGACTGAGTGAAGGGCTAAATGTGTTGAACAGAAACAGCAGTAAGAATTCATGCAGACAGAATGCAGCTTTCCTGGGTAGAAATTGTCCTGGAAATTCACTAGCTGGGATGAACATTTCCTCTTGGAAAAGGGCTGTGGATTTCGCTAATCCAAGGTATTTACAAACTGGATTGCATGTCATACAATCACAGACTGGTTTGGGTTGGAAGGGACCATGTTCCTTACTGACCAAGAGCCAGTATTTCTTCACCAGCTCTAGTGGAAAGGAGCCAGTACTGTCCCACTCATTTGCTTTTGTTCAGTAAGTGCTTGGGGAATAGGCAGGCAGAGTTCTTGGCTGATCTGGAAGACCAGACCTCTGGGTATGCCTCTACTGAGGTGCACCAGGATTCTCAAAAGTTGATCTGCTCAGTACCCAGGTCAAATCTGAAAATATACCTTTAGATTCTGAGCTCCTAAAACACTCGGCCCTCCTATGAACACTGATGTAACAACTCAGTGTAGAATTGTTTTGTCTCATAAAAGTCGGAATTTCAAGCGAGGGTAAGAATGTTTTGTGTGGAAAATGTGTACAAAGGGTTTTGGGTTACTTTCAGGAAAAGTATAAAATACTGCAAGAGGTCCCTGGAAAATGTGTGTGGCAAAGAACTGAAACACTTCTTCAGATATGCATGGCAGGAAGACAGGATGAATTCTTTATTACTCTTAAAGTCTTTACGTGTGTCACATACAGGAATCACAGCTGCTTCCCATACCACCCTTTACTCTTATGGGGAATCTAGCAAGAGTTATATCCTGTATTTTAGTATTAACTAGACCTCCAGAATCTGGAAACCTAGAGGGAACTGTTCTTAATTCAATTTGTCTTTGACTGATCTATCTACCCAAGCAGACCTCAGTAATTGCTGTTTCTTTACCTTGTCTGGCCCATCTTCTCCTCCATGCTTGGGATAGTGCAGTTCTCCAGCATGGTGTGCCCTGAGATATCGAGCGATGTGAGGTTTACCAAGTTTTCCACAAACAGGTTTAGAACCCGCCGGGTCAGCTTGAATTTGTAGTAACTGGACAGATGGTCTCGGGAGATATCCAAGTGCCTGCAAATGACAGAGAGCATCTCAGAGCCCGGAAAGCATTGGCTGTGGCTTCTGCCTCTCTGCCAGAGGAAGATGACAAGCCAAGTGTGAGTATTATATTTTTTATTTATCTTTTATTACCATAATTTCCTTCACAGGATACAGGAATGTGGCTGTGTGGGATCTGGCAACAGGATCTAGCCCTATGTCTAACTGAAGCACACAGATATCTGGTAGAGGTCTACTCAGAATAGAGCACAATGAATTATCTGGCCACACATCACAAAGGAAATTGCTCCAGGCTCAGGAGCTGCCTTTCCCAAACTCCATCACAGCAGCCACCTGAGCATTTCTGCCTGGTGACTATAATGCACCAGAGGATCTTTGCATCCCCAAACACGTTGCCTCATCCCACAAATTGTCGCACAGTTTCTGTCTGCTTCCCCAGTCTTGTATTTTTATCACCCCAGGCTATTACACTACCCTCATTCAGTTATTTAAATGCTTAAGCTTTTGGGAAACCCTGATGCTATGTGGAGTGGTGGGACATACTGACCAGCCATCCTATGCCCGTGGGGTCACTTACAGGACAGGGGCTGCTCTTGCCTGCCAATCACTACCTAAGCCCCTTGGGAGAAGACTTTTTTATAAGACAGGAGCCAACATCCCACTCACAAAACTCTTTTCTACTTGTTATAAAGTAAGTTTCATTGCAAGTCACTGGGAGTGAAAGTTCTTGGGTTTATAATGTTATCCAGGAGGCTCCCTGAGAGTCCAGGTCATGTGTTAACGTGGTACCCCCTAGTGTCTGCACTCAGTAGAGACGATACTAAAGCCACTGCAGAGGATCCTTCACGTGAATACTATGACCCTTCTCCTTGGCTTGGAAAGTCCTGGCTCCCTCTCTTAACACCACTGTGCAATTGAACAGCAATTGTCTCGGCTCTGTTTCAGGAAGTCTTTTCACTGCCAACACCGTGGGGTCAAGACTGCCTATTTATTTACACGGCTTGTTCCCTGGTTGCACCATCCACGCAGTGTGCTTCCACATGACACAGTGAGCAGTCTGAGCTCAGAGTTTTTCCTAGGTTTACCTCAGAGTTAGCCTTAAATTTTGGACGTTCCTGTTTGACAAGTGGTTTGGAGGACTGAGTTTCCCAGTGTGATTATTGCTACAGTAGTTTACACATCAGCAGTCATTTTCTTTGCCATCTCTCAGGTATTCAGCTGTTGGTTTTTATTTGACTGGGAGGTGGTTGGTTTAGTTTATTCTTTCTTTGCTGTGTAAGGTTTTTTTTGAGGGGTTTGTGTTGGTTTTTGGTTTTCTAAGAGGGAGTTTCTGCTAAGTGACAACCTTTTGCAAGCAAAATGCAGGCTGGCTTTAGACATGTCAGATATATGTAGTGAGCCACTGAGCAAGCCTGGCCAGATGGGGGTTTATAACTTGAAACCAGCAGTGGGTGGCTCTCTAAATTGTTAGCACCTAAATGAGCTTTCCCTATCAGTGGGAAAAGGATAAACAAGGAAGAATGGATGTGCTGACCTGAGCTTGCGAAGCTGTGCGATCACTTGGATGTGCTCCTCTGAAAGGTCCATGTTGTAAAGCACTAAGGAAACCAGACTGTCCTTCCATTGGGTCAGAAATCCCACATCGTTCAGCTGGATCCCAGAGAGATCAAGAGCTGCAAGGGAGGCCAAAGGCCGAAGCAACGTCTCCACATTTACCCCCTCGATCAAGCGGCCCAGGTTCAGGAAGCGCAAGCGGCTGAAGCCTTCAAAAGTAAAGTCCTTCACCAAGACCTGGCGAGTTGGGTTCACCAAACAGTCATCTTCACAGCCTCCAGGGTTCTCCTCCTCATAGAAGATATTACAGCAGCCAAAGAGGCTAAGGGAGATAAGTGTGTGGCTGAAGCTCACCAAGGTTTGTAGGCTCTTGGCTGTCAGCTTCTCACAGTTAGTCAGGTAAAGCTCAACAAGATCCTGGAAGATGGGAAATCAAAGTTAGAACTATTTCACAGGTAGAAATAGTTTGCTACATCACCTCCCACGGGGAGAGACTGAGACCATATATTTCCAAATTTGACTAGTATTCCTACCCCATCCCATACAGTGATTCTGGGAGATGAGAAGGGAGAAGCTGAAAGTTTCCCAAGTAAGATTTGGACGGTGAAGGATGCAGTCTTGAGCATTTCTGCGTGCCTGGTATTCTAGCTGGTGCCCTTGCAGCAATGCTGCCATGCAAAGTGGCAGCTGGAGACTGTCAGTGCAATACCTGCTTCCTGATGGCCTCCAGGTCCTGGTCCTGCACAATCTGTTCCCGCAAGTGGATCCGAGCTAGCCTGGTGCTCCGGGGATCTGAGAACAGGGTGAAGAAGCTCTCATGGGGTTCAAAGATGCTGTCTGTCTTCACGAGCTCCACGTACCTGTATTTGGGCAATGGCGTTAGCACAGCATGACACAAAGGGTCAGCCTCAGCTCTAGCACCTTCCCTGGTTACAAGAAAATATGAGCAAGTGCATAAGCACATGCAGAGTTCCCTCCTGATCTTCAACCTTTGGGGCAATGGGAGCTGGCCTGTTACTTCTTCTTGCACAGAACTAATGATCCTTAGGAAAATCTCAGGCATGCTCAAATGTGTGAGTGATCAGATTGGATTCTGGCAAGCCCAGACTCCAGGGTTTTTCCCCCATAGCTGTTTAATGATAGTAATTTGGTATTTTTTCATTATTTGGAACATTAGATGGCCAAAGTTCTCTGCCAGACTTTGAGGACAGGAGTTCAGCCAGGAGAGACTGTGACAGCCAAATTACACGAATCCCTGGAAACAGGTTGCTTTGTAAAGCTGTGGGAGCAGCAGCCTTAAAATTTAACATCTGTTAGCACTTTGCACTCTTATTTCTTTGATTTGAGAGAGCTGTAATGCTTCAGTGGTGGGAAATGAGAAGGCTCCTTTGTTACTTACTGATGTTCTTGGAAGGAGCAGGAACTGTTTCACTCTGGGTTTACTTATGTGGAAATGGTGACTGCCACAGGAACTAGAATGATATACAGCAGTACAATAACCCTTGGGGACACTTCCTCCTCAAATTAATGCAGCTCCTTATTTCCAATATGAGCATCAATTGGAAACCACCCCAGCCCTATGAATTCTTCCCCATTTTGTAATCCTTTCCCATCATTCTTTTCAGAGAATGACATCCCCCCTTCCCTTTGGGCTCCTTCCCAGACCAGCTTCTCCACGGGCCTGAAACGTACTCATTGACAAGCTTGTCACAAATCTCGCTTGGCAAGAAAATGTCAGGATGGAGCCGGAGAGTTTCGTTGTCCAGCAGGTAGCAGAGAGTCCCCTCCAAGTTGCGAAGGCAGTAATCAGTGCACAGGGCCATCAGTGACTCAGGGCTATCGGATGCCATCTTGAGGGAAGTTATGGGAAGGGGAAGAGCGGAAGGAAGCTTTTGAGTCAGGAAATCCTTTCCTCAAATGAAGCTCCAGGATGAATTTACAGGGACATCAGGACAACTATGAACAGAGGGGAGAAAAAGATGCATTGAGAAAGGCACATCGGCAGGTGTCCTGCAAAGCTGTTGTACCAGATCATTGTATTTACAGGCCATCACTTGCTGACCTCAAAAGAACCTACTGCCTTTTGGCCTCTCTGGCAGTATGCCCTTAATTCCTTGGTATCCCCACCCCAGGGGACACTGTGGGAATGAGTTAACACAAACCATGTTTGGAAATGAGGCTACACAGCAAGAAAATGTTTTCTTATTGCAGGAGTTATCTGGCAGACAAGGCCCTCTGAAAGGGAAGTGGAAGAAACCACACTGCTTGGTTTCCTTCTGAATGAGCTGGATAAACCAGAAGAAAATCTACTGTTGGGATGATGCAAATAGAAGTATGGCCTCATATCTTGGGCCTGCAATTGTTTGCCACCATTTCAAGGCAAATTTCATGTTCAAGCTGAGTGTTTCTCTCAAGCCAGAAGCTTCATGCAAGTCCTTAAACTAGACTGTGAAATGGATTAGAAGCCAAAGGAAAACATACAGACTGGTTTGGCTTCTCTTTGTAATGTAAAGCCAGGTTTATTCATATGTTGGACATCTACATCCAGCAAACTGGGACACGCTCACTCAAACTGTTCCAAATCTGTCACAAAAAAGTATGAGTGACTAACCTGGAAAAGACACTTTTGCCCTTCATTTTTAGTACAGGATGAAGAAGGATGGGTAAGGAAACAACTGGGGGAAGCTATTCCTGTCTCTCTTTTTATTTGAAATAAGAAGCCTCACTCACTGGCACTGAAGAAGGGCTTGCTGGAGCCTTGGAGGTGTTTAGCAGAAGCGACTGAAGACCAAAGAGTCAAATCACATTAGAAACAACCCTGATGGACTTCTTCTGTATATTTCCATGGACACGCAAAAACTGTGTTGAAATGTTTATTTCAATTGTTATGTCCCTGCACTTGTTTGCTCTCTCCTTCAATCCTGCAGTATCAGTACAAGACAGAAGAGTTTAATTCCCTTTTCTCACCTTAGTCCATATCCCCAGAGGCACCCGGGGTGGATCAGGCACCTTCCCTCCTCACTTTCAGATGCTCTGTTCAGCTCTGCCTGGCGATGACACCTGAAAAAAGGATCAGTCAAGCCTGTGGATGAGGTAATCTTTGGAATTCAGGCACCAAATGGTCTCTCTGGGTGATAAGAACACAGCTGTGACTGAGCCTGCCTGGCAGCCCGGGCTCCCAGCCTTCTGATCCCTCCCTGCAGAATGGATTTCCATGCAAACATGGAGGCAGCACAAGTTAGAAATCAAAGCTCTTTTCTTTCTTCCTACTCAGTTTCATTCATTCTTTTTCTGAGGGCGTGCTTCAATGTCAGGGACAAAGATCTGGCCAAGGAATTAACCCAGCACAGAGAGAAGCCTGGTGCTGAACTTGAATTACCTTTTGGCTTTACCTGAATTTGATCTATAGTTTCTCTTTCCTGTAAGCATTTTTGGGAAGTCTATTTGCTGCAACTGGCAGGTTCATGTTCCAATCCCAAACTACTTCTGAACCACTTGTTCTGACCTAGAGCTTACAACAGCCTTTCCAGTGTGGATCTTAGGTTCTCTTCTTGTTTTGACTTAAGAGGGAAAAGCAAAAGCAGATGCTGGGCAAAAAACCCTGAAACCAGCAACCACAAAACCTGTACTTAACATCCTGATTATAGACAGTTTGAAGGGTGTATCCTGCTCTGCTGGGTCAGAGTCCTGAGCTGGGGTCACCATAATGTAAAACTGTGACTTCTTGAGGGTGCCTTAATAGCTTGGAGACCTTTTGAGATGCATTTGGAACAAAACAAATGAGTAAAGCCTTTCGTCTTCACCTTTGAAAAAGAAGGAAATCCCTAATCCAGCACCCTCTCCTTTGTAGTTAATTCAGGGAGAAGTCAAGGATGAAATGGGCCACTGTGTGCAGAGCATTGTCTCATGGGCTGTGAGGTCCTGGCTATGGGAATGCAGGTGGGAGGAACTTGTCCTGTGTTCTGTGCTGTGTCTGTGTTGGAGATGAATCTGCTTCACCTCCAGAACGAGTCCCTTGCAGATTTTGCCTGGAGCTTGCTTCAGAGAATCTTTCCAGAAAGGCAAGATCAACAGGAAGATCTGAACCACTCGGGAAACATGTTCTGCTATCCCTACCAGTTCCCCTTGTGCCATCAGACAGGAGGTCCCTGCAGCCACTGTTCTTCCACTGTTTACTACCGATGGCCAGAGAACTCGAAAACAGATTCCCATTGACAATCTATTATCACGTGCAGCTGGAAACAGCCAGTGCTTGGGACTTGTCCAAGCAGCTTTGAGCACTAAAGGGCAAGGATTGCCTTCCTGTGGCTCTGACAATCCTCTATTCCCCCTCTGCTGAGACCAGCACAATGTAGCTGGTTGATCCCAGCCCTGGAGAAATCAGCTGCCCTTTAACTTCTGAGCTCCATGTGACCCACCAACAAAATCCCATGTGGAAGGTGGATATAAAGAGAAGTGGTTAAAGCATCCCAGTAAAATAACACCAAAGAAATGCATTCATCCTCGTGATTTCTTATGGACATCTGAGCACCACCCAGAGCTCCTGCTGTGACCTTTTGTATGGGGCACAGTACAAGCCAGCCTCTCCCTCCTCAGTCAGACTCAAGACATGACACATGGGCAGAGGGAGATGGAAGTAAGTGTCCATAGCTGCCCTGATCAATAGTGTCTATAGTTATAAGCCTAGCTTGTTGATAAAAGCAAATGAACTAGAGCTGCTGACTAATTAACGTTTACTTAATTGTTATTCTTGGGCAGCTTTCCCCAGGCAACAGACCAGCACACTGACAGCCCAGCGCACTGTCACCAGCACTTTCAATGATGAGCAATGAGCTTTCTACTGCATGTGAAAGATGCTGAAAATTCAAGTATAAGAATCAAAAAGTGACCAGAACTACGGCTGCCAAGAATTTTTCCAGTTTATTTTTCCAATAGATTTGCTTCCATCTTCACACATGAAGGAACAGAGGCCACTGGAGATGCAGGAGATATAAAGGCATATAGACACAACGAGCCCTCGCTGCGGAGCATCAGCACCCTCCCATTGTTTACAGACCCAAAGGAAGCTGCAGCACATGCAGCTTCACTCTCTTCCACCACCAACCTTCCAGGCCCAGCCAGCAAATCTGGCAAATATTGCTTATGTGTATGCTCCATCCTCATTGTTACGGCACTTTAGGCGGTGCTGGCACAAGAGCCTTGGGACTGCTCCTGGCACTCCTGGGGCTGCCCATGCCAATATCCTCTGCCTTGGACTCCAGACTTATCTTCTCTCCCAGTCTCTCTCCAGGCAGTTGCCCAAGCCAAGCCTGACTCACCATGGCTGCACGCCAACAACATAACGTTTGTGCTGCTGCTACAAAAATGATTGCAAAGCGACTTTTCCAGCATCAGGGATTTGTCCAAGGAGAGGGCAAACAATATGCACTGATGGGAAGTGATTGCAATGACTTTAGAATACCAAATACAATGTAAATGCAGAATTTGGCACAGGTTACACCTTGAAGGAAAACTGCACCGTCATTTTAGCTGGCGTCTCGCAGCTGTAAGTCACTGAGATTTCATTAATTGATGGGTCACCACAGTTTGTGTGGGGAAATACCATCCCTTTCTTACAGCAGCGAAACTGAAGCAGGAGTAGGCTGAACTATTCCATGGCCCAGCCAAACTCTGCGATTCTCAAACCTGTCAGCCTGGCAAGACTGACACTGTAAATGAGACAAACCACGCTAGCTGAGAAACATGTTGATCTTTGTACCTGCCTGCAGTAAAGATGCTCCTTCGGCTCACTGAATCATAGCAAGGGTTCTCTTTCCAAAAGGTCACCTGCCCAGGAGGACACCCCGGGGGAGCCCCTGGGGTTCCCACTCCCTGGGTGCAATGGGCTCTGACAGCCCTATGAGCCCCTTGACTAGCCTGCGGCCAGGTCGCCAGCCCAAACCTCCCTCGCTCCCCGATTCGGGGCGCCGGCCCCGCTCCGTGGGGCGACCTTCCCTTCCTTCCCTTCCCGAGCACCCGGAGGTCACCTCTCCCAGCAGCGCCGGGGTTCGTCATGGACGGGCTGCCGCGGCCCAGGCCCCGGCTGCCCCCACAGTCCCGAGGAGAGGTCGAGAGCCTCTCCAGGGGAGCACCGGCCGGCGCTGCCGGGGGCGGCGGTTCCGCGTGGGGCGGCGCTGCCTCGCCGTGCAGGCCCGGTGTCCCCGGACAGGGCGAGCCCCGCGGGTCAGGCTGGGGAGGGGGACGCCGGCACTCACCTGGCGCCAGGCCCCCGCCCGGCGCGGCCGATGGGCGGCGGGAGCCGCGGCTCGTCCCGGCGCCGCTCCCCGGGGCGGGCACGGGGGTGTCCGCGTCCTCCTGGGGCCCACTCCCCCCGCCGCGGCCTCCGCTGTCAACAAACCCCGGCGTCACTTCCGCCAGCCGGGACCTCCCGTACCGGAAGCGCCGCCGCTTTCCCCTCCCGGAAACCGCGGCCAGCCCGGAACGCTCGGGCCGTGCCCGCCGGTGCGCGGGCAGCCCCGGTTCTCCCTCACGCACCGTGACCTCACGGGGCGCGACGGTGAGGACGTCACGGCAGCGGCACGCACTGCGGTGACATCACCGCGCCGCTGCATGGCGTGAGCGCGGGGGCGTCACCACACGGGCGTTCGCGGGGCGGCGGCGGCGGCCCGGGGCTCCCCGGTCCCCACTGCCCCTTCTGGCTGAGGCCACCCGCGGGTTCCGCGGGCGCCAACCGGGACGCGGGCACCGAGCTTTGACCTCGGTACCTCAGCGCCCTACCCACGGCGTCGTTTGTGGGGCTGACACCGCAGCGAGGGGACCCCAGCCCTGCCCACTGGTCCCCGTGAGAGGGCACAGCCCGCGGCAGAGCCGCTGCCCGCTGGGGAAACCGGGACCGCCCGGGGCAAACGGAGCCGCGGGCACGACCGCGCCGCGGGGCGGGGCTCAGGGCTCACGGTCCCGCCCCCTCCCCACATGGGCGGAACCACCTTGGAGCGGTGGGGGGGGGGGGGTTGGAGGCGTGGTGTGTCCCGGTACCACCCCCGCACCCCCCCCGCGGGCAGGGTTTCCAGCCGGAGCGCTTATGCGGAGCGCGGGGCAGGGGTTCGGGGGCCGCCATGTCACGGTTGCACCGGAGCAGGTGGGTGCCGGGGCTCTGCCCGTGGCGGGGCTGCGGCGGGAGGGCGCTGTGGGGTCGGTGGGTGCTGGTGTGTGTGGGGGGTGTCTGTAACACGCGTTATAGCGGCCCCGGCTCCGCTTCCCTCAGGATCGCGGACTTCCAGGAGGTGCTGGGAGAACCCACGGTGGCGCTGGCCAAGCTCCGCGACCTGTGCTTCAGCGGTGAGCGGCCCGGCCGGGGCAGGAGGGCGAGGGCACGGCCTGAGCCTTGGGGAGGGGCCCTCCGGTGGTGGCCCGGGGCTGGGGCCGTCCCCGCGGGGCTCAGAACGCGTTGTCAGGCCCCGAAGGATGTGGCGGGTGATGGTCCCCTCAGCTACGGCGAGTGAACCCGCTGCCATTGCCGCTGTGAAGCGGCGGGGGTTGCAAACCGCGGCTCACGGGTGTGTTTTCAAGCCCAAGCTCCAGTCAGGCCGCAGCGGTCCCCACCCGGCCTCTGAACACAGCCACAGGCTTCCAGGCAAACCCTTCCTACCCTTTCGTGAGGTACTTGTGGCTTTCATCGCTTCTGGCCATCACCTGCGCGTCCCCGTCTTTCTGCTCCCAACACCCGCAGGAACCCTCCCAGCCCCGTGGGAGGCCCCGGCATTGTGGCACCGTGTAAAGCCCCATCGCGGCCCTGTGGGAACTTCTTGCCCCCCGGGAAGGGAAAGTGCTGCCTCGCCTGTTTGTGTGGTGGCATTAGCGAACCGCCGCCAGGAGACCGGGCTTAACGGAGCTGTTTCTTTGCCTGATGTTCCACAGGGATCCCCTTTGATGGTGGGCTGCGCTGCCTGTGCTGGAAGGTGGGTTTTGCTTGGGGTGCTTCTGTGTCTTGTGAGGGGGGCTTTGCGTTGCTGAAGGACACGTAGTGTTTTGTTGGCGCTTGCGGTTATGATCAAAGCAATCTAGAGCTGAAAAACCACTCAAAATCAAGAGTAATTTGCGGAGCTCAGCACTGGCACACACTCACAGCAGCATTTACTGACACGGGGCTGCCATTGCTTTGGAGAATAGAAAGTGGCTGTCGGCTCTTTTGCATGAGAACAGCTCTCAGTATTAAGCTAGGGGTGCATTCGGTCAGGTTAGCTATTGATCAGCCCTGCAGATGGGTCTGTGTTGAAAACCAGTCCCTGAAATATCCTTGGCTGTTTCTTGGCAAAGTATTGGGCTTTCTGGAGAAAGCTGACAATGTTTTCAAAGAGCCGGTTGTAGCCTCTGTGTTTGCTTTGCTCATCTTTCAGGTATAACAGCTCACCCTCCAAACACTTATTTCTGTGTCTCTCTGTCTTCTGTACAGATACTCCTGAACTACCTCCCTTTAGAGAAAGCCTTATGGAGCTCTTTGCTGAAGAAACAGAGGTGAGAACGTTGCTGCTTGCCCCTTTGTTTCTAAAGATACCTGCAGAGAAGGAGAATAGTTCCTTAAATAATTAAGTACCTTCACAGAAAGAATTGTTCTTGTGTGGAATGTACTGTTCTGTAGACTGATGGGCGGATTGACCTCTTCAGCTAAACTCAACCGAAGAGAAAATCAAATGCCCTCTGGCTGAGCAGAGTGGCACAGAGAGATCTGTTCGACCTCAGTTTGCTGCTTCACTGACGTAATCTTCTGCTTCATTGCAACTTCCTCTTTTCCTCCTAAAGGGATCTGTATTCCCAGTTCCTCAAGGAAATGATTATCCAGCCTGGGATTGCGAAAGCCAACCTGGGTGTTTCAAGGGAAGATGTGACCTTAGAAGATCATGTAAGTGTTGTTAAGTCTTTGTGCTGCAGAAAACTACTCAGTGTTATTAACAGTTGTTCTGGATTCTGGACCCCTGGGCTGGTTTTGGCTCTGTTCTCAACTGGTTTGCCTTGCTAAAAACAGGAGAGACTGTTCCTAAGTACCAGCCTGGCACTTGTGTCTTAGTAGCTTTCTGTGTGAATTACTGGCAAAGCACCAATAGTTCTGAAGAGAGCTGTTTTCAGCTATGCATGTGCCTTCTAGCCTCCTCTGGGGATAGCTGCTCTAGGGTCTCCTAGGGAGAGGCTCACAAGAGGTACCTGTGGCAAAGAAACACTCTCCTGGAAAGTTGGGTCCATGGTGGCCTCAGAGCAGGGTAATCTGAACAGAGGATATAGAAGTGACAGGAGAGGTAAGTTGGGCTGTGGCATGGAAGGCAGGAAACTCACTCACTTCTAGTTTTGCTGCCTGGCTTTTTAGTGAACCATCTCCTGCATCCCTTGGCCTTTTCCTTCTCTGAAAACTCTGAAGAGTGTATGTGATGGGGGAGGGAATGAGGTAACTGATCAGAAAAGACTGTAAAATGATACAAGTGCTTCCATGACCAGTCTTGAACATTAACTTCTCTGCTAGCATGCAGTCATCTGTGTGGCTGTGATCTCTGGAGGCCTTGGTGCTGTAAAACTAATGTCTGTAAAACTCTGGCAGGTTACAGCGATCTTTGAATCTTCTTGGTTAGTTGTTACCTGTGCTTCTTGTGTTGCAAAACTGGTCAGGTACAGGGAAGGTTGTTCATAGTAGTATGTATTTCCTTTTCCCTGGCCATGATGGTGATGTTTAATCAGCCTTCTTGGAACTGAGGTAGAGGAATATTTGCAACTACTAACCCCAATGGCCAAGAAATGGCTGGGTAACTCTTAGCCTAACTACAAAGACCATCTCCTGCAATCAGGAATCTTGTTGACATGGGACAGGGAGTCTGATTTTGGAACAAAGTCATTAAGAGACTGGTGAAAAGGGATTGGAAATGTCGGCTTCTGCCTCTGTAAGTGAGCCTGCATGCTTGCTTGTTTCACAAGCTCTAATCATTCCCTGCAGACTGTGTGAAGAACATTAAACGCAGCTAGTGAAAAATTAAACCTGATGTGCTACGAGCGTGCTGGTACTGGATGACAGAGGGACAGCAGGAATGTTAAATCACTGGGTATTTACTGAGGGTTTGGGTACATGTGAAACGTGCTTGTTCTGTCTCTGTTGTTTGTTTCTTCAGCCCCTCAATCCAAATCCTGACAGCCGATGGAATACTTACTTCAAGGATAACGAAGTGCTTCTCCAGATAGATAAAGATGTCAGGTGTGTGAGGAACAGTGACTCAGGTCTCTGAACCCCAGTGCTTCGGTTAACACGTTGTCCTTTGGAAACAAAGTTTAATATTAAACCCAGCCTCCATGGGGCTCAGACTTCCTTTTCTTATGCCTGATTTCCTTCTGTGTCCATCCTAGGAGGCTGTACCCTGACATGGCATTCTTCCAGCGCCCAACAGACTACCCCTGCCTTTTAATCCTGGACCCCCAGAATGAGTTTGAGACGCTGCGCAAGCGGGTGGAGCAGACAACGCTCAAGTCCCAGACAGTGGCACGGAACCGCAGCGGGGTCACAAATGTGAGATGCGGGGAGGCTGGCCAGGGAGCGAGGCAGCTTAGCTGATAAGGGAAGGCTGTTTCCTGGGCTTTTCTTATGTTTTTCTCACTGCTTGTGCAGTGGAATGACGCCAGTACCTCAGCAGGCACTGTGTGTTCTGGTGGCTGGACAGCTTTGTAGAACCAGTTGATGTGCCTGACACTAAGGAATTACAGGTGTATTTAATGTTAAAGATATTTTTTCCTGACTCCTGGAGGAAGTTAGAGTTGCAGGAAAATTTGAGTATTTTATGCTTGACATGTGCCTTTCTGTATGGGAACAAAACACTGGAGGGGTAATTTATTTGAGTTGAATCTGCTGAAATACACGTTGTCTCTTTCCTGAGCCTTACAGCACAAGTGCCACATGCTGTTGGGGAATGTGGCTTGTTACCACAACAGATCTATGCTTTTCCTCATTCTACTAACAAAGAAGTGGAACTGCTGTGGCTTCTTGCTGCGTGGGATCAGGTGGTGCAATGATTGAGGGGAGCTTTCTGTTGCTGCACAGACTGCTTTGTTCTTCAGGGGTACCCAGAACTAGGACTTCACTGCTTTTGTACTTCCCAGGTTGCTTGTCTTGGTTTATGTGAACACCTCCCTGCTTGGTATAAGCTGCCTAAATCTTTTGGGGGGCACTGTGTATTAAAAGCCAAGCTTGTCACATGTACAAAGCTATCTGTGCCAGCTGGTTATGCTGAGTCAGCCCTGGTCTTGTATTGCTTTCAGGTGAGCTCCCCTCTTAAAACAACACCTAATGCTCTGAGTGAGTATGAAGTTCTGCCCAACGGCTGTGAAGCTCACTGGGAAGTGGTGGAGCGAATCCTGTTCATCTATGCCAAGCTGAACCCTGGGATAGCATATGTGCAAGGGATGAATGAAATTGTGGGGCCTCTTTACTACACCTTTGCTACAGATCCTAACAGTGAATGGAAAGGTGAGAGACTTTGCTCAGTAAGGGCTGTTTTACTCTGTGCCCTCTACATGAAGAACTGCTTTGGGAAGGAGACTCTCTTAAAACAACTGATAAGAATAGAATGGGAGTACTTTGCTCATCACTTCACAGGAGCTCTGAGGGTATGGGCTCATGCTGGGGAGAGCAGATGATGTTCTTGGGCATAGATAACTGGTTTGTGACCCAGTGTCACGAAGACCTTGTGTTACACACAGGGACTGAATCTGCAGTGGCTCTGTAGACACTTCTAGTTGGGGAAAAAAAAGAAGTATCTTGTCTTGTCCCAAACCAAGTAAGCCAAGATCTTGTGGGATCTGCTACTTGAATCCAGTACAGCAACCAGATTATGGAGCAAGAATATTTCTGTGTGCCTTTGTCAGTGCTGCTTGCTTTATTCCCCTGTGATACTATGGGGGGTTTTATCAATTCTTTTTCCAGAACATGCTGAAGCAGACACATTTTTCTGCTTTACCAATCTAATGGCTGAAATTCGGGACAACTTCATTAAGAGCCTGGATGATTCTCAGTGTGGTATTACCTACAAAATGGAGAAGGTCTACTCCACCCTGAAGGAGAAAGATGTGGAGCTGTATTTGAAACTTGTGAGGAGCTAAGTGTTTCTCTGAGTCTTGGTTGGAATGTGGGGAGTGGAGCTCAGTAGTGCATTTAAATATCAACCAGTTGTGTTAAACTGTTACTGTGCTTGAATAGAAAGGCTGAGAGAGTGTGGGAAGGGCTTTGCCTATAAGGCATAGAGACCCTTATCTGTGAGCCAAAACAACCTCTCCTTGGAGTAAGCCTAGAGCGAGCTGACACAGCCAGGCTTTCCTCCCTTGCCTCACTGAATGCAAACAATAGTTGTTGCAGAGCTGTGAGTCCAGAGTGACTTGGCCATGATCCCTGGTCACCTGGCTGGAGTCTTTGCTCTCTTCTACTTAATAGACAAAGCATGAGTTTTGTGGTAGAGTTCAAACAAAAACTAGCCTTCAGTCCATGCACACACTGCCCTGATAGCACTTAGACTGCATGGAGCTCATTCCAGAAGTGAAATACAGCAAGCTGGACCCTCTCACCCACCTAATTCTATCTTTCTCCTTCATCCAGTGGTCTCTTAGTGCCTTAGTGTGAGATAAGTAGAAGGCAGCTTTTGTTGAAAACATGTTCAGGTCGTATTGTCCATTTGGTGTGAAAGCCCAAGGAGAATTTGGAAGGGAAAGCTGTTCTTGTTACCCCATCCTTCACTAGATCATGCTTTGATCTCTTTTGCCTGTAGAAAAAACAGGATGTATTTCTTTTACAGTCCAAAAGATGCTTTGTCAACACAGTGACATGATCCACAGTGTTGACTGATTCAGTGGGGAAAATATAAACTCCTTCTATTTGGCTGTCAGGAGCTGGCCTTGGCTGTGCAGCAGGTGGCGTTTAAGAATATCAGCAGGATCCTGAACTTATTTGATCTTGATTAAACCTGCAGTCCCTGGGATTTAACAGCAGAAAACAAGAAAGCTTCAGGCTGGAAGTTTTTATGCTGTGCTTTAGTGACCATCAGTGTGAACTCTGTTCCATCTTTGTTTCTTTTTGTGAATAGTAGAACTTCTGCTAAATACAGGGCTCCTGGGAAGGAGAGGAAATCCTGACAAAACAGTGCTCCGCTAGAGGGGGAGGGTTGTGGCTTTGCAGATAAAATGCTGTTCAAATGGGAATTACTTGGCAAGTTTAAAGGAACTAACACAACTGGTGCCTTTAGGAAGAAAAGCTTCCTCTGCTTCAAGTTGTGGTCAGAGGAGCATTGTCTGGCTTGGCTGTAGACATGGGGCATGGCTACATTGAAAACCTCTCTCTGTCTTGAATGTGAAAGCCTTCAAAGGAGGCAGTGGGTTTGCTGATGTTGCAGGATGAGTTGGCAGCTTAGAGCAATACCAGGGTGGAGATGGGGATGGAAACATGGGGTGCATCTCTTACTTGTAGGGAGCACATACTCATTCTTTGCCTGGTGCCTGTCTGACAGCAAGAACAGAACATCAAACCCCAGTTCTTTGCCTTCCGCTGGCTGACGCTGCTCTTGTCCCAAGAGTTCCTGCTGCCAGATGTCATCCGCATCTGGGACTCCCTCTTTGCTGACGACAAGCGCTTCGATTTTCTTCTGCTCGTCTGTTGTGCCATGTTGACGTAAGTACATCGGTAGCATTCCTGCTCTTCCCTTCCTTTACCTGAGTCTGTGGATCCAGGAGTCTTCTGTAGCTGTATGTTCAGGCATCCGGTGAATAGGTGATAGTCCTTGTTCATCATGGTAGCAGAAGTGTTTCTGAAAGCCTCTATAAGGGCACAGTGTGGCCTGTCAATAAAGCTCCTTTGTGGAGTCAGAAGTAGCTGGAATAATTTTCATCTTTCAGACTAATCCGGGATCAGTTGCTGGAAGGAGACTTCACTCTGAACATGAGGCTGCTACAGGTAAGGATTGGATGCAGTGGGCATAGGAGTCAATGTAAAGAGTCTTAAAATAGTCCTGTGAGAGGATGATGGTGTGAGGGAGGATGTGCCTGGCTGAAAAGGAATATGGATTTCTGCTGTTTGCATGCAGAAAAATCTTGAGGAATCTCACAGCGTGCTCATTGCTGGAAGTGCTAAGATTTTGCTTGTGCACCCATTCTGTCCTACAGAGAAATTATCATAGATTAGAGGCTCCTTTTGGTTTGCAAAAGATGGAAGCAAAGATGTGAAACTCTATGTGACAGTGCTAAATTTGTTGGCCAGAGGCTTTTGTTTAGTTCTGAGATCTGTGGGAGGCCAAGGTCGAGAACACCTGCACTGCACAGTAGGAGATCTTTGTTTCTGCCAGTTCCTGCTTTGGGCTGTGCAAGATACTGGCTTTGATAAGGCTTGCTGGCATGAAGATAGCCCTTGTAGCAGGCCAGTTTGCTGGCCAAATTAAAGGACAAATTAAAAAGAAAACAAACAAAACCTTGAAGGGTATTGAGGCTTGATCAGTTATAAAACAGGGAACTATTAGCTGTTAAGGGAGTAACAACATGGCATTATGTGTTATAATAGGCCCAGAATGCTCTTGCCAAGGTTTGTCCTACTTAAGTGAACCAGAAATGCTGGGCAGTCATTGACATCACTTTGTTTCTTTGACACAGGATTATCCTATCTCTGACGTTCATCTGATTTTGAAGAAGGCAAAAGAACTTCAAGATTCCAAATAGTCCATGAACCTAACAAAAGGTGTCATAGAAACTGTGTGGCAGCAGATCCCAGGAGATGCCCCTCATGCAGCATGGAGCATTAAAGCTCCTTGTGATCTCTGCAGGACTTCAGGTTTCATGTTTGGGCTACTGGCCATCTTGAAGACTTCCTCCTACTCTATTTATTAAGTCAAGGACTGATTGCTTCCCCATCTGCTTGGGTCCTGCACTCCAGATATTTTTTCTGTGCTGCCAAAAGCAGTTCTTTGTATCTTTTTAATGACTTTCAAGTTTGAGGAGAAAGAAACCACCTGTCTGCATATCCCTGAAGGGATGGACTCCTGTATCACGGGAGTGACACATGGAGTAACTCCTGATTGGGAAGGGACAGGCAGGGTCCAGTGGATTTTGGTGGGTGAGTGTAGAAGGATCTTCCTCCTGTGAATAGAATGTACTCCAATGAAGTCACACCTCCTGCCATTCAAGTAGCTCCTGGATTCTTCTCCCTCGTGTCTGTGCTTGGCCATCCCTGGGGTGTGTAAAGAAGATTACATTGGGTTTTGGTGATTGTCATCTGGCATCCTGCAGTTTGGACCCCTTTGCCTGGGAAAGGGACCTTGATGAGCTAAGATGGGAGGACATGATTACAGCTGGTGGCTTCATGCACTGAAACTGCCTGAATCCAGAATCGCCTTATCAACACAGTCTCCTTGACAGCCAGACTGTGGTGGCTTTAATCGATGAGTCAAGTGCAGTTTGAACTCGAGCCTTATTATGCACAGCCTTAGAGCAGGAGCGTGTTGCTGCAGGAAGGCCTCATGCTGCTTTCCTGGCTCTGAACTGGAGCATATCCAGCTACAATCCGGATTCTGAAACACAAGAAACGGGCATCTAGACATGTGCAATGAAGACAGATGTATATAGAGGCTTATACAGGCATGGCACTGGGCTGTTCTGCCTCAGTGGCTTGCATAATATTACCCTGCAAGAAGCTCTGGTCACAGGGACCTTGATACTGTCTCACAGTACATCTTGCCAGGAAGAGACATGGTACAGGTCTGAGCTACAAGTAAGATTGCTTTCCTGGTGTAATCCAGTAGACATACAGGCATCACACTAAGTCCTGGTGGAGTCACAGTCCTGAGCTGAACACTGGACCCTCTTGAGAGAGGAAACTACTGCATTTCCAGTACGGTGGAGCAGGTGAACAGCAACTGAAACAAACCATGGAGAGAGCTGCTAACCTGTGGCAATGTTGAGCTGATCAGAAACTCTAATCCTTGGAGGGAGAAACTGCCAGCACCCGGGTGCCTGGGTGGAGCAGAAGCTCTTGAGTGAACACTAATCCAGCGTGCTTTCCCCTTCTGTTCCGTGCTGCCTCACCTCTGCATAGCTGTTTGACACTGCAGGTTTTGGTATTTATGGGTACTGATTTGTTAAAGGTCAGTCTTTGCAAGATCTGCTTAAGCTGCTGATGGCCTAGAATTGCCTTAGCAGGAGGGATGCTGTCAGCCTGCAGCTTTTATACTGGTGTTATTTCCTTCACTGAAGGCCAGTTCTTTACAGGCTCCTATAATTGTCACAAAGGTGTGTGGGGAGGCTGGGGGACAGGTTGATGCATGTACCTCTGTTCTTACTGGCAATCTGTAAGCAAGCTCTGCCTCTTGAGGAGATGCTAGAGTAACCCTGGGGCAGCCCAGTGTTGCTGCTGTGGTGGAGCAAAAGCAACTGAAGACTTAAAACAATCTGTAATTAATACCTATGGCTAACACTATCCCTCTCTGCTGCACTCCTTTCTAGAGGGTAGAGTTTTCCTTCAAGAAATATGGAACCAATAGGCCAGCACAGCTGTGTGATGAAGCATCCTGCCTGCTCTAACCACTGGATGGATCTTTCTGCCTTGTATTGCTGAGCTATTCCAGGGGGTCTCATGGTCTCAGCTCATAGGTACCCCACACTAGAGGGGCCAGCAGGCAGACCTCATGTGGCCAAAGAGCTAGGTGACAGGCACAAATGTAGAATGAAAAGGTCAAGCTCTTAGGCAAAATTTGACCCCCTCCAAACACTTCTGCCTCAGAACTGCTGTAAATGCACTGTTGCTTTCTCCCATTCTGTTTCTCACATTGTGTTTTTGCACACACAATCTCTGCTCTCACCTCCCCAAATACCTGGCCTGTCTGTTTCAGGCCCCCCTGGCAAGTGCAGGGGTCCCTTACACTGTATTTTCTCACTAACAGGATCCTCCTTGAGGGTTCCTGCTCTGAACAACTAAAAGTCTCCTTAAAATAACCTGAGAAGGCTGCAGGCAAATCAGGATTAAAGCATTATTGGGAGATGAACTTCTGATGTTTTCAGAGCAGCATTTGGGCCCTGAGGTTGACCTAGAGGAAGACACTGGGGAGGTGTAGATGTAGGTGGCTGACTGAGTACTGGTATTGTGCTGTCTTCTCCCTTCCTAGGTGTTGAAGAGCTTAGGGGTGATGGTAAGTGCTTTTAAAAGGAGTCTGCAGTGGTTTAATGGGATGTGATGAGAGCTTTGGCTGCAGGAAAGGTTCTTCTGGATGAATTCTCTAGCTTTATCCAGACTATGGATTCAACTGATTGAGGACTGATGAAGGACTTCTTTGGGGAGCACTTGTAACAACTTTGATACACCCAGAGAGGCTGGATCTTACATGAAAAGTTGTTTTATAATCCTCCTTATCCCCTCCTGTGTGGTAAGCCTGTTGAAAGGAGCTGTACTTTTCAATGTCTTGGGACATCCAGTTCCTTATTCCAAGCCTTTCTCCTTTCTTTAAGAACAAAACCTGGTTTTCTGAGTGGAGAAAACAAAGTCTTAACTTGTTACCAGCTTTTGCATCTCCTCGTGGCTTCATTCCTCAAAGGCTTCTGGTGATGTTTTGCTGTTGTTGAGGTCCGGCAGTATTTATCTACCGGTTCCTTGCTTTTGTGGCCAACTAACAACGACTCCACCCTTGAGGTGCTTCCACTTCTGATCCATTTCAGTTCTGATCTGCTGCAGGAGCAGGAGGTTGGCTGAAGCAGCGGTTCTTTGGGATGGGAGGCGTTAATCTGGGGTGCCTTGGGGCCCCCTTATTTCATAGGGGCCTAAACAAGATGTTTAAATAGCTCTTGTTCTGTGTTCCTCGCAGGCAGGCCTGCTGCCAGGCAGGGGAACCCATCCTCACCTGGGTGGGAAAACAGGGATGCGGGGAGGGATGAGCCCTCCCTGCAGGAGGAGCTCTGCCTGCACCTGCTGCAGTCAGAGCTTTGGGAAACCTTGGGGCTTTGCCAGGGAGGGTAGGACCAGCAGGATGGGTGCTGGAGATGTTGATGGTGGTCACGCCGAGCATTGATTTGCGTTGGCATTATGTGACCTAAGTACGCTTCGGTAGTGAGCAGAATGAAGGGCTGGGGTTGCTTCGGGTGCTTGGGAAAGCATTTCCCCGAATGAACGTCAGGGACTTGTCGCTCTGTGGAGCTCTCTTCCAAACTGCCCTTTCCCTGTCAGAGAGGAGCAGATCACACTTCATGGGTTCACCTTGGCTGGAGCGCCATGGCCAGAGCAGGGTGCGGAGAGCACTGCCCCCAGCGCCCGAACCCTCCGTCTTTTATCCTTCCTTTTTGCACGCTGTTTTTATAACGCTCCCTTCACCTAACGGGTGGCTTTGTGCGGACGCCTCGGGCTGGTGCTGGGCTCGGGGTTCTCGCCGCTGCAGCGGGGAGCCCCGCTCCCGGCTCCGGTTCGACGCCGCTTTCCCCGCACGCCGCTGCCGCCGGTGTGGCCCGGGGTCGCGGTGTCCCCACGGGCAGCGCCTTAAAGGGGCGATGCTCCCTTGCCGGCCGATGCCCTTCCCGGGAGAGCCGCGGCCCCTTTAAGCGGCGGGTCTCACAACCCAGCGGCGGCCATGCTGCGGAGCCGGTGGCTGCTGCCCGGGGCCGCGCTTGCCCTGGGCGCGGGGCTGGGGGCGGCCCTCACCCGGCGCCGGGCCGGGGGCGATGCGGCGGAGGGGCTGCTGGGCCGCCTGCCCGTGGTGCCCGTCGTGGCGGCGGCCGGGCCGCCCGCGCTGCTGGGCTCGGCCCCGGCCGAGCTGACCAAGTACGGGCTGCCCGGGCTGGCGCAGCTGCGGAGCCGCGAGTCCTACGTGTTGTGCTACGACCCGCGGAGCCGCAGCGCGCTCTGGGTCATCGAGCAGCTCAACCGGGACACCCTGAGCGGCGCCTCGGAGCGAGCCGCCTGCGACTTCCAGGAGGACGACTCGGTGCACGAGTACCACCGAGCCACCAACGCCGACTACCGAGGCAGCGGCTTCGACCGCGGGCACCTGGCGGCCGCCGCCAACCACAAGTGGAGCCAGAAAGCCATGCGGGACACGTTCTACCTCAGCAACATCGCCCCGCAGGTAGGGCCCGTCCCGCTACGGGGGCAGCCGGAGCGGCCCGGGGTCAAGGGCAGGCGCTGCTCCGGGATGGGAACCGCTTCCGGACGCTCTTCCCTTCGTGCAGGCAGAGGGGGGGGGGGGTGTCTGGGTCCAGAGGGGCCAAAGTCTCTCGGTGCTGCCGTATTTCCGCTCAGCAGCGATGCTGTAGGTACCTCTGCCCGCTTCCCTCGGGCCAGGAGCTCCCTTAAACAGGCAGGAGGATGCTTGGAAAAGGGTGGGCTGAGGCGAGCGGGCGCTGTTCCTGGGTGTGCAAACCAGGACCTCGCTGTGTGCGGCTTCCCAAGTGGAAGTGATGGTGGAGATCTCTTCTGAAGGTGCTTGGGGTGTACAGGAAAGCGGGTGTTAGCGCCCTGAGCAGAGGGGAAGGTCCCCAGCACTGACCGCTGCCCTTGTCACTTGGTGTGTCTCTAGGATCCTCATTTGAACCAGAATGCCTGGAATAACCTTGAGAAGTACAGCAGGAGCTTGGCGAGGAACAACAAGAACGTCTACGTCTGCACAGGACCCCTTTTCCTGCCCAGGTAAGCACAAGGGCTGAGCTGGGGTCTGTGGTGCTGGGCAAGGACAGGAGGCTGAGGGAGGGGGGGTGCAGCCTCCCAGCTGCTCCCTAAGGCCCTGCTCAGCGGGTGCTTTCGGGATCGGTTTGTGTATTTCCCATGCAGCTGATTACGCCATGAGTGAGGGTGGGTTTCTTGAGCTACAACATCACCAAGTCCCTTCTGTTTGCAGTCCTTACTAATCCAAGTAGTAGATTATTATATTAACAGAGGAGGCTGCAGCCCCGTTCCCTGCAGGTTAAAGCTCCAAGGTTTTATTTTCTGGGCTCTTTCTCCACTTAAAAGCATGATTTTGTTTGCAAAGATCTTCACGCAGTGCTGAGGAGCAGCTGGCTCATGCTGAGACCTCTTTAGAGGCAGGAAACAGCTTGGAAGGGCTGAGACAGCTGGGAAGGGGTTTGGGCAGAGCAGTGTTCACGCAGCGCAGCCTCACCTCACATCGGCTCTGATTCAGCTGTACTGCAGAGCAGGGCTGCTCCGTGCCCTGCTGCGGGGTCGGGGCTCACTTTGGAGGGTTGGCGGGGCGCTGAGGGGGGTGGATGTGGGACCAGATTAGGAGGTAACAATGGGATGTTGCTGTTGGTGCAGGATGGAGGCCGACGGGAAGATGTATGTCAAGTACCAGGTGATTGGGAAGAACAACGTGGCTGTTCCCACCCACTTCTTCAAGGTGCTCATCTTGGAAAAGGAGAGTGGGGAGATTGAGCTGCGCTCCTATGTGATGCCCAACAGCCCCGTGGATGACAAAATCCCCCTGGAACGGTTCCTGGTCCCCATTGAGAGCATTGAGCGAGCCTCCGGGCTCCTCTTTGTCCCAAACATCTTGAAGAGAACCAGTAACTTGAAAGCCATCACAGCTGGAAGCAAGCGTTGAACCCCAGCTGAGCACATCCAGGTACTCCTGGGGAAGGGACTGGCAGCAGTCACATCTACACAGGAACAATAGTTCCTTGTGTGGTTTTAAATGTGGGAAACGAGAATCAAACCCATGTTCCCTTTACCCTTCCCCTCCTTCCGGGTAACAGCTGTGCACACGCAGCCAGTCTGCAGCGCAGGTCCTGCAGCAGGGCTCTAGAGCTTGCCCCTGAGCTGCAGTACAGAGGTTACTCCTGTGTGTGGCTTATTAAGGCACAAAGGGAAGTTACTCAGTCGCTGCTATTTAAGCAGGGAAGGATGGGAGCAAGATGGATGCAGGGGAGGAAGGGAGAGGTTCCTGCCTTTCTGTGGCCAAAGGATTGTTATGATTGTTTTCTGTCAGATGTTTTTAGCAGTAAAGCTTTGAACACCCACACTATTGGTTGTTTCTTATCTGCTCTCACCAAAGGTCCAAGTATCTCAGCAGGAGGAGGGGAGGACAGAGCCAACTTTTCCAGCTGCTTTCCTGTTTGAGCTTACTGTAGGCAGAGCTTAAGGCCTCACAGACAGAGCCAAACTGTAATGAGCTGTGCTGACATGCTTTAACACTGAAGTCCAACTGAAGCTCCATTCCTTCCTGCTGTTGGGAAAGATGAAGCCTTGAGCTGAAGGGAGGATGGGGGGAAATCAGGCTGAGACAGGAAAAGCTTCTTGGCATAGGGGTTAAGTTTTGCCTTCCTTTAAGTGTGAGGGCCACGGGCTCCAGAGGTGCTGAGCATGCAGGATCTCTGGACACTGAGTGCCCATCCTCTACACCAAGACACTCACGTATGGACTTCAAGGCAGCTGAGGTTCTATATTGCTTTATTCCCCACCCCAGATGTCTCCATGGCTGAGATCCTGCTGCCAGGCTCCTCTCAGCTGTGGAGGGGCGGTGACCAGCCCTTGGCAGGACCATACAGACAAGATGCAGACTTGCTGTTCCCAACAGCAGCCAGGGGGTCAGTCAAGCAGCACCTCCAGCTTCAGTCACTGTGCTTGGCCCCGCAGGCTCTTGGAGTGATGTGCCCAGCACCCCACGTCTGAAAAGCCTCTGCCCCAGGCAGTCCTCAGCTGCCAGCAGGGTCTGTGGTTTCCCTGCCCTCAGCTGGCACCGGTGTCTTCACAGCCTCGTCGATGTGGGGCCTCAGCGCAGACAGGGAGATGAGCAGAGCTTCCTGGAACAGAGCAGGGGGTCAGCCAGGAGCGCTGCTCCCTGAGGAGCACCAGGCAAGCTGAGGTGCCACCATGGGGAGCACCACGGGGGCCGTGTGTGTCACTGCTCTGTGACCCCACCACGCCACCGCCGCCTGCCCTACCTCTGTCCGGATGGTTCTGCTGCCCTGGCTGGGACACGTGTTCAGGTAGAAGTCAAACAGGACGCTGGGGTCAGTGACCTCCAGGTTTGGGTCCACGTCAACCCCAGCTTCCAAGCCCTCCAGACCTCCAAACACAACAAGGGCATGCCTAGGGGAGAGCAGAACAGGCAGGGTGAGAGGGGAGATTGGCTCTTACCCCTGCACCAAGGGAGATGCTTTGAGTGGATTAAGAATTAGCTTCACATAAAGTAGTTCTCTCAACTTGATCTGCAAGAAACAGACTCATTTCTTCTGCTCAAGTATGTGGGTCTGGGTTTGAGCCCCTGTGCTGCTGCAGCAGGGAACTGTGTCCCTGCTGATGATTCCCAATGCAGCTGCTGCCCTAACAAAGCCCCGCAGCACTGCACCAATGTGAGAGTCCCTTCTACCAACTCTAGAGAAACGGAAGGAATTGGCCTTATCCTTGGGTACTTCCCCAAGCAGTGCAATGCAAAGGAACATGCTTTGGTGTAAAAGGAAGCAGCAGAACAGGAGGCAGCCTGTAAGTGAGTCTAGGTTTATCTAGGAGCATTCCTGCCTGGGAAAACACCAAGGCCACAGTGCAGCTCTGCTGCCTGCACCAGGCCTCACTGCAGGCTTGAGTGGGGCCAAGAGGGCAGGACACAAACCTGAAGGAAGGGAGAGTGGCCTCATCCACGGAGCTGCCCCGCTCTGAGGTCCCAATGGAGAGATCGTAGCCTTCCTTGAACGGGCACTCTGAAAATACAGCACCTGGGACACAGACACAATATGGGGCTATTTGTGTGTGCTCCTGCCCTTGCTCTGTGCCTTCTGGACAGGCTGGAGCGCTCCATGGATGACTGATGGCAGCAGAAGGAACTGCTTTTCAGTGCATGAAGAGACAGAAGAATGACTCTTCCTGACAGTTCCCTTGCTGCAGGAGTGTCTGGCACCATTCTCAGCTGCAGCACCTTTCCTCAAAGCTCAAACAGGTGCCAGAAACCATTCCTTCACTAACAGCTTATGGTTCTCCTTGGAGCTCTAATCAACCAGAAGACAGGAAAAGGATTCTGCAAGGCTCAGGTGTCACTGCTGGCTTTGATGTGAATGAATGGGAGGCAGTCACGGTGGAAACGCAGCTGCACTGGCTGGAGATGGAGAGCACCACTGCTACGATGGGGACACCTGGAGCAATAGTGCGTGGAGGTACAGGGCAGAGTGGGGGGTGACTGGCGTGATTCGTGCCCCTAGCTTCAGCCTTTACATGTGACAGGACTGAGAGCAGAGAATCCCTGCAGATACTCACTCAGGCAGGAGGCAAGGCGGACGCTGTAACCCCAGTATAAGCCCGAGACCGTCCGAGGGTGCTGTGAGGACACCACGGTGCCTTTCCGCACTTTAGCTTCTGAAAGGGAAGCAAAGGGATCAGCACCCACAGTGAGAGCTGGACGTGAGCAGCCACACACAGCAGTTTCACCTGGAGCAGGGCACTGACTCGGTGTATAACAAAGAGCCACCCCTCTGAGTGCATTCTGCAAGTACATTTGGGCTGTTTATTACTGGTCAAAGAGCTGATAGCTCTCTCCAGTTCACCAGGGAGGTGTGGTAAGGGGGTGATTAAAACTGTGTGTGGAGCAAAGGAACACACAGAGCTGTCTGGTACCTTCAGGTATCAGTGATACGAAGCTGTGATGTGAAAGGGACCATCTCCTGCAGCACTGAAGCTCACAGGTGCTAATGGAGCAGGGGATTACCTGGCTTCTGGGGTTCCTCCAGGCGCACGGTGACTCGCAGGCCAGGGTTCAGCTCTCTGTCGATCTGCACCTCCTGCAGTGACAGTCAGGTTCAGCATCAGGCGCTGCTGGAAGTACTGGGAAAGGTGGGGAAGGAAGGGAGCCCTCTGAGGAAGGTCTGTTCTGGCCTGGGGCTGCAATGAGGAGCTCTGTGGTCAGGGCCTGTGTGGCTCATGCAATGCAGAGCAGGCTCAGGGTGCCCGGGTCAGCAATCTGAGGCCTGTGTTGCTGCTCAAAGCGCTCCAGCAGTGAAGCAATTAAGTGCTGAGCAGGCAAACCTGCCAGAACTTGGGAAGCTACAAACACTGATGAGCCAGAAAGGACAAGATGGCAACGAGCACTAAACCCAGTGTGAGTCCACCATGGCCTTCAGTACCCACCCTGCCTCCTTCAAGTCTGCCAGAGAGACAGGGGAAATGGTTCTGGGCTCTGGGGGTAACGCGCACCTTCCTCATCCCACAGTTAACAAAAGAGCCTCTGCCCGCCTTGGTTGGCCGGTCCAACACTACACCTTCCCGGTACTGCGAGTCCTCATCCACCCGCATGTGGTGGGGGCTGTCCAGGGGGTTGAGCAGCCCTAAAACAGCATAAAGAAAGCAAAGAGAAGTGTAAGTACAACTGCTCTGCTACCCCCTCCCTCTCTGGTCCAGCACATCACAGCCTGTGCTCTGACGGGGCACACTCAGTTCTGTGTGTTTCATGTAACACGAGCAAGAGCCAGCAGCCTGGGCCAGACACAACTGAATCATTACCTGCAAACTGCAGATCCTCATGCTTTGGGAAAAAGGATTTCCTCAAGTACCTGTTGGCAGAGAAGGTTGAAATGTAAACCCAACCTTTTTATTGAGTCTTGGCTTCAGTTCTAGTCCTTTCTGACTTAAAGGAGCTGAGTACAGAGAAAAGCTTGTTTGGCTCCCTCAAGTCCCAGAGGTAACCTCCATCATGCAGGTTCCAGCCTGCAGTCACTGCTCTTTTAGTTGAACTCCTGAACCACACATGTGAAGCAACGAGCTCCTGTGTTCTGCATAATTAGACAATATAAACAAGATCTGCCTCCTGCTCCCATAGCCCCTTACATCAGATACCCACAGCAGTCGGTTCTGATGCATGGTTCAGCCATGGGGGACTTACTGAGGGCACTCCAAGTACTGCAGGATCCGAGCCAGCTGCACACAAGCCTTGCCTCTCCTTCCAATTCCTTCAAAGTCCCCCTCCACGCTCCTGTAAGTGACAGAGAGCAGCTCGTGAGCTCAGCATGAGACAGGTCAGGCCTGCAGAGGACGAAGCCTTGCTCCTTAACCTGAAACCAGCTCCTTGTGGAAGGGCTGTTCCAGAGGCAGAGCCTGTCACCAGATCCTATTTGGACCTCTCTCTGCAGGCCACGTGTCTCTTTCAGCTTCGGTCTCTGTGCGCCGACCCAAAGCTCTTCCTGCACAACAGATCTTACTTTACATCTTCCCCGTGCTCGTCGAACACCACGATCTCATCCACGCAGAAGATGGCGCAGGCCCGGGCAATCTGTCCTGCGAGGTACGTCCGCAGCTCCAGGGACTGGGCGTTGTTCAGGATGGAGCCCGGCAGGGCCACGCTCAGCGTGTAGTGCCGCCCTGGGGAGCGGAGGAGAGCCATGGCCTGACAGCTCCATGCAGTGTTTTAGTTACTGGGGGGGGTGAAAAGCAACCTCTGTTGCTTCATCACAGGCTCCCCCTTCACAAAGGTTTCTCACTGCATCGGGTTCATGCCTGTTTAGATTTATCTCTCAAGCTGACTGACCGAGTTCCCTCAGCCCTTTCAACCCGGGCCTCCCCACGGGGTCACAGCAGCATCACCTCTGTCTTCCCGCTGCTCCTCTCGCTTCTCGGCTCGTTTCTCCTCCAGCTCTCGCATCCGCTGCTTTTCCAGCTTCTTCAGCAGCTTCATCTCCTTCCATTTCTTCTTCTCGGCTTTCCCTGGAACGCACAAACCTCATCCCCTCGCTGCAAGCCAACAGCCGTGACCGCCGGCGCAGACACGAGGGCCTCCCGCTCCCAGGCATCCCCGCCCGCAGTCCCCACACGATGCCGGCCTTACTCTCCTGCTTCCACCGCCGCCAGTCCACCTTCCGGTCCGCACCCTGCGGGACACCGGCCGCGACCATCATCACCGGGCTCCCCTCAGGGGCCGCCCGCGGTGACCGGGCCAACGCCGCTCCCCACCTGCACTCGCTTGGCCGCGCCGCTGCCGTCCGCCATCTTCGGCCTCCCTCCTGGGCCACGCCCCCTCCCGCCGTGGTGATTGGTTGGAGGGCGCCAGTGCCCGCCCACTGCGGGGAGGAGGCCGGCGTCACGTGAGCCAGTGGCCGGGCAGGGGGCGGTGCTTAAGCGGGGCAGGGGTTGTTGCGTTCTGGGGGGAATGGGGGAGCAGGGGGACAGCATGGCTGGGTGCGGGGGTGCCGGGGGTGGTTGTGACATCCGGACACCCTCATCTGGGTGTCTGCACGAGCGCCATGTGCGCGTTGGAGGATGGGGAGAGGGACCCTGCCCCTTGCGGGGTGCGCCATGGCTTAGAGCGGGAGCCCAGGCGTACGGGGGTGTTGCAATTACTCTTCATGTCACGGTGGTTCGTCTGTTTCAGTGACTGTAGCTCTCAGCATTTGGCACGTCCGTGGGTGCAAAAGGGCCTTCAGCAGCACCCTCACCCATCCAGGCCGTGCAGGCAGGATGGGATGCGTTACCCCGCCTCCTGCTGGTGAAGGCAGGTGGGTGTTTGCCCTCCTCCTGCAGCTCTGGCTCCCAAGGGATCGGGGCCACCAGCTGCACCCCAACACAAAACCTGTGGAGCCGCTACCCGCCGGCCAGCGTGGGATGAGCAGCCACCACCATCGGATGCAATGTGGATGCTGCCATGTGACGGCAGCTCTCCAGGAAGGCTGCGTCAGCCCTGTGATCATTACAGAGCCATTGACTCTTCAGTAATTGCAGTAATTCTGCTTTAATAATTTAACTGCTACAAATACTTATTGCGCAGTCTGTTGCGTGATGGGTGATGCTGGTTTGCATTGTTATCCAGGTTGAAATCGACAGTGATGCAAGAATGACCTTACAAAATGCTGCCCACATTATCCCATCACCCATCAGCCTGGTGGGTGGGAGGCTACGGGGGCCACCAGCAACAGGAGCAGTCCAAGGCCGCTGTACCCGTCCTCCCCAGCCACTGTGTGCGTTCATCAAAGGCCTGAAGGTTTTGCTTTGCAGCCTGGATGATGCTGCTGAGCCCTGACAAAGTGCCAGGAGTAGTTTGGGGGATGCACAGGGAAGGGTTGGCAGTAGCCAGGCTATTCATGAAAGCCTGTTTCCCTGGGAGTAACCAGTGACCCATCTCAGCTTTCCCAGAGATGCACCGAAAAAGAATAATGGGAAAACTAAACAGTGTTAATTCTGGGAAACACCATTTCACTGGGTTTATGATTTTCAGGATCATAGGAATTAACCTACTGATGATACTGCATGATCCCATGGGAACGTGGTGCTGGTGGAAACGGTGTCCTGTGCCCTGGGGTACATGGTAAGGCTCCAGCATGGCCTTAAAGGTAAGTCCTGAGATGCCTTTGCAGAATTTGGTGGTGGAAAAGCCCCCAGGAGCCATCCTTACCTTGCATCTTGCTGGATGCATCCCAGAACTGATTAGCGAAGTCTTTAAACTTAAGAAGAACATCATTTGATGTTTTACTGTCAGGGCATGCAAAGACTTGGTTCTTACAGTAACAGTGCAATCATTTCTCAGTGACAGAAAGTGTCCCCCAGACCCTGGGCCTGGCAAATCTCTGCCCATTTGTCTGACAGAAAACGTGGACAATAAGAACGTATCAAAGTATGGAGCCAAGCAAAGTAAGAGGAAGAAAGAGCAGCGGGGGCAGGTGAGGACCAAGGAGAGCCTGGTTCTCTCTCAGTGCACTCAGGGACTGGTTTTCTCCTGTTTCCATTTTTGCAATATGTCATTTGCTGCCTTCAGTGTAGCTTCCTCCTAAACAAATACCACAGGTTCAGGCAGTGGTTTCCAGCCAAATCCCCTTTCCCGTCACTGCAGTCATCATTCGTATAAAAATCCCTTTCTCATTTCGGAACATTGCAAATGCTGCGTGTTCAGTATGAGACGGGCACAGCCATCTCTGGGGCAGGCATAGCCTCTGGGCAGTTAAACAGGCACCCAGAAGACTGTCTTGACCAAGAAATGTGGGATGCTGCCCTGGCTCGGCTCACATGTCTGCAGGAGGGGGTCAGACCAGCCGTGGTGCTATGCTCAGGCTCAAATACTCAAGGCACTTTACACCTCTTCTTGGCATTTACATCATTAAACCACCTCTGATTATTACTCCTAACCTCACCTTCATTTATGCTGCCACACATCTCACCTTTGCGAAGCAGAACCGGATGAAATGGCTGTAGTTGTTCTTGTGGGCCCCACAGTAGAAAGCAGAGAGTGGAATGGCAGCAAGTCCCTAGGAAAGGGAAACACGGAGCTGAGGTTACTCCTCGTGGGCTGGCATGCAGCCTGCATGACACCCCTTGCCATGAGCATGTGAGACCCCACAGTGGTGGTGTGCTGTGCTTCCAGCAAGGAGGGCACAAACACAGTAGAAGGGGCCAGATGCATTTACCTTGTTCTTGACCATCCACTTTGCAAATCTGGAGTCATAGGGCTCATCAGAATTAGGGATGTCGGGGACATCAGATTCTGCAGGAGAAGCACAGCAGCACAAAGGCTGGGGCTACTGCCAGGTGCCACAGGCAAGCCCCAAACCCACAGCTTCTGGGAGCTTGGATGGGGAATGTGCTGTTGTCCATCCCTGCTTTGGTGGTGGTTTATGCAGGTTCTTGTCCCGAGCTGGACCCTGCACTCAGTCCTGCCTGAGCGAAACTGCTGGTGACTCACTGAAGTTGGAGATGTCTGCCAACAAGAAGTAGGTGCCCTCGGGGATGATGGGTTTCATCCCTGCAGCATCCAGGCTCTGGACCAGCCAATCTCTCTTCTTCTGCAGCTCCTTGGGCAGTTGGACAAAGTAGCTGTCTGGTTTCCCATAGAGCATGAGCTCCCTCTGGAAACCCTGAGCCACAGCCTCCTGTGAGGAGACAGGAGCCAGTAACCAGTGGGAAGATGGTCAAGACTTGCTTGGGAATGGAGTCTATGCTCCAATGCAATTTGCAGGTGATTAGGGAGATCTCTGCCTTCAGCACCTCCAAACGGCCCCTTTGATTTGTCAGTGCAAAATAAGGACTATACCCCATGGTGGGCTGTGCCCTCTCCTTCCTGCCAGACATGGGACAACTAAAGGGAGAGGGGAAGGAGCCTTTCTATGGCACCATGCACCAGGTGCCTTTCAGGTCAGCTGTGGGCAGAAGGACCCTCTCTCACCCTCTTTTCAGTGGTTTGGGGATTGCAGGGAGCTGCCTTACCTGGGCAGCTGTGGCACAGTGGTACACTGAGTTTTGGTGCACGGTACGGATGTGCTGCAGCAGCCTGTTGGGTCCCACGGTCCAGCCTACCTGCAGCCAGGAGAGGAGGAGGAAATTTGTAAGTCTCTGGGTACCTGCTTGGGCTCCCCTTTATTTGCCTGCACTGGCTTCACTGTATTTTCCAACCAGGATTATCATAAGGCAGCTTTAGTACTTTCAGACTCTGAGGCTCAAAGCTGAGTGTGTGGCAGCAGAGTCCCCAGTGCCATGCTATGGCAATGGAACCCATGCCCTGAATCAAAGGGACAGGGATGGGGACACAATGAGGCGCTGCATGAGGGAACTCACCTTCCAGCCAGTGGCACTGAAGGTCTTCCCAGCACTCCCAATGATCACTGTGCGATCCCACATCCCCGGCAAGCTGGCTGGCAATGAAAGAAGAGAGAAACCCCAATGGCAGTGCTGAGCATGCTCGCTTCTGGGCTGCATTAATGACAGGTGAGAGCTCTTTAACCACTGTAACTGTGGTGGCCTCTGGTCACAGCACATCTTTCACCTGGATAAGCCTCAAAGCACATCCCAAGCAGACAGCCTGGCTTCTCAAGAGCAGCTCTTTGTAATTAAGTGTGTTCACACACATGTACCGAGCCCCAGGTGTTCCCAAAGATGCCAAGCACCATCACCCTGCAACAAGGTGATTGCATGTTACTGCAACAGGAAGGCCTGTCAGGCCTCTGAAATCATGCTGAAATGGATGTCCCAAAACTAGAGACACTCGGAAAATGTGCTTTTTCAAAGTATAGGAAAAGTTTCAGTTTCACTGGAGCCAAAGGGCTCTTTGCTCTAGGTCTTGTGCTGTGAAGGTACCTCTCTGTTTCCTCTGACTGGCTCTGGAAGTCAGGGCTAGTTCTGGTTGGGAGGCTGAGACTGAAGTGCAGCAAAATACCTCTACTGGGGATACAAGCCCAGCAGAGCTGCACATGCAGGCAGCCCATGGGCTCCAGGAGACCCCAGCTAAATCACCAGATCCTTCACCAAAGACCCAGAGAAGACGCCAGCCTCAGCCAAGCCGTTCTCCGTACCGATGCGGATGTGCTCCTTCCCATCATAGACCAGCCACTCGTACACCTCATCACTGATGCACAGGACATCATGCTTCACACACAGGTCTGCAATGAGTTCCAGCTCCCCTCGGCTGAATACCTGCAGCAGGCAGGGAATGGAGCAAGGATGCAGCAGGAACATTTCTGAGCCCCTGCCTGTCCCTGCCTTCTCCCAAGCCTGGGTGGGCAGGAGCTGGCTGCAGTGGTCTAACAGGGCAAAGCCACGCTGGCACAAAAGATCAGGCTTAAAACCACCAGAATAGTGAGTGCAGAGTGTGGGGCTCCCAAAGCACCCATTTCCCTTGTGTCAAGGAAGGTTGAGCCACTGCTACACTGCAAACATGGCTGGGTGAACTATAGCACCCCAGCAGCTTTCAGGGCCAGCCACAGCAAGGCCAGAGGTATTACCTTGCCCAGAGGGTTGTTGGGTGAGTTCAGGACAATGGCTTTTGTCCGTTTATTGAATTTAGAAGCCAGTTCAGCCGAGTCCAGCTTCCAGTCTGCACTAGACATCATTTTTCCATTTTCTGGAGCTTTCTAGAGAGAACAGAGGGGAATCTTGGCTTGCTTTGCTACCTCTGCGCTTTGCTTACCTCTCACCTCTTTGATCACTTTACTGTGACTCTTCCCTCCTCAGCTTTGCTCCGTCCCACTCACCGGTCTCAGTGGGACAAACACTGGTGTCCCACCAGCCATTGTCACCATCGGCTCATAGCAGTCAAAGAAGGGCTCAATAATTATCACCTGGAAGAAAGGGATATGTCATTGCTCAGACCTTCCCTCATGGGTACACAGAGCAATGGGGATACAGGAAATATTAATCAGTGAATTGCTGTAATGGAGAATCCGTATTGCCTGTGGGCAAGTGTCAGGGAAGAACACCACCACTTAGGGCAAAAGGGTTATTCTGCCTTATGCAGAAATGAGACAGTGCCATGCAGCAGGTAATTTTTTCCTTTAGAAGCTCAGATACTGGAGAATGGAGATAAAACCATTTCTGCTTTGGAAAAGGACAATGAAAACCAGTCTGCAGCTGCTGGCAGACCCAAAGCCAGGAAGGGCTCTCCTGAGGGAAGATGGTACAAGCAGCCCAGAATCTTGGGTTACCTCATCGCCTTCATCAACGAAAGCCTGGAAGCAGCAGAAAAGGGCCTGGTATGCCCCAACAGTCACCATCACATTGGTCATAGGATCCAGGTCCTGTCCGAGCAGCTTCTCAAAAAGCTGGGCTAGGATCTTCACCAGAGGTGGGTGTCCCTGTGGGGAGAGAAGATGGGTGGGACTTGAGTTGCAGAAACCTCCTGAAACATGGAAGAGCCCATGGAAAGGGGCCAAGCACCCGGTGACTGAGTGTGCAGGGCATCTTCCATCCTGGGTGCTTGAAACACCCTGGTAAAGCAGGGGTTTACAGCCTGGGTGCAGGGGGCTCGAGCTGAGGCTGGATGCATGTTTTGCCTCATGTGGTTTGCCTTGTTCACTGCTGCCTGATAAGCCCTGAAGCAGCCAAGGCTAAGAGGGACTGAGGGGGTATTGCTGAGGAAGGGGTCTGTCCACGCACAAAGGCACGGGTGTACTGGTGCAGCATGCTGTTCTCCCCGCTGAGGGCTGTCACTAACGCCTCCTTCAGAAAGTTCGGTGGGGGGAAGTCAGGGAAGCCCTGGCCCAGATTCACTGTGGAGTAGGTGGCAGCCAGTTTTACAAACTCCACCCTGGAGAGGAAAAGGGAGAGAAAGACAAGTACTTACAGAGGGTCCGGGCAGCGTGCTGGCACCAGCTCTGCTTGCCAGCATCCCTTTGGAAGTGAGTGAGATTGGTGTCCCTCCTGCAGAGCCATACTGCTGCTCACAGGTGGACAGGATCAAGCACAGGTCATTTCAGACCTGCTTCAATTAAACTGAGGATGAAACGCTATTGCCATGAGCAGTGGTTTTAATTTGTTCTTGAAGGAAACAGCCATTGTGCTGTCTGGGTGTGTGGTTGCAGCTGAAGCTGCACACCACACGCTGGACAGGTTTTCAAGCTCATGCCAGTTGTGCAATATTTAGCAGCTAGACACCACGAAGGCCTCTGCAGAGGGGAAGGCAGCCTGAACTCAGTACTAGTCTCAAAAAGAAGCCAGCTCACTGGCATTGTGCAGTTTAAAACCAGGCACAGCTGGACTTTGGGGAAAGATCATTTAAATCTATTGTTCAAGCACATGGCTTTCCAAATGGCATATTGCACCTGGCAGGCTGGGAACAGCATTTCAGCATCCCTCCACTTGCCTGTCTGCTTGCAGTGCCCTAGGATGGGCTTGAAGCAGATGCCAGGCTGCAGTCAGTGTGCTGCAACCACTTGGCTCAGATTTGGTGCTGCTGGGATCATTTTGATGGATGGGATGGATGGAGTGCAGTGCACTGCCAGGCGCTCCCAACTGCCTTCCTGCAGGATGGTGCAGAACACCTGATATGGCATAAAGTGTGAGCAGAAGGTACAGAACTGAGCCTGGTACAAACCTGCTTCCTGAACAAATGCAAAGCAGCTGAGGGAGACTGCTGCTCTGTGTTGTGTGGCTGTGGCAGTTTCTATCTGTTGTTAAGCTGCCTAAAACCACATCTACCATCAGGGTAAACCAGATAGTTTCTTAACTCACCAGATATTCTTATCCACTCCCTCCAGCCTCCGAGATTGCACTGGCCTTGACATTTTTGCCTGCAAAGAGAGACAAAAAAAAGAGTTTTAAGCTTTTTCCTAATGGCAATGGGGCCACATGTGAAGGGAACATGGCCTCCCCAGGTAGGTTTTTCCTAATAGGAGGTGTGTCCTTTTAGTATTGCTTCATGGGCTGCTGCTGACTGACCTTAGAGCAGTAATGGTGCTGCAGTGGGTTCTGGAAACAGCTTCACACACTTTTTATGAAAGATCAAACAGACGAGAGCTGGCAGAGGAGGAGGTTTCATTGACAAGTTCCAACAAGAATTGAAAAAAACAGATGAACAAAAGAAGTGTGTGTACACTCACTGGGGAGCAGGCAATGCCTGAAACCTCATTTTCACTTGCATCAGATGAGCTCGGCCATATTGTCACTGCCAGGCCAGTGACCCCAGACCTCAGGCTTTCCATAGCATGTCTTGTCTTATTCTCTAGAGGCCACAAAATATCCCCTTTTCCTAGAAGAGCAAACTTCTTTTATTCCATACTGCTCTACAGAGTAGCAGAAATATTTACTCCTTGTTCTGCTAGAGTGCTTGGTGAAGGGAGTTGCTCCAGATCCTAAATGATGTGCTGGTTTTTGCACCTATAGTTCATGGCAAAATCAGGCAGCAAGTGAGTGCAGGCAAGAGGAGAGCACAGCACATGATCAGTCTGATGTACAGAGACACCAAGGTGCCATTCGCCTGACTGGTACCTAATTTCCATATGCATCATGGCTGGGGAGGGGGGGTGAGAAGAAGGACAGTGGGAAACATTGAGAGCAAAATCCTTCCTCCAGTTGGATAAGCTGGAAGTGGGAGAAAGTCAGATGTGCTTGATGGGGAATTTATTGTGAGGATGATGAAAAGAGGCAGAGGCAGAATTTAATAACTCAACAGTGCAGGAAAAAGGTAACCAGACAGCAAAGGGACTGGAGACCAGAGATAAATGATACTCAATGCACCAAGAAAAGCCAGCATGGGGATGCAAGGAGGATGTGTCTGAATCAATAAGCCAAGAAAACAATCACCACTGGCAAGTAAAATACGTTTGAATAAGGATGAGGAGGGCATGTGAAAGCAGCTGAGATGTGAGGGGGAGGGTCTATGCTCTGCTGTGCCAAGGTGGTGGTGGGGGTCCCAGTTCAGCCCCCTCCCCAGGCTCAGCTGTAGCAGGAATTCTTCACTTACCTGCTCACCTCTGCTATTCCCAGAGGGCTGCACCAGAATTTGAGAAGTGGCCCAAAAATGTCTTGTGTTGAGGTCTTTAGACTTTTATACAGTGTCAGCCCTCACTAAGGATCTTTGCAAATACCTTGCTGAGGAGGCCTGTGTTTCAGAGGGCACTGGGTGGACTCTGTGCTCCCCCGTGGTGCCAGGCAGGTAGCCAAGGGTGAGCAGAAGTCACTGCCTCCCCACTTCTCTCCCTCAGTTCCCTGCTTTGCTCTTTAGCTGCCCAAGTTCATGGATACTACGGTCAGTAAGACCCAGTGCCTGAGCTGATTCTGGTGGGAGTACAAGGATTTATGGCTCGGAAAGTAAAACTTCCAACTTAAATGAAGAAGGTGAAATATTAACAGCTCCAGCCCAGCTCTCTTGTGGTGGGGCTGCTGCTCGTCACAGTTCAGAGAACAGCGTTGGCAAGTGTGCTGATGTCAGTGCAAAGAGGGTGCTTTAAGCCCAGAAATTCCCAGTTCTGAAGAAAGGCCTTGTCTGCTCCAGCCCTTACAGGAAGGAAAATGACAAACACTTTCTTCTTTTGATGTCTTCCCCATCCTATCCCCAGCCTGCACGATGCTGCCAAGAGTGGCTGCCCATCAGGCTAGAGAGCAACATTCCTGGGACCACACAGCCCCTAAATCTCTTTCAGCCTGTTCTGCTCCTCAAACCAATGTGTTTCTCCAGCTCCAATCTGCCTGTCAGCCAGACAGAACAGGCCGGTAAAAATGCAGAAGACTTAGGGGCCACAACCTTCCCCCACTGACTCCCTGCTGCTTGTGGTTTCCCGGCTCTGCACATTTGTATCTCCAAGGGGGATACTGTTATTTCCCAAGTCCTTTGCAACCCAAGGGGCTTTAGTAGAAGAGACTGTGAGACAAGGCAACCCCACAAACAATGAGCTTTCTTCTGTATGAAGGAGGTTCTCTTGCTTATAGGTATTACCTTTAAACAGCCTACCAGGTACAGAGATTGCACCAGTGTGGCTTTTTCTGGTGTGCCCTATCTGCCATCACTGCCAAGACTAGCTCCTGGGCAGTGAGCTCCCCTGGGCTCCACACCACTGCAGCCCAAGCCAGGGACCAGGCTGCCAGCCAGAAACAGTGCTGCTGGGCATTCAATACCTCGCTGAAGTAGGAGCTATATCCAGTGCTGCTCTTTCTCTCCAGCAAGAAGTGACGCAGGGACGGTCTCGCTCTCCTGAGCATGCCACGGCTCCTGCTGTCTCACTCCTGTGGGCACGGACCTGCATTTCCCCCAGGCACAAAGCAGAGGGGTGAGACAAGCACTCCACAGCTGCAGGGGTAAAGCAAACACTCTGTGTACCTCGGGATGAGGCAGGTCCAGCACGATTAATGGAAAACCAGAAGCCATAGTATACTATTGCTCATGACTGCAAAATATCCACCTTGTCCCTGTGTGCAGGACAGTAGCATGTCAGGGATGGGCACTGAGATGTGGGGGGCACTGCTTTGGGATGCAAAGTACTGAAATGAGGGGGCTAACCCTGCAGGAAAGCATGGCAGTAAAAAGGGCTTCAACAGACACATAAAACTACAAAGCTGCTGTAAGAGCTGTGCTCAAGGCTCCTGCAAAGGGCTAGAGGCAGCACCAGAGTCACGGTGCTGTTGCCAGTGGGAGCAGCTGAGCAGGGTGAGGGCAGAGGACTCTGCCTTTCCTCCCCAGGCCTGGAAAACATTTTGGAGCGGGTCAGCTACACAAAAAGCCTGGGAAAGGCTCAGAGAGCCACTCACCTGGTTGGGCATTCCAGGCTGCGCCGTACATACACTCCCTGCAAGGGATATGGGGAACCTCTGCCCTGGCGGGTGCCCAGGACAGAGCACACTAAGGATTTCGGAGGTGACAGCTGAAAGGTCACTGCAGGGACTGGTCACTCCCCACCTCCCGCCCTCCAGCCCGCAGGCACCAGCCGCCTGCTCCGTCACGGTGCTCCCCAAGCACCTCCACTGTGCTGAACCAGCCCTGCTGCTTGCAGATGCACCCAAAAGGTTTTGGGGACAAGGGTCCCCCTGAACCCATCCCACCATGGGGTGCTACACATGGTGAATGCAGCAGCAATAGCCAGCAAGCACACACGTGCAGGTGCAAGGCAGTTCCCAGAGGGATGGTGGGGGGGTTATAAAACCAACTTACATCAATCAAGCTGGACCACGCTGCCTGACGCTGTGGAAGTCTGACACAGCCACCCAGGCTGCCTTTCCACACATGCTGCCCTCTCCCTGCCTCTGAAATGCTTCATCTGTAGCGGGGACTTCCTGGGAGGAGTCAGAGAGCCTGCAGGAAGGTACCAGTCGAGCTACAACGCTCCGATAGGAAAACTCGTACCGGGGAAAACTAGATCTTGGGTTGCTCTCTGAGTCACCAGGGTGAGGAAGAAAAGGGCTTTGGGGAGCAGATCCCTACCTCCCAGAGGCTTGGAACCAGAGCTGCCAGAGGATTTTGGCTGCTTGGGAAAACATTCCAGGATATTGTTCAGATGGAAGCTCATACCGGCGTAATTATAGTGGGATAATTTTTGTGGTATAGCTGTAATTGCTTTGGCATAGCAATGACAAGGAATTTCCCTTTGAGTGAAGCCTTCAGTCATTTTAAAGAATGAATTTTAAAGTCAGTTAAACCTTTCAAAAATTCCATCCTGCAGGCTTAATACTATTGGAGAAGAGAATGGCTCCTAGTAGAGAAGGTGAAGGCATCAGTATTACGTTCATCAGAGGATAATGGCCTACTGTCACGATACAACCTAAAGCAGGATCCTGCAGCATTGTCTAACCGCTGGGCTGTGGGTGAGCAGGGAGACAGCAGCCTCAGAACGGGATTACAGCGCACGGATGCAGGAGCTGAATTCTCCGCCGGTCACGAGAGGTGGTAATTGCTGCAGTGAGGTGTAGAGAGCAAATTGTCCTCTTTCAGCTTCCTTCTTCCTTTTGTGACATGCAGTGATGAATCAGGTCATGTCGGTCTCCTGAGTGAGTAATTGCTGTCTCCCTTTCACAGTAGGAAAAAGTGAGCCACAGGGAAAGGAAGTGGCTGACATCCGCTGTGCCAAAGGTCCACAAATCCTAAGCCGGTGTCCAGCCACTAGATTTACAGCATCCCTGCCGTGACTAAGCAGGAGGGAATGTCTGAGATAGGAACTCTTTGTTTTCTAAACTCCTGTTAAACACTGAAACAAAGAGATGGAAGGAAAACTTGTGCTTCTGTAAGAGTGTCCACGGCACATTCTGAGCCATCTAATAGCTCAATGCCATTTATCCTCTCCCTCCTGATGCCCTCACTATGCTTTCTTTGCCCCTTCCCCTGCCATCCTTGCACCCTCCCTGGTTGTTGGCCTTTATATGGGTTCAACTGTAACATGTAACTTCACCTAAATCCAGCAGACATTGCTGGATAATATGCAAGTGGCCACTGTGGAAAAACACACATCCAACCTTCTTGAGTTTGTGTTGTAAAACGCAAGGAAAAATAGGGCCTTCTCTTTCTTCAGGGCATTTTAATTTAACAGTTGCATCTAGACATGAACAATTCTTCTTATTGATACTTTCTTTTTCAAATCTAGCTATTGCACTGGTGTCTAAAACAGTCTCCTGGCAGGTAGGGTCATATCTCCTCTGTTACAGGTCTTGTGCCTATGGCTACAGGAGGATGCTAAGACCTATCACATTCCTAGAAAGCCAGAGATATGCTTGTTTTACTGTCACAGTGATCACTGCTGGACACAAGTTAAGATTTGCTGCACTTAACCACTCAGGATTGCCTCGTGTGCAGTAATGAAATTGTAATGAATGCCTTTGAACCATCCTTTATGAATTTTTAAAAGAATTATGTCCAGTATCTCCCAATGAGTCAGCCAGAGGAAAAGAAGCAGCAGTGAATCAGCCTGCTCTTTTCAGATACCACAAAATTGCTGTTGGATATATCCTCCTAACACACCGGTGTTGCTATTCCTGGTGCTGTATTTCTCAGTGGCCTTCGTTCAGTGAGCTGTTATTAGAGAAATGGAACAGGGTTTTCAAAATATTCCACTTCAGAAACGTCACATAGGTTGGTCCTTGAGGAACAAGTGGGAAGAGCTACAATTGATATGATTTTCGTTCTTTTATTGTTACCTACCCTTCATGTTGATGCTTTTTTCTGAGGTATCCAGTGAGACCTTTACCACATTTTCTCCATCAACCGGGACCATGTTTGCCCCACCTCTAAATACGAATGATTTCTGTGTTCTTGGTTATTGCTGGGTGGTTTGAAGAGTGGGAACCAGGTGTCCATCTGAGTGTTGTGCTGTTGTGGGTGTGTGAGAGGAGGACCGGGTGGTTGAGCCTGGGCTCTATATAGAATCATAGAATAGTTAGGGTTGGAAAGGACCTTAAGATCATCCAGTTCCAACCCCCTGCCATGGGCAGGGACACCTCACACTAAATCATGGCACCCAAGGCTCTGTCCAGCCTGGCCTTGAGCACCCCCAGGGATGGAGCATTCACAACTTCCCTGGGCAACCCATTCCAGTGCCTCACCACCCTAACAGGAAAGAATTTCCTCCTTATATCCAATCTAAACTTCCCCTGTTTAAGTTTGAACCCGTTACCCCTTGTCCTATCACTACAGTCCCTAATGAAGAGTCCCTCCCCAGCATCCCTATAGGTCCCGTTCAGATACTGGAAGGCTGCTCTGAGGTCTCCACACAGCCTTCTCTTCTCCAGGCTGAACACATGTATATCATCCCTCCTCCTGCACAGGGCATGGCAGCTGTAGCTTTTTACCCTTGTGTTTTCACTGTGGTGACACAGCTTGAATCAGGGCCTAAAGCAGGCCTGGCCTTCCTCCCTGTTCTTCCTGAGGGACAAGAGGCTGCCATCCCTCAGCACACAGACTGTCGAACAGTGTTGCTGTATATGCATGACATTAAATCACAGAATCATGGCATTGTTAGGGTTGGAAAGGACCTTTGGAGATCATCTAGCCCAATCCCCCTGCAAAGTGGGCACACTCAGAGCAGCTTACACAGGGACGTGTCCAGGCGGGTTCGGGATGTCTCCAGAGAGGGAGACTCCACACCCCCCCTTGGGCAGCCTATTCCAGTGCCCTGATGTATAGAAGTTCTTACTCACGATGAGGTGAAACTTCCTGGGGTTTAGTTTATGGCCGCTGCTAATCGTCCTGTGACAAAAGAGTCTGGCACCATCCTCCTGGCGCCTGCCTTTGAGGTATTTATATGCGTTAATGAGATCCCCTCTCAGTCTTCTCTAGACTAACCAGGCCCGGCTCCCGCAGTCTCTCCACATAAGAGAGATGCTCCAGACCCCTGATCATCCTTGTGGTGCCCACTGGACCTGCTCCAGTAGTTCCTTGTCTGTCTTGTAATGAGCAGCCCAGAGCTGGCCACAGTACTCCAAACGTATCTTCGGTAGGCTTGATCATGAGTGGGTCATAAACTTTAATAATGAGGTAAATGTGTTTGTTGTTGTTTTTTTTTTTAATAAAAAATAATCAATTCTGGATTGCAAATCTAGATGCCGCCTGCCCGGCGCTGAGGCTCCTTTAAGACGCCCGCCACTTTGGGCTCTGCCCTGCACCAAGATGGCGGCCGCGCCCTCACTTTCCCCTCCCCGCCCCTGTCTCCCCTTATGATCCCCCCCCTCCCTCCACCATCAATGCCGCCCTGCACAAAGATGGCGGCGCGCCCTCGTCACGCCCGCTCCCAACATGGCTGCGGCTTGCTTCCCCCCCATGGCTAGCGCAGCAGCGGGACGGGCAGATACTGCCATGGCGGGTGGGTGAGGTCAGTTCCGGGGAGTGGCCGCCGCGGTGCGGTTTTGGGGCGAACAAAAGGAGCCGGAGCCGGCGTGAGGGAGGGTGGGGGCTGTGGCGGCCAGGTGGGTGCGAGCGGGTGGCGGACCGACTGCGGTCTGGGTGCGGGCAGGCGGGGTGGGACGGCTGTGAGGGGAACCGGACCCCGCCGTGGCAGGGCTGTGGCCGGGGTCTGGTGGTGGCGGGGGGGGCGCAGCCCTGAGGGGACGGCAGAGGCCAGGAGGGGTTTGAGCGCTGCCTCCCGCAGCGCCGGAGGGGAGGATTTGCTGACTAAGTGGGCAGTCATTCCTTCCCTCCGTGCCCTGTCAGGCGGCAGGGCAGCCGGCGGCTGGCGGCGAAGCCGGGGCTGGGGGCAAGTCGGTTCCTCCGAGTCTGTGGGGCGAGGCAGGGCTGTCCCGTGTGCCGAGTGTCCCCTCGGGGCACCTTGGGGCTCCGGCAACGGGGTGAAGTCCTTTATTTATGCCTGGGAGGGAAGATGGCTGGGTTTTAATGTGTCTCTTACAGAGGATGTGTTTTCCGCCTCTGGAAGCCTGAGGTGGTGTGGCAGGCTTGTGGGCAGGTGGGGCTGGCGGGTGGTGCCGGGCTGTTTGGGCTTCGGGCTGGTGCTGAGGCCCTGAGAGGAGGTGGGGGAGAAGGTCAGAGAGTCCTCTCCCTTAAACGCTTCCTTTGCAGCAGTCTGTCCCAGCTAAAACAGAATAGCTGTGGGTATGACAGTGCTGCTTCGAAATCTGTCAGCCCTAATGGTAGCTCTGGGATCAGGAGGCATGTCGTCTTGAGCATCGTCACCAGTATTGAGGTGGGTTTCTTTCCCCAGTGGTTTTTCTTCCTTTTCACTTCTCCATTGTTGACAAAATGCTTTCTGATGTTCTGCTGACCTCTCCTACATAAATAAGAGGATGGACGCTTGAGAGATCCCTCGGTGCTCCGGGCTGCTCCCTTGTCAGTTTTCCCATGCCCTGTGCTGACATGCAGGAAGCAAGAAGGGGGAAAAAAAGCTGTTGTAATTCTTGGTGGTGGTGCTAAACTGCTGCCACTTGGAAAGGATATGTGTTGGTGGATGTGTGTTGAGAGGAAAAGGGGATGGTTTCTTGAAACCAGAATGGTTAGGAACATGATCTACATTTTCAAGTACTCAGGCTTTTCAGAGTAGGAAGTAGTAAAGCCATTCATCCTTTTTGCTATCTAAAAGGAATTGTTCCTCCAGGAGGTTAATCTATCTGCACTAGTTTAGTCTTAGTTATAGCGTTAATATTCAGCATCTCCTTTGGCTGGGTCTGCAGTACCTGCTTCTTGGTAACTTGTTTTGGAATGATATCGGTTACTCCAAAAAGATTCCTTCCTGTGAGTTTTACTTAGCTGTTATAGCTCTCACCACCTGTCAGGTATCAGGGAGTCTCCTGGTGACCGTCGTGAGTTGTTCCTTGCTTCTTAGATAGCCTTTACCAAACTTTTTCATGATATGGTCCCTCTATAAACTCGATCCCCTCTTCCTTGCTGACAATCTCCATTTCATTTCAGGGAAGCTGTTCCCATGGCGTGTGGGGAATGCAGCGGTTCAGCACCCGCTCAGGATTCAGCACGCAGGAATATCATCCACGTCCAGCACAGAGAACTGAAGTGCAGATAGCAGAACCCAGCTGCAGGGTAAGGGCTACAGGCCAGCTCTTGAGTGGTAAAGCCAAAAAAATGACCAGGATACTACTTAAACATAGTTGCAAAGCACAGGGCAGTGATGAGATGACTCATAACGAGCAAGGAGGAAAGATGGTTGATCAGAGGGTGATATGGGGAGAGTGGTGGTGTGCTAATTAAGTTCTGTGAGCTCTTAGTCAGCTTGACAATGAAAAAGAAATTGAGCATTGTCCAAAGTAAACATAACTGTTACATATTCACCCATACATCTAACTCTTGCCTACATAAACCCTATGTAACTAAATGGTAAATAATTGAAGGCTGTCCAATAAATGGTATGGGGACTGCTGTCTAAAAGGAATATAGCTGAGGAGCAGCTAGAACTGTTCAGTTTGGTGTAGGAGCTTTTGTTTCCTGCAGGGTGATGTTTGTGTTGCTGTATAGGCATCTCCTAGGCAGTCTTTCACAGTGACCTCTCAGGAGCACGCTGGAGAGTCACCCATGTGAGTGTCAATTAGGCAATGACAGAAACTAGTTACAAGAAACTCCCTGCTTCCTTCATCACCTTCCCTAGGATGGTGATGAAAAGTATTGCACAATTCTGTGCTTATCTTCAAGAGGAGAAATGCTCTCCAAATAGGCCATGTTCTGATTAGCTAGCTGTGCGGCAGGTTGCTTCCAGAATGCAAATATCCCTAAGACTTGTCTGATGTTCTGGTTAGTGTTCGGGCAGTTCACAGATTTGTTTTTCACACTAATCCTCTCACGGTATTTGGAAGCCCTAGCTTTATTCATGTAGCTCAAAGATGACATACATAAACATTTCCTTAAAGTATACTCAAAGCCATGTGTTGGAAGCTAGCATTTCCATGTTTGAAATGTGGAATGGCTGAAACCTTCCAATGGTGACTTACTGAATGCTTTTACATAAGCAGTGGAGGTCAAATGGATATTATGTTTTTGCTTTGGGACTGGAGCAGCTTTTTGGAGGCCTTCATTGTAATTCTTCCCATTCTAAAGAAGGATTCTGTTCAGTAGTTAACAGCACAAGTGAGTTTTATTTCCTTTTAACTTGAGCCTAAACAGTGTCTAGGAAAATGGAGCTGCAATGTCAGGTGAGTGGTGGTGGAGCACAGAGGAGAAGGGTTTACGCGTTTGGTGTGAGGCTCCTTCATGGGGGTTTGTGTGTGCAGAGCTATTGTTTTGGTAATGGTTAAAAATTATTTAGCTGCAGTGTGGTGAGCTTCCTCTGAGCATTTTTTCAACAGTCTTCAGAAATAGCTTCAGTTTAGGATATGTACACTGATACTGGATAGACTTTCAACAGTCTTTGTGCTTTAAAGGGTATATCTTGAATGCTTCCAAGCAGGATTTTCCTTAAACGATGTGGCGCATGTATTTTGTACTGGGGATTGAAATCCAGTTGATGTAGCTGGTGCCCTGCCTGCAGCTATGAAACTGCATTTGAAACTAAAAGCTGTTCAGTCATGACCTCCCTGTTGATATAATAGTGCTTCCTTCTCCTTTGTACTTCACATTGTTAATATTTACTATAAAATTGCCATAGCTATTCACAAAGCTCCTCTTGTGACATATTTGCAAGCTGCTTCTCTAGCTGCAGCCTGCCTTTGTGCACAGTGAAGGTGTGTACTGGGTTAGTTAATAGGCTCTCCTCTAGAGTCTGGGTTTTTATAAGATCTTAGTGATGAGAGGTTAGATGGCCTGTCCGTTATTAATGAACTACTGTAGTCAGAAAATGTTCTGAGCTGGGAGTCACAGTCCCTGTTTTAAAACTTATGGTCCCGAAGGCAAGGCTTACAGGGTCTGGTGAATATGTGAATAGGGGCTTATTCCTTTTCTTTCTTCAGAGTGAGGCTAAATATAATTGTGCTGATGGCTGATGTCTTGTTTATCTTGCTTTGCTCTTATCTGCGTCTTCTTTCATCTTAACTGGCTCATTTCTTTGAGCTTGAAAACAGCTGTGTAACACCCATGGATTTGTGTCTGTTGTGACAGTCTGTCATCAATTGAGATCCTCAAAAGTTTTAGCTCACTTTGAATCTAATGTCTTGATTTCTTAGTCTGTTGTTAGATACATCAAAGCTCTGCTCTGTCCACCATTTCTGTCTTTATCTGGAAATAGTTGGTTACATTTTCTTGTATGACTTCTCAATGCTGGAATTAAATGCTCACGAGCTCTCTCCTGCAGCCTCTGAGGTCTGGTTGTTACAAGTTAACGCTGTTGCTGTCTGTATCTTAAGTAGTTACTAATAAAATTAATTCAATCACTTGCATTAGTCAGTACAGGGGAATGTTTCATAGTGTCCTGTTGAAATAAGGCAGTTGTGCTTCTCCAAGGCAAGCTCCATAGCTCTGTCCTTGAAGCATCTTTCTAATGGCAAAGAGAAAATGAATTTTGGATAGGAAGCCTGTGACCATGTACATTCATAATTTATCAGCTGACAGAGACATTTTCCTCTGTTTTGTGTCACTGTTGAAAGTCATCTGATAGCACTTCAATTTACATAGCTGTATGACACTGACATATAGCCCTTGCTCCTATTGTCAGTGATGCTGGTAAATTCGGACCATGTACAGTTCTGTGCAGCTGGGGCAAAATACTGTCAGAAGTCAAAAAATGTGGCAGACCACACCAGGTCTCCAGCGTGGATTGTTCTGATAGTGCAGATGTTCTTCCCTGTGCCTGTTAAGACATGCTTGCTGGCATGATGGCAAACAGAAGCTATTGCACTAGGCTGTTAAGAATGTCTGTCTTGAATCCGACGGAAAAAGTCAAATAATAGGTAGCTGGCTTAAAGATGATAAAGTGCTATCCATAGTGTAGGTGGATTATTCTTTTTCATGAGTAAAGATGTGACCCAGTTGGTTCACTTCATCTTGTGTGTCTTGTGGCTTGGGAAGGGCTGAATGAACCAACACCTGCTAGATGGTTGTGTGCAGACCAACTTACCTGGCTCTCAAGTGTTGAGTTCACTGGTTGTCGCACCAAATGAACAGCATAAGCTTGGCAGCTGCTGTTCCACAACTTTATCCACTAGTCTAAGTGGTAAATGACCCTTTAAACGTCACATCTTCACTTCTCTATCTCAGAAGATGTGCTCTTCCACAAGGGATTTGTTTTTTTTTTAGCGCAGAAAGGGCCTGATGTAGGGGTAATGGTTGGTTGGTCAGGGATTTGGCATCCCACTTTGCTGCTGTTTATTTCTAAACAGCAAAGGACAAAATCACTTGAGGTTTTCCACCACATGTCTTGGACTTTTCTAATTGATCACGTGGCTGTCCTTGTGCTTGGAAAGTTTTCTGAGGGGTGCCTGAAAGCAGTTCTGTTTCAGCCTCATGTTTTTTTTTCCCTTTAATGCTGTGTGTAATAAACACGGGTGAGGAGACACAAATTCCCAGTCCCACTTCTGACCAGTAAAGCTCTTGTATTTCCTGGTTTTTGAACAAAGAACTCTGTGTCCTGCCCTTCTTTAGGATTTCAGGTGGCAGCATGCTGGGGAGGGAAGCTCTGTTCTGTTGAAAACTTACTGCAACATGTTGTAGCTCGCCAATAATCAGAGCTATAGCTTTAACAGCATCAAGGTTTTTGTTTCCCTTATCTACCTCTGATGCTGTCAGCACATGAACAACTCTCTCATTCTTTGAGCTTCTGAGAGGTAAGAAATTATCATAGCAGTGCTTGACTTCTGCTTCGCAGCCCCCAATCTTAGAAGGAAATCCAGTGAAAATTAAAGAGTATGTGTAGTGGAAGATAAGAGTTGCAAGATCCAACACAAAATGTCTACTTCCAACATCCATGTCTACTTGTCTAAAACTGTATTATAAGACTGCCTCACTTGAAAGCTGCATGCCTCTAAAGGTGAGGAGGACTTCCCTGATTTTGGGAAGGTCCTGGAAGCAAGGCTGGAAACTGAAATTCTTGTGCATGTCATGAGATCTTGCATGTAGTCCTATTTTGCCAGTAGCTCCATTAGTAACAGAAAGAAGGAGGCTGGATAAAGTATTCAGCAAGTGATGAGTCAAGCTGTCAAACTAGCCAGTGAAACAGAACAGCAATGTTGTTTCTGTTCACTTTGCCCCTAGCTGGATATGCTGGCCAGCTGTTGCAGGCAGCATTTTCAAGCACTACTCAGCCAGATGTCTGTCAAGAAGTCAATCTTCACTTGTTTAGGTTGGATGGTTTAGGATATAGAGGAATCCTCCAAACTGGAGGATGTTTGCTTCTGCAGCAGTTGTTCTGTTAATACCTTAAACTTGTTAAATACCACAGGGGTCCTGAGGTTTGTGGAAGGCATTCATATTCTCAGCTCTCTCAGCCTTTATCTAGTAAGGTACATGTTGCTTTATGATGTCTCTGTCAGCCAGATACGTTTAATCTTGTTTCTGACTGGCTTTACTATTTAGGTGTGGTGTGCTCAGAATGTCCCTGTTCTTCTAACATGCGTGATTATCTTTCTCCTCCAGGTGTGTCTAGTGAAACATAGGATTAGTACTTGGTGATGCTTATGGTTGGCTGAAGTCTGGGTAGGTTTGGCAGGCTGGTTATGTAAGTCTGAAACTGCTGTTTCTTCTGTTGTATCAGCCTGTTCAGCATTAATGGTGAGGCTGAGCTGTACATTGTAGGTAGGTGCCCAGCAGGCTAAGGCAGGGATGGGCATCAGGCAATAGGAGTTTATGGTGGGATGTAGACCTGGATCCAGATGAACCTGCAGGGATTGAAGAGGTATTTAGTATCTAAACATAGAATGTGCAGAGATTTCAGATGCATATTTATTTAGGCTGGATTGATCATGCTATATGATGATGAAGCTTTGGCGTACAGATCTTTCCCTGTACAATCTCGGATGTTGCTGCTATAAAGGATAAGTTTATTTTACTTTTTTTTTTTGATATTGGATAGGAATTATAGTGCTTGAAGTACTGCTGCTTTGGTGTAGGTGAAACCCTCAAAGATCAAGTCATTTCTTGGGGGTGAGGGACTGCTCAGGGACTGTGTGGTAGCTGGGAGAGTACTGTGGAATGCAAAAGCTGAAACACCCGAGACAAACACTTTAATACTATCTTATTTCCCCCTCTGTGTGATACCTAAAGTCTGCCTGTTTAATTATACTTTAAAAGACTTCCTTATACTCCTAATAAGTTGACAGGAGGTTAGGCAGAGATGTTCCTACCTGTCAGTTTATGCAAATTTTGTGAAATCAGCTTGCCTTTAAACTTGAACAAAGCACTCCTTCAAAATCTTAGTATTGATGCCTTCCATGCAACAGTTGACTGTATCATAAGCAGATTGCCTGTTTCTGAGCTCCAACTGAGAAGTTTTGCAACATGAGGTGTACAAGGAGGACCTTGGATCCTTCTTCACCATGACTGCTCTGCCACCATACTTCTTTTACAGTTATGTCTGTTCCTGTCCATAAAGTCCTTCACTCAGTTCATGTGTTCTGTGCTCCACCTTTAGTGAGGCTGCATGACTGAAGTATCTTAGCAAATGAAGCTTCTTCACTGTAAACACTTTCCTGCTGACAAAGCATGGTGGAGTTCAACTCCTGAGTTCAAGCAGAAGCTTGGATCCTCTGCAGTATGCCTTCTGGTCCTGTGGAGCTTGGTCTGGTCTTGGTCACAAGGAAAGTAACTTTATTTTTGGCCAGCTGTCTTCACACAAGGTTTATTCCTAGTCTTATGCCAGAATAATATCTTCCATGTAAAATGTTCTGTTCTGCTGCCTGTGTGCTTGTTGGCAGAGTCTGTGTTCCAGCTACCTGCTTGGTTTCTGTATAGTGGTTGGGATCACCGTCTTGATGGGAAGAATCCCACCATGCAGGGTAGTGTCAAGTGACAGAGATGGCACCTGAGAATCTGACTTCTTGCAGTGAGTCTGATGTTGTCACCAACCCCATTAGCAAAACTGCTTGCCCTAATCCAGAAGGGAGAGTGTTGCAACAAGAATCACGTTCTAAAATGATTGCAAAATGGTGTCCACAAAATAAAGGTGATGTTTGCATCTTGATGCAGAACAGTCTTTCAGGATCTAGAAATGAATTGCATGCGTGGGAAATCTGGATGAGGAGGGATGCAACTTTCCGACCTGCCTTCTTAAGTTTTTGGTGGGCAGTTTTTATTGCAGATTCTGAGACTAAGGCAGACATGGCAAATTCCAGCTTCTGTAGAGGTGGCCCCAGTTTAATTGTTCTTTTTTTGGGACTTGAACAGGGTCTCCACTGTTACCAGGAGGAGTGGGGACTTTGATGTGAATATCCCCTTCTTCTTCCAGTGACCCTGTCATTGTTAGTGGAAGGCAGATTTCCTGCTCCACCCTACCGGGGTTTAATTGCTGACACTGAGCTGTACTAGACCATCATGGGACTCTTGGATGACTTTTTTTAGCTGTCCTGGAGGTCCACAATGTAAAGGAAAATTTCCTACCCCTTGTAACTAGTAAATAGAATTAGGGAGCTTGCTGGGCTGGTTTCCTTCCTAGCTATCTTGAGATACAAATCAAAGTAAGCACAAGGTTGATTTCTTGTGAGAAGAAATTAGGCATTTCCTGGATTGAACAAAACTAGCAACCCAGCATTACAGCTCAAGGCTGCAAATGCCACGAGACCCCAGTTCCTGAAGAGATCTTCTCTATTTCAGTTACTTCTAGGAGTAACTATGAAAGGCCTTGACAATTCCTGCAGAAGTTTCCCTGCCAAGAGTGATGGAGCTCTGGAGGGAGGAGGAAAGAGATAAATATATGTGTGTTTTCTCCATCAGTGTGGAGTGGGAGGAGTAAAGAGTTGTTTACATAGAGACCAGTTTTTATAAACAACATTGGTGTTTTCACTGCATGTTCCTCAAAAGAAAAGAGGATCTTGCACAGTGATTATGGAGAGCAGTGGATGGTATGGAAGCATTTGTTACCTCTTAGATGTAGTTTAGAAGGAGTCACTACAAAAGCTTTCCATCACATCTGGCAAGTGTGTAAGAAAGGTATGTACTTGCTGGGAGACTGCTGTTGGACTCTCATGGAGCCTTAAGGTCCTGTATAGCAAGACCTCTGCTCTCAAAGCCTCCCCTGGGTTATGAGCCTGGGAGAGCTGAAGCTGTGCTGACCTGCAAGCATAGTTGGATTTCAGAAGCTAAGCCAATGTCAAAGTTAACTGTTCCAGCAGATAACTGCAGTAGCCTTTTTGCAAAGCTTTCCAGGCTTTCTCTTATTTGGACTGTGGAAGTGCAGGACTCTGCTCCCTCAGTCTGGTTACGGTGGGAGGGATGCAGAGGGTGACAGAGAGGGCAAGTTGTTCTTGTCTTGTTTGCTTTACCCTGTAGTCCGGCAGTATGTCAGTGGTCCTGCCCTGGCTCTGAAACTTTCCAGTAGCTGAACTTCCTGGTTTCTCTATGAATTGTCTTGTTTTCCTAGCCTGATGTAATAGGGTCCTAACAAAACAAAGTGCACACGCAAGAAATCATGTATATATCCTGGTTTGGTGCCTCTGAAGAGCTGCTGTCAGTATTGATTAAAGGCATGTGTCAGAGCTTTGAACTCTCCTGCAAAAAATACAGATATGAAATGGGTTCTGACTTGGAATTTTCTTGTCTATGTAGACAAACTGAGGAGACATATGTCACCAGGAGCTGTGATTCATGAAGCTTTTTAACTGCTGCCTTCATTTGCAGTGTTCTGGAGTGCAGGGGGCTGTAGTGTTTACCCTGGAATTAGTATTTCTGCAGTATGCACAGGCAGCTCTTCTCAAATGTATCTTGAAAATAGATTCTCTTGAGGTGGAGGTATTCAGAGAAGGAAGCTGGGGCATGGCTGAAGGCCCTTGCAGCAGACAAGCATCAGACCTTGGAGGGGGGCTCTGAACATCTTTGTCACTCCTCTTATTCTCGCTGCTCAGGTGCTGTTCGGAAGTTTTGCCTGTTCTTCCCTCTCCCTGTGAATGTGTAAATCCTCCTGCCCTAATCCACTCAATGCAATCTGTTCTGCAGAGACATGCCTAGTGTCACACCTCACTAGTGCTCCGCAGCCAGGTCTAGTTTCTTCTGACAGTGCTGTATATGGCTATTTTCATCCCTTGTTTCTGCATCCTGTACCAAGTTTGTTGTTTGTTGTTCACTGGTTGATAAATCAGTAGATTTGCTATTCTACTTGTTTTTCTGAGGTTCTGGAACAGATAATGCCTTTTCTCCTCTCAATTCCTTACTCCAAAAAAGCCCAAAATAATAACTTGCTTGTACAGTTACCCCAGTTTGTCTTTTGGGCTAATGTAGTGTTGGAACTGGATGGGCAGAAGGGCAAACACTTCTTCAGAGATCACTGTCATCTTTCAGTCTACCACCTCTAGTTGCTTGCAGCCTTAGCACTTAACACTAGGTCAAATCTGGCATTTTACCACTTATTGTTGCAAGCAGCAAACCAGGGACTGCAGTTCTGTATTTAGTGTCTCTGGGGAATGTGGTGCTTTTTGAGTTCATATTAGGTAGGGCTTCCTTTGCAGTTCTGTGCTGGAGGTTCATTTTATGTGCAAAATTGAATTCTACCAAAGCAGGTGGAGTCAAACTTGTTAGAGGAAGCTTTCTCCCATCCAGTGCTATGTAGAAACCTGCTGTTGACCCTGCAGAATCCCCAGGACTTGTTGACACTGTCTGTACAAATGATATCTTGTGGGCTGGGGAAACATGATTGAATGTTGTCCTACTTCTGAACTTTGTTAGCAAGTATGATGTGTTATTACCTCTTTTTCACCATCATTAGAACAAGTTACGATGACTTCATGTTCTTTGCTTTTGTTGCCTGTCAGATATGGGAGTTTTGTGAGCTCAGTTATTCATGGATCAGTCTGGCTTCCGGGCTTTCTCTGGCTTGCTGAACAATGTGCTTGGTTTCATCTGAAAGTCTGAAGGACAGAACAAGCACTGCCATAAGGCCTCTGCTTCCCAGAACCTTTTGATTTCCTTTGACACTTAAATCCCAGCTGAGATGAGCTCAAGGTGGGACTGATTGCTCAGGGAAGTAAATTCTTTTAAATCTGGCTCCCCTTTCCTCTAATTCTGAAGTAAATAAGGCAAAGAGTAACTGTCACAGGATTTCAGTACTGAATCTGTCAGAGGACATGTAACTAATCTTTCCTTGGAGAATGCAGAGGAGGAAAGCCAAAACGACTTATATGGAAGGAAAAGTCATCAGGCAGCCTTGTTCCCTTTTCTAGATTGCTTTATCAGTGTAATGTTGAGTTGCATCGATGAAGTGGTTCTAGGAAATACAACTATTGTAAGTAAATCCTCTTCCTTGCCCCTGGAGTTTGAGAACCACACAAAATACAGACTTATTTTCTAGCTCTTTTATCACTTCTGGCAGTGTTGGCAAACTCCTTCATCCCTGAAATAAAATCCATAGATAAAACTAGTAAAGTACCAAATACTGGTCTGGCCAAGGTAGTTTAAGTCTGTTCTGTGAGCTTTTCTTTAAGTGTGGATGTCTTGCCTCACAGACTGCTAATGATAAGTACCAGTTCTGATGTTTTGTGACAATTCATCTGTCAGGGAAGACAGCAACAAACCACCCTTGGCTGTAACAAATTACTCGCAAGAAGCCTCATCTATTTGTCTCCAAGTGACTTGAAATTGGGTCTCATCTAATTCCAGTCTTGCTGTGCCAGCACTTACCATGATTTTCTGGATGCTCTCTTGAAAAGCAGAACAAAACAGTTCAAGCTTGTAATGCTGCTTCTGGTTTTCTTTCAGGTGAATCATGATTCCAGTCACTGAGTTGCGCTACTTTGCTGATACTCAGCCCGCGTACCGCATCCTGAAACCATGGTGGGACGTCTTCACCGACTACATCTCCATAGTGATGCTGATGATTGCAGTGTTTGGAGGGACACTTCAGGTCACCCAGGACAAAATGATTTGTCTGCCCTGTAAATGGATTACCAAAGACACTTGCAATGACTCAGTCAGAGGTTGGACAGCTGCAACGCCGGAGCGTACCTACTATAACTCTAGTCTTGTTCCCTCTACTGATATAGGACCTACGGGAATACGATACGATTTGGACCGGCACCAGTATAACTACGTGGATGCGGTGTGTTATGAGAACCGTCTTCACTGGTTTGCCAAGTATTTTCCTTACCTGGTGCTGCTACATACTCTCATCTTTCTGGCATGTAGCAATTTCTGGTTCAAATTCCCAAGGACCAGCTCCAAGCTGGAGCACTTTGTGTCTATTTTGCTTAAGTGTTTTGACTCTCCGTGGACAACAAGGGCATTATCTGAGACAGTGGTGGAAGAGAGTGATACCAAGCCAGCATTTGGGAAAATGAATGGCTCAATGGACAAGAAATCCTCCACAGTCAGTGAGGATGTGGAAGCCACTGTTCCCATGCTGCAGAGAACAAAGTCTCGAATTGAGCAAGGGATTGTGGACCGATCTGAGACTGGTGTCTTGGACAAGAAGGAGGGTGAACAGGCCAAAGCACTCTTTGAGAAAGTGAAGAAGTTCCGCACACACGTGGAAGAGGGAGATATAGTTTATCGCCTGTACATGAGACAGACCATCATCAAAGTGATCAAGTTCATTCTGATCATCTGTTATACTGTTTACTATGTTAACAACATAACCTTTGATGTTGACTGTAAAGTGGACATTGAGAGCTTGACTGGCTACAGGATGTACCGCTGTGCTCATCCTTTGGCCACTCTCTTCAAGATTCTGGCCTCTTTCTACATCAGCCTGGTGATATTCTATGGCTTGATCTGCATGTACACACTCTGGTGGATGTTGAGGCGATCACTCAAGAAATACTCCTTTGAGTCCATCCGGGAGGAGAGCAGTTACAGTGACATCCCTGATGTGAAAAATGACTTTGCTTTTATGCTCCATCTGATCGATCAGTATGACCCCCTCTACTCCAAGCGCTTTGCTGTCTTTCTGTCAGAGGTGAGTGAGAACAAACTGCGGCAGCTGAACCTCAACAATGAGTGGACTTTGGAGAAGCTGCGCCAGAGGATCACCAAGAACTCCCAGGATAAGCTGGAACTGCATCTTTTCATGTTGAGTGGCATCCCTGACACGGTTTTTGACCTTATTGAGTTAGAGGTCTTGAAGCTGGAGCTTATCCCTGATGTCACTATTCCTCCAAGCATTGCTCAGCTCACCAGCCTTAAGGAACTGTGGCTCTACCACACAGCTGCCAAAATTGAAGCTCCAGCACTTGCCTTCTTAAGGGAGAATTTGAAATCTCTCCACATCAAGTTCACAGACATTAAGGAGATTCCTCTTTGGATCTATAGCCTGAAGACACTAGAGGAGCTTCATTTGACAGGGAATTTGAGTGCTGAAAACAACCGGTACATTGTGATAGATGGCTTGAGGGAACTGAAGAGGCTGAAGGTGTTGAGGTTGAAGAGTAACCTCACCAAGCTGCCGCAGGTGGTGACAGATGTTGGTGTACATCTTCAGAAGCTTTCCATCAACAATGAAGGCACCAAGCTTATTGTTCTCAACAGCCTTAAGAAAATGGTCAACTTGACAGAGCTTGAGCTGATCCGTTGTGACTTGGAACGCATTCCTCACTCTATCTTTAGCCTCCACAATCTGCAGGAGATAGACCTGAAGGACAATAACCTAAAGACCATTGAGGAAATCATCAGCTTCCAGCACTTACATCGTCTCACTTGCCTTAAATTGTGGTACAACCACATTGCCTACATCCCCATGCAGATAGGCAACTTAACCAACTTAGAACGCCTTTACCTGAATCGTAACAAGATAGAGAAGATCCCCACCCAGCTCTTCTATTGCCGGAAACTTCGCTATTTGGATCTCAGCCACAACAACTTGACTTTTATACCACCAGATGTTGGACTTCTTCAAAACCTGCAGAATCTGGCTGTGACAGCCAACAGGGTGAGTGAGCAAAGAGCTGAGTGCTCCTGTGTGAGTAAAAGCAACTCTGGCACTTGTTACCTGTGTGTTTGAACATGCTGTAATGGTGTGTGAAATCCTCCTGGCACTGCTGTTCTATTTAAATTCCCAAGCTTTAGTTTCTCTCTGAGGGGTTTATCCAAGGCAAAACATTGCAAATAAGTCCAGGCTCTTTGAGCAGCCCTTGTTCTGTTGCATTTCTTCTAAGTGTCTTCTGGAGACTGTTTGGAAATCCTGGCTGTCAGTTCTTCCTCTGCAGTTGGAAGCTTGTAGTCTCTAGACTGACATCAGTTTTGGGTTTAAATTAGAGATCTGAGAAACAGTAGTCTTAATCTAGAACTAGGCACTTGAGCCAATGTACTTCAGCCATGTACATAGACCGTGGCAGCAGCCATCTAGGGCAGTATGTTTGTGGCTTAATGTGACTTTGGAGAGAGCAAACCAATCTTCTGCAGTGTCCTTACTTGGGGCAGAGTGAGCTAAACCAGGTTTATCAGGATGCATGTGAACTGTGGCAATTCCTTGATTTTTCAGAAGGGAGGAAATACAGTGGCACCTTGCTGTGCCTCAGCGTGATGGCTGTGGATTTTCTTGTGTAATCCCAGATAGGTTAAGTCTAAGCCTTAACTGTTTAAGTCTGTCTAAGCACAGGGCAGGTTAGAGGGGATGACCAAGGGTGCTATGCTACCTGATTACCACAAGTTGTTTCTTGGCTTGTGTTGGAGGGTGTTTATTTGCTTAAAGTAGACTGTACCCATGTTTTTTCCTGAATCTTTGCCTGTGTTTGAGACTAAGGAGACTTCATTTACCATGTGTATCACAGAGACTGCGCAGATGTTCTGAGCTGACTGACTTGTCAAAGCTTTCATTCATTCTGTCTGTAAATTCCTGGGAGGCTCTTTTTCTCTTGGAGTTTATTACCACCTGGAGTTGCAAAAGGCTGTAACATAACTACAAATTACAGACAGATCTAATTAGTGGCTTTTGGGTTCTTCTGGGAACATGCAATAGAATTGTCCTGGAGCAGTCCTGATTTTCACTGCCATATATCAAGATCCTTAGTGGTGTTGGCAAGATGTATTAATAACTGAACATTGTCAAATTGCCTGTAAGAGGCAGACAGAGCAGCTGCAGTATGAATTGGCTTTTCACAGGGGAAATGCTCTCTGATCAGGGATTTAACTGTTAATGCAGTTCAGTGTTACACAGAGTTACTAAAACTCCAGCCAGCATTTTGAAGTTAGTGTCTGGAAGTTCAGTTCTGTGTTGTGCCACTGAAAAGTAGCATCAGACAAGCAGCAGCCATTTGGTTATCCCAGTTTAATAACTGCTCACTTGGCTTTCCCAGCACTAACAGACTGGATGACTGTGCTTTTGTTTGTATGGGTGCCTGAAGCTCTGGTAAACGTCCTGGTATGCACACATAATTTCCTATTAAATTAAAAACCAGACTACTTTCTTGGGACAAGTGGGGCTTATAGGGGCAGTTTCTGAGGATGGCATTAACCGAAGATGAGGGAGTCTTAAAGATTCTTAAGATACTGTTCAAAATGCAGGCAATTCTGCACCATTTATCTTCTGGCAACCTTCATTGCAGAGCTTTCTGAGGGTTAATCTGCAGTGTATCTTCTGCAGTTTTGGGGTGGAGCATCTCTTGGATGAAAGGAGTTAGAGGCAGCTCCATTTTCTGCAGCATAGTGTGGCACCACCCATTTCTGAAAAAGGTGCTAATGCAACAGGAAGGCTGCAGCAGCCTTCTCTCCAGTCTGTTCTGAAGCAGAAGGGGGTGAGGACCCAGTTAAACAGTTAAGTTGCTTGCAGCCTCTGCAGGTGCCACAATTGCCCTTCGGCTCTAACAGCCTGGTTGCTTACAGTAAACAGTGACGGCAAGAAACACAAGCACTGGTAGGACTGGCATTGCCAATGTCCTCTCTTCGGTCAGCAGTCTTAGCAAATAGAGACTTCTGTATTTGGCTGGTACTGGTGTGTACCATTCTGGGAAGCAGGCTGTCTTGTAGCACATTGCTTCCTTCCTAAACCAATACTTGTCCCTTAAATAACACCATTATTTTCCAGAGCCTGTGATCATTTGATTGCATGTTGCTGTTTGCAAAACACTCAACAGTAACAGTAACAATGACTGAATTGAAGCGTCTTTCATTGGTCTGGTTTCATTTTGGCTTTTCTTCCTTGGAGTCCATCTCATTCAGAACTCATTACAGCCTAATTTAGCCCTGAATGATATCATGCATAATTTAAGTCTTTAAAAAGGACATGGTTGCATTTAAAGGCAAATGATAGCCTCCAAGTTGAGACTTGGAATTAAGGGGAGAATACTGAATTGCTAGATGTAGTTTCTAGCCTGGTGTTGGTTAAGCCATATTGTTTTCCTAGAAATTCTTTGGGAGGATTGGATTATTAAAATAAGCCTCACTAAATTAGTGACTCATGGATACATGCAGGTGGTGCTGCCCTCATGGGTTTTTGTTGCATTTTGTTAAAAAGACCCCTTTGGAGCTTTGCAGCATTTCAAAGCCTGAGAGAAATGATGGAAGAATAGTCCCAGTTCTCAGGGCCTGGAAATTGTACCCATGTAGCCTTTGCTCTTACTGCAGCCAAACTAAGAGTCCTGACTAAATGCAGTCTTTCGGGTGTTCAGTATAATGTACTATGGCTGTTTAAAGCAAAGGAGCTATGATCTAATAATGGTATAAAGGGTTTGGGATGGAAAGAGCATGTGACAGTATAAGCCAGCTGTGAGCAGGTTTCTCGTTGTCTAGTTCTGTCCTTGGTGATGTCTTCTGCTTTAGCCACCATCATTGGTGATCCCTAATGCAGTGTCTGAAAGAGGAATCCATACAGACATGGTGTAGTGACTTTTACTATGGGAACAGTCCTGATGGTTGAAAGCAGGAGCTCACTTGAGGGAGAAGTGGATGATCAAAACCAAGTGTTCTGTAAACCTTAAGCATTGCATGGGCTTCTAGGTCTTTCATGAGCGTGTCTTTTGCTGGTGACTTTGCCTATGATTGATTGATTGATTTGATTTTTCCAGATTGAGAGTCTCCCACCAGAGCTGTTCCAGTGCAGGAAGCTGAGAACATTGAACCTGGGAAACAATGTGTTGCAGTCACTTCCATCCCGGGTTGGAGAGCTGACAAACCTGTCACAGATAGAACTACGAGGGAACCGCTTGGAGTGCCTGCCTGTGGAGCTGGGGGAATGTCCTCTGCTGAAACGTAGTGGGCTTGTGGTAGAGGAGGACCTGTTCAACACACTGCCCTTGGAAGTCAAAGAGCGTCTGTGGAGGGCAGACAAAGAGCAAGCTTGAACCCCTGGAAAAAAGGGAAAAGCCTCTGACCAACTAGAAGGAAAGAAAAGGCCATTCCACTCCTCTTTTCCCCAGATCCTTCCCTTTCTCCCCTCTGATCACTACCAGACTAGCCAAGGAGTCCCTGAATAGACATGACTCTGAGGCTGCTTCTTGCCTCAGATGCAGGATGGGGAAAGCTTGGGATCAGGATGAGGATCAAGACAGATTAGTTGGCCTCTGAGCAAAGGCCTGTGGGAATAGGAGGTGTTGCTGTTCTTCTGGACAGGAAGTGGGATGAGGTGGATGGTGCTGTTGAGAAGAATGATCTCTGAATGGAGGAGAAAATGAAACGTGGGGATTGCTGCATTGCTCCAAATAGGGCTTATACATGTCAGGGACTGAGTGTTCAGTGTCTTGCAAGCAAAGATCAAGAGACTAGGAAACCTCTTGAATCTCCATCTCTGCGACACTTGGTACTGTCCCCTGACTCAGATTCAGTCAGTGAGGCCCTGCAGTGGGGTGGAATGGGATGCAGACAGCTCACTTGATCTTGATGCTGGCATTAGGATTTGGGGGCTAAGTTTCTCTCGGACATGAGCTTGAATGCAGGATGTTTGTTTTTTTTTTTTTTTTAAACTAATTCTTTCCCCTTTGCACTCCCCACCTTCTCCTCTGCCTCTGGAGAAGGAACCAGACACCCCAAACTCCATCTTAAATGTAAGATTGCACTATTTTAACACTTTCAAGTCTCTTGTGCTGATGAGTGGATCATGCTCCATACTTCAGCTGATGTGCTGGAGGCACTAACTGACATAATTCCAGAGCTTTATCCTGTTCTGAAGTGGATGGTTATAGTGCAAGTGGGAGAAGATCTGGATAAAAATCAGTTGGACTGTCTGATCTGTTCTCCCCGGAGCACTGAGTTGCTTCTGGACCTGGCTTTTAAGGTTTTTAAGCTACTTTTAAATTCCTGGTATTTTGTCACATATCAGATATGAACATAGGACTGGCCAGTGTGCTGGGGTCTCTCCTGGGGTTGGTGGTGTTAGTAAAGAGGGACACCCAGGTTTCTCTGCACTTCTTGCCCCCTCTTCCTCCTCTTAAGTTGTGAGAGGCTTTGCCAGTGTTTTTCATGAATGCAGTCTACAGATCTGCTTGATTGTTCTTTATTGTTGTCTTCCTCACTTCAACAGTTGTCAGGTCCTGTGACATCTCTTGGCCTAAATAAGAGGCTAATGCTGATTGAACCTGGTGCTGGAAAAGAAACCTGCCCTCCTGTTTCTTCCCCTTTTCATTCCCTCAAGTGTTAAGGAGTGGTATGAGAATCCTCTGTGGACTGAGCTCTTCTAGATCCCTGGGACAGAGCAGTCTTTATTGAAACAAGTCTGACCTGTTTGGTATTGTCTGACCAAAAAAAAACCCCAAGCTTCTGCACTTGCAGAGGTAGATAACTTGTAATAGCTACTGATAATCATGTCCTTAAGGTGGAGTGGTTAAGGTGTGCCTACGATACACCCTAAGTCTGCTCTTTTCCATCAGAAGGAAGAGGAGGCTCATGGACCTGCAGGTCCTGGCTGTAATACTCTGAATCAGAACAACAGGTTGGCTCCAAGGTGGAGTGCTGCAAGCTGAGGCACGAGAAGTTTGGAGGCCTCCTGTGTGTACAAAAGGGGGGAAACTGCAGCCATCTCCAGAGTGGTTCCTGGACAAGCTGCCAGCAAGTTCCCTGGCTTGGCAAATTGTGGTGATCCCTTGGATGTTGGGGCAATAAGGCACGCTGTGGCTTTCTTCATCAGATGTAAGATATGAAATATATATATACAAACCATGCTGAAACCATGAACAATGTTAACTGGGCTCTGGATTTGTTGATGTTCAGATGCTTAAATAAAGCTACATTAAAATCCAGGAGATCTGTTTATAAAACTGCTTTTAAGAAAGATGTAAATTTTGCTTCCCTTAGTCCATTCATTATGAGAAGTTTAAACAGGCCAGGGAAAAATATAATTGAATCTCTGTATCTGGGAGGCAGGGTACTGTAAAACCTCTTTTTGTTTCTAACAGGGTTAGTGTCTTGAAATTGTGTTAGAGATGGGGCCACTGCTGAAAGGATGGGGAAGTATTGATGCTGATGCTTATTGGGTTGAACCTGTTCTATTTGCATGAGCATTTTGGATCAACAGGGAGGACAGAAATTGCTAGATGGGCTTAAGGCTTCTGAAATAAGCCAGGAATGGCGTCAGGCTTAACTACAGTACTACTGTTTTCCAGTCAGTTCCTTCTGGTGGGTGTTGGGGCTGTTTGGGTGGTGAAGGAAACATCTTCCCTCCTCCCCTTTCTCTGTGCCAAAAGATAGGGCTGGAGAGTAATGGCTACTGAATAGAGGCTTGAATTCTCCTTTGTATTCAAGACAACTGGGTAACTGGTTTACAAAATGTGTTTTACACTAGGCAGGACTGAAAGGGCAAAGCACTTCACAGGATTTTCACCTAGCTTACAGGAGCAGACATTCTTCTGTATGTCTAGATAATAGATGAATGCATTGACTCTTGATTCCAGGTGTGGTCTTAGTTATACAAACTAAACTTTACACAGCTAGATTAGAAGTTTCTATAAGCAGCTCCTGAAAGTCTGCTGCAGTGCTTTTAGAAGCTTGCAAGCCTCCTGAACTGCCATGTATGTCCATAGGACAAGTGGACAATAGGCTATTCTGCTAGAAGTGAGACCATCTCTTAACTTCTGATCAAATAACAGAGCTATACTGCTGCTGCTTGCTGTGTAGACTGCCCTACGCCTGAGGTCTGCAAAGCAATTGTAAGACAGGCCAGTACTGAGCATGCATGGAAACACTAGCTTTTTGCTGCACTTACAATATTCCAAGCTCAGTTTTTTCAGTCATGGCTGCTAAAGCTAGAGATAGCTTCCTGTGTGGCAAAACTGGGATGAGCAGGCTCATACCTTCCTGTATTGGGTGGCACACAAATCCATGGCCACTGTAAGACAGCAATATGTATTATTTACTCCTGATATGTTTTTCTTGGTCTTCCCTCAAATAGATACAGATTCCAGCGTATCAGTCTCATATGATAAGATGGAAGAAGCTTTAAAACTTCAAGGATAGGGTCTAAACCGTGAGGTCCTGAATGTGTTTACTGCTCAGGACTGCTGCAAAACAACCCACAGCAGAGTGAGTCATCCACTTCCCATACATCTGGATTGCTCAGTCTTTGAGGGATGAGCTTACATCAACAATCCTTCCTCACTTGCAAGTATCCAATCAGTGTATATTATGTTTTTGCCTTTAAGCTTCCCCCAAACTGAAGCTTGGGGGGTTTATTTCTGACACTGATCTGTGTGTAGAGAAAATGTTCCAACTTTAGCAGACAATCAACGGTCTGGTCAGTGTCTTGTTCTTCTGACAGGCTTTTCAAAGCACTCTAGCAAACCACATTATTTATTAGCTGCTAAACCAGACAACAACTTGAATTGAAACCAACTGTTTCCTTAATAGCACTTCTGAGCTGAATGACTTTTTGGAGCCCCTGTAGATCACAAGCATGCTCATCCCATGTTAGGGCTGAAGGTTAGTAAAATGGAATTCTATTCTTCCTGCTAAATACCCCAAAAAGTAATAAACTGCAACTAATTATTTTGAACCAGCTGAAAGGCAAAGAATACCAAACCTAGTAAATGTGTTAAATATCTGAAACTATGCACTGAAATATTAGCTGAAGTTGTTCTTTGTTTAAGCTTATTTTCTGCTTTTATTATGTGGTCCCCAGTTAATTCAGCAGCTGGAGTGAATTTTCTCTGCCAGTCTGAATGGTTACAGGTATCTTTCATGATGTGGTTTCTTTCATATTAATTATCACTTCCTGGTGATACCCTACCTCATTTTTTTTATTTTAATTACCATTTATACACCATTTAGCTCACTTCATTTTCAAGTTTTTGGTGTTTACCATAAATAGTATTAAGTGGCTTTCTGTTGCTCAGCCACACTGAGGTCCTCTTTACATTTTACCCCTCTCTAACCAGTGATTCTAGGAATTCCAAGAACAATAACACATCCTTTTCAGAAGATGAGGTGTATGGAAAGAAGTTGTGACTATTATTGATTCAGCAGCTGTGACGTTGTTTCCTTTCCTTACCTTTTGTCTGCTTTGGTTTTTGTCGCATGGTTTGAGTTCTTTGGATGGTTAAAATTTTAGTCGTCCTTCAGAGGAGGAGTAACTTTTCTTCCTCATTAATAGCTGTGCCTTCTCTAGAGAGACATTAATGTAACCTCTCCACAGAGGCACTGGCTCCTTCAAGTGCGTTTGGACTAGTCCCTGCCTGAAGCCAGCTCTTCCCTCTGATTCTTTTTCTTTCAGACATGGAGAGATTTCTTTACTTTTGGCCTGACTTCTCCCTAACAAAAAGTATTGTCATTCCATAAACAGTAGAGTCATCTGTTACCTAATGTAAGGCTGTTTGAATGGTAAGTAGTACAACTGGTGCTTGAACTTTGCTTCTTTTTTTCTCATTGCATTTGAAAAGAAAATTCTTTTCCCCACTGTTTGCCCACAGAATGGATCCCGTAGTTTCACTGAGTATGTGCCAAAGCAAAGTGGTTTCTGTCATACCTGCATTCTTACAGAGCGGGAAGCAGAGCTGGGTCTGCACTAGAGTATGGCTTGACTCAGACCTATCTCCCTCCATCCCTCCAGCTGCAGTGGTAGGTTAATCTTCAACTCCTTCAGCAGCATGAAGTCCTCCAGGTATCTCTGCTCTGAAATCCTGTTTCAAAAGTAGCTGTACTTGAATTGCTGGACCCCCAGCAGCAAAGGTGAAGTCACACGAAGAAAGGCTTAATTTAGCATTTCTGGGCTTGCTCTTCCCTTCATCCCTCTCAGTCTCCTTTAAAGGAGTTTTATTGAACAAAGGGGAAATGTTTCTAGAGGAGACTTAATGAGAAGGGGGCTAATGAGCCTGAGTCATCTTTTGTAGCTGACAAATGTGTCCATTTAAGACACTACTCATGGCTGAAACATTGTTCCACTCCCATTTTGTAAATGCATGAGCAGGGTTGTGGTTTGGCATCAGAGACCCGCAACTTGATGTAACATTTCAGAATCATGACATTCACTTTGTGTGGGGGATTGTTTGGGCAGCTGATCAACAGCACCTCCACCTTAAGCACTGAAGGCTGCTATTGTGTTCTCTGAAAGACTTGTAAGACTGAACACTTTAACAGAATAAAAGTTTTACTTTTTCATTTGCATTTTCCTTTTATGTCTGCTTTCTTTTAAGTTTTCTATATGCAAAGGCACTTGGCTCTCCATGATCTTGCCTTTCAGAAGACATGTTAATAATTCCAGCTATTGTGTAGGATTGTTGGGGTTTTTTTTTACTCGTTGCATGAATCCTTGTGGATTATAATGTTCCTTTATGAATCAGCAAAAAGTAGATGCGCAGCAAGAGGTCCTGCTCAGTGACAAGCCTGGACTGCCTTACACATTTCACCCTCACTTTAACAAATGGCTGAAGCAGTTCATGTTGCTCAATGTGAGATACTTGGAGCGTTGTCTAAAGTCCTGTAGAAGCTCAGCTGGGTTTTCAAAATGCATATTGTGCTTTCATTCCCTAGGAAAGGGACAGGGACTGAAGTCAATGGAGAAAACTGCCTGTTGCCATAAAAAATGTCTTCAGCCAACTACTGGTAACAAATTACTTGAGTGTTTCCTAGCTCTCTGCCTACCCCCACACACTACTTCAACTGAAAATGCTGTCAGAGAGTGTCCTTCCTGATTGAGCATGTCCATGATGTGGTACAGGGAATCAGCCTTTAACTTTCAAAGGCAGTTTTGAGTTTCTGTGCAGCTCATTGACGGTATGGAAAGGTATGTTTCTTGTGTTTTGGCTTCCCTTGTTTCCTTTGTCTGAGACTGCTTGACCACAGCGACATTGGCCCCACTTGAGGGACAGAAAATGTGAGCAGGCTTCGAGATGGGTGGAAGGTGGTGGTCTGTGATGCTGCTTATCAGCAGCTGATGGGTTTTAATGAAATGCTTGACAGGACTGTACCGAGAAAGGAAAGGACAAAATTCCCTTTGTCATCTAAGGCTCACTTGGACTGCAGCTCCTTCGGCAAAGGATTTACCACCTCTTTGAATAGCTGAGCAAAAGGAAAGAATGAAAGGTATCATCAAAGAAAACTGTTTTTTGCAGGACTTCAATGCAGTGATGGGGAAGGAATACAAGGGTGAAGAACTGATCTGTTGTTGTTGCAAAAAAGACTTTTAACCCTGGTAATTCCAAATTTTCAAAGTAGCTTACTAAAAAGCATAGAGTAAAGATGCAATAGGGGCAGCTGGAACTATATTTGGGTTTGTTCTGGTAAAGCCCTCTATTCCTATTCACCATAAGCTTTTTACATTGCTGACTTTTTTAAAGTAGCTGTCTTGGTTCTACCTGTGGATGAAGGTGAGAATTCTGTTGATGGAAAATTACTGCATTTCTGAGGCTTCTGATAACGTGAAGGAAATGACTGCCATTTCAGGGAAAACAAAAGCATTCAAGTATCTAAGCAATTTTGAATACTAATAAGCTATTTAACACAATTCAATACTAATCATAGTTCCTGTGCTCCTTGTTTCTCATTTAGTGTTCTGTCCCTTGTTGCCAATCGTATCAAAGGCTTCAGGAGAGGTGACAACAGACTTAACTGAAACTTTTCCTTACCTAATAATCCTGGCAGTTCCAACAGCAGCAGTTTCAGTGAGAGTGCCTGAACTGGCAAGCTGGCTTGGCTCCAAGTGGTGTCAATAGGAACACTTATTGAGGAGGAAATGAAGGTAATTGTGCCAGTCAAAAGGGCATTTGGAACACTTGCGCTTTGCTGCAGGGTTGCCCATGTTCCACGTGTCACTGGCTCCTGTACCTTTCATACACACATGGGATGGCCTTTGTCAGCCTCAAATGGAGTTTGCTTGAAGTGCAGTTTTCTGGTGGAGCTGGCAGGAGAAAATGTGGTTTAACTAGTCTGCAAAAGAGCTCTCCAAGGGGGAGGAAAAAGGGGCCATTTCCTAGTTTTGTCCAAGAATTTTCTACCTTCCTTATTTAAGCTTACTGGAAGAGGAGGTATTTACAAAGGTGACATCCTTCACTTTGACTCTTTGGGGGCATTATATGGCAGGGGTGGTTTTCCTCTTGCTGAAAATGTAATTCTAAGCCTCAAAACAGGAACTTGTCTGGAGTGTTGTGAAGATCTGGAGGACTCCTAAGGACAAACACTGATGAATGCTCCTGTAGCTGAGATGGGTTGCCTCTCCTGGTGTATGTAGTCAGTTGTTTTCTGCTACTTGCTGCACTGCGTGCTGCAATCTGCTGTTTGATTTGCTCAAAGCAATCCATAGAACAGGAAAGCTGTGGTTGTCACCGCATGTGAGCTAAATCAGCTTCTGAAGTCATCATGTATGTGTAAGTCGGGGAGTGGAGAAGATGACGTGCTAAATTGCTGCAAAAAGAAATGCCAGGGCATGAGAAGTACAGGACGTTATGAATGACCAAGGTAAGGCAGAGGGACTGAGGAGTGGCACGGGAGTGTGTGTAGAAGGCATGTTTCTCCAGGGTTGCTACATGCCAGTGAGGGGTGAGGTGGGTGCTCACCAGACTGAGTTACAGGCAAGGTTCTTATCCATCGCTTACATGTCTTCCTAAAAACCATTTTGGCTCCATCACCTGCTGGGGGTCTGTTAACAGGAAGGAAGAACTACTTGATTATGGTTTTGAGTGTTGCTGCGTTGGAGGCTGTTTGTTTCCTTTCCACTTTTGTAGCCCAGTGATCAAAGTCCCTGGCAAAATGTAGCCTTTTAAACTATCCAATTCATATCCTCTTGTGTGCAGAGAAAAGCTTGGAAATAAGCTGTGAATGCTCAAAACCAGAGCTTTTCCAGTGAAAACACTGAATTCCCCTTCTGCGGGGGTGTGTGTGTGTGTGAAGGAAAAATACTTGAACAAGATACTGAGGGATTTTTATCTGGAGTTGATACCCTCACAGAATAGAGAACTTCATTTTTTCAAGCAGCATCTCTTAAGATGGATTTGCAGTCGCTTGCAAATATATTTGAAAGTAAACATCTTCCCATGTGCATTTTGCACTCCATTTTGCTAGGTTTTCTTCTGGGTGATGCCTAAAACTGCCCCCATGATGTTATTTTATTGTGGAGTGCCGCTTAAAGGATGCTTTTTGAGTTTCCTGCAAAAGTCAAAGAGAAAAACTTTCCCCATGGATTCCTGTGCCTTGGGAAGGATGTGTTGGTGGGGAGCGCCACCGCTGGGCTGGCATCTGTTCTTCACTCTCCTGCTTTTTAAACCTAACTTCGGCGTTTTCTCTCTGTGCTTTGGGCTGTGGCTTTGGGTTTACTGATTTACACGCACATTTGGAGCTGCGGGAGGGTGAACTGAGCAAGTGAAGGTCTAAATGGCCAAAGAGTGGCTGTGAGTGAAGATAGCAGAGATATTCCCTGTGAGTGCTGCCAAACCCTCAGTCAAAACTCTTTAGCTTCAACACCCTTTAGGCTGACACTTGTCATCTCTTGGCTTGCTGGAATCCCTCTTAGGTGAGCATGCTGAAGCGCAGGCAGGACTCGCTGACCGAGCAGAAAAGGACACTGTAAGAAGCCTGAATTGGTACTTTAAATGTGTTTAAAACCTTTTAACTCTTTTCGTCCCACTTGAATCTTCTTTTACCTTCCTTATGTTATTTTACCACTGCATTTACCATTGTAACTGCTCTACTCTTAAAGTGGAGTTAAGAAGCGAATCAAGTTTGTGACTGCATCTGAGCAGAATTTGTTTGCACTTTGTGTCAGCACCAAGAGCCAAAGCAAAACCCCAAATGTCCCCCACCAGGAACGGTCAGACATGGGACAGAATTCCTTGAGAGGCAGCTCCGCCGGCTGCGCAACAGCCTGGCTGCCCAGTGCTTGCTTTTATCACATGCTGGGACAAGAATCACGTGAAGAGGCGGGGAGTCAGCCCTGCAGAGCCTGGTGGTATTGTGGTTTGCTGGTGGGATCCTGGGAGCCTCTGCCCCTGATGGCATTTGTGAGCCAGCATCAGATCCAAAAGGTAAGGGACTGCACCCTGGGGAAGGAGCGTGTCTGTGCGCAGGCAGGTGACAATACCTGTAAGACATGGTCACCACTAGTTAACCTGTGGCCAGGTCTAGCAAAGATCTGCTTTACAAATGCTCTATATTCTTCCCAGCTTCTTGCATTACATCCATTTTGAGTGTGTGAGGACCCTGCCTCACAGGGTGGATACAAACTCTTCCAGAGGGCAGCTTGTCCCACAGAGGTCTTGGAGGAATTTCTCCTGTGCCCTGCTGTCTCTGCTGCTCAGATCTCAGCCGTGAACTCGAAATCTGCCTGCCAAAGGATAATCTCTAGGGTATTCTATATAAAGAAACAGTAGTGCCAACAGAGTTCACTTTGTTTTGTAAGGCACTGTGTAGTCAACCATGAGAAATTACCCAGGGATTATTCCCTTAGAGAAAGCAACGCTTTCCAGCTTGTAAAGGAATCTCTCTTTTATTTGGCATACAGGTGTGACTGCTCTGTTCGTGCTAGCAGGTGTTGTAATTAAATAGTTGCTGGCTGCACATCTTAAACCACAATGGCTCTAGCCATGATACCTTCCCTGCTTTGTGAACTGAGGAGCCGAGATACGTTGTGCTTAACTGCATAGAGTCTGAGCCTGGTAATGAACAATCTTTTTTACAACAGAAACCCCTCCTGAAACTGAAACTTAAAAGCGTGTTGTGCAGCTGCAGAGCTGAACCTGGGTTGGTTTTCACACTGAGCTGAGGCACAGCAAAGAGCCACAACTGTTTTCTCTTGCTCTGTGCTGCTTCTCCAGCATGCTCAGGAGGAAAGTAGTCACCCCATCTCTTCCAGTTCCACGAGGATGGCTTCCTTGTCCTAGAGCATTTTTTCACCGCAGAGGAGTGTGACAGCATGAGGAACCAGATTCAGAGGATCATAGAGGAGATGGAAGTGCCACCGCACTGCCGCACTGAGTTCTCCACCAAGGAAAAGGAGCAGCTCCAGGCACAGGTACCAAGGAGGGCAGGGCAGTCCCCATTGGAGCATTGGAAAAAAAAGAAGGGAAAAGGCAAACTGCTGCTCAGGATTCACTCTGGGGGAGCAGGACTCTTTCTTCTAACTGAATGTAACACTGGGGGAGGCATTTGCTCTCCTGATTTCTATATATTTGGTGGTGAACTTACTGGATGGCAAAGGAGGGGGGAGGATGTGTGCTTCCAGCCCTCACAACTAGCCACATGCAGCTCTCACAGATCACTTTGTGCTTGTTTTGCTGACAGAACATAGGTTCTTTTCTGGGCAGCCAGCAAAAGAAAAACAAGGGTAGCCTCAATGTGAGAGGTTCTTGTAAAGTCCTAATCAATGCCACGACATTTAGCATTGTGGTAAGCCTTTTTATGAGTGATTTTATTGACTGTGCTTTGTTTATGCTGCGTCTTGATGGGATGAAGATGCAGGTGAGTATAAATGCTTTGATCGAAGGCTCATTTGTGTTTTTACAAGAACACAATCTTTACTGGGCTCTTATCCCTGGCAGGGTAGCTCGGATTATTTCCTAACCAGTGGAGACAAGATTAGATTCTTCTTTGAGAAAGGTGTTTTGGATGAGAGAGGTAAGCCCTGTTAGCCACAGGGAGGGAACACAAGTTGGAGTGAGGGTTTGGGGCCAGTTTCCAGCTCTAGGGATGATTCCTGCTCTGCAAACAATTTTAAATTCTACTTTTGTTTCATAGGTAACTTTCTGATTCCAAAGGAGAAATCTGTCAGCAAGATTGGCCACGGTATGTTTAAAGGATGGGGTTCCGAGAGGGACAGAGAAGAGGGAAGTGGTTTTCAGATATGAGGCTTTCATCATAATAACCCTGGCCATCTGAGTTAAAACCTTTCTGAGCAGGGAAGTGACTTCCTCCCTCTTCTGTGGCTTCTTTGTGCCTCCTGGGAACAACTGCATCAAACACCACAAACCTCACCCCCCTCTTACCATTGTGGCCACGCAGCTCCTGTCTTTGCAACCCAGGGCTGGTTTACTCTGGGTTTCTGTGTTAAATTCTCCAATGTGATTTCTACACATCACTGCTTTTCCCCACATCACTCTGTCACTGTCTCTGTAGTTCTCTGTGTTGCCCCTCACTCTCTGCTGTCAAAAGACTTAGAAATATCCTATTATGATCCTTTCCAGGAGAACTCTTTTAAGAGGTTTTTCAGCTGTGCATAGCTCAGGGTCACTGACATGTGAAAGTCTGGACTTCAGCCCTTGTCCCTTTTATGTAAGACATTGCTCTGAAAGATTTACTAAGACTCGCATTCAGTACAGTTCCAACTGTCTTCTGTGGCCTGTGCAGTGGTGGGTTGTAAACACTGAAGCTGTCCTCCCCCCTTTGGTGTCACCAGGACCTTTTCTTCACCTTTACTGGTTTCAGTTTAACCTATTTCCTCTCTCCCTACTACTGAACTTGCGTTCTGATCCCTTTTTGTTTTCAAACAGTACACGGAAAATGAGAGCAGAATTCACACATCTCCTAATGCACGAACCTTGTTCAGGTTAAACGTGACTGAACTTGGAAGTTCAGTACTGAGAGTTCTTGGTCCTTTGGTTTTCTCAGAAAAAAACACTCCCCTTCCCAGGCCCTGCCATTCCCTTAGACTTCAGCTTTTCTCCAGGGGAAGTGAGAACAACTGTAGATGCTTGCTGACTCAGCAACTTAACCATTCAAAAGGCTTCTCTAGACTCATTTTCTGTCGTGACTGCATTTGATTGACTTCGGCCTCATCCCTTGCTCAGGAGCAGCCCCTGCTGGACCCGCTTGTGTGTCCTTGTGGCAAATACAGTCGGGATGAGGTGGAGGCGTGATCCCAAGGTTTTGCTTTAGGGTTTTGTCACAGCTGGGCTGTAGCAAGCATCTATATGCAAACAGCTCTGACCTGTGGGCTACAAGGGTTAAAGGGCATCAAAGCTGAGCCTTAGCTCTTTTTTTATAGCGATTACTTTCTTTGGTAGGTTTTAAGAACTGTGTTTCTTAAAGCGTGATTTCACCCTCAGGGTCATATATACTGGTTGTCATGTTAGAATTTGCATAATATAATGCTTAATCCCATAACAGTCAGGTTTTATTCACTGCTGTATACTATTCTTACATGGCTGCAGTTTGTGGCCAGTGAGTGATTATATTTTTGGTCTTTCTACAAGTGTCATACCACCTGAGGTGTGATAAGCCATGTATAACAACTCTTAGGAGGGATGAAAGTTGCTGGCTGCACTTTATCTTGCTTGGCTGTCAGCCCTGCAACTCATCCACTGTGAGCTGCCAAGTCCCTTCAGTTAATGAAACCTTCAGTCTGAGCCTTTTATTTCCCCTCAGCTTTACATGCTTATGATCCTGTCTTCAAGCAAGTCACCCACTCCTCCAAGGTGCAGGTGAGCTGTTACTGTTTCCTAGAATGGTCTCTGTGTGTGTGTGAATAAACGATGGAGCAGTGAATTTTCTTGACTCCCAAGGATAGTAATTTTGTCTGTGAAAGAAAATGTAAGTATCTTCAAAGAAGAAGGCTTTAAAGTGTGCAGGAAACAGCAAAGGTAAATCTTGGAAAGTTTTCTTGCAGGAATTGGGAAGAAAATTAGGCCTTGAGAGACCAGTAGTTGTGCAAAGCATGTATATCTTCAAGGTACAGTAATTCAAGTTGTCTTGTCACTCAAGAAATAAGACCCTGTTAGGTGGGAAGCTGTGAAACTCTTCACACATCACCTTTCTTTCCTTGCAGCAACCTGGCATTGGTGGTGAAGGTAAGACTTGTATTGTCTCTATATCACACTGAAGATAATACTGCTTTAGGAAAGGAAAATCACCAGGAAAAATGCTCAGAATCAGGCTTAAGCCCGTGAGGTTTGCGGTCCAAATCTTCTTACAACGATTAAAAAGCATCCGTGTTTTATGAAGTGTTTCCACATCATATGCAGCTTGAACAAAGAGCTACTTTTACATTTCTAGCAGGCTGAAAGGTGGTATTTCTATGACAGACCTAATGTGTATGATAGATGGGTGGGCAGGGTAGGTCAAGAATTCAGGGAGATGCAAGCCTGTTGTCCTTCTAACGGCACTGAATTCCTCAGGCATTAAAGGACTCTTAATGCCTGTCTCTTGTTGCAGTGACACCACACCAGGATGCCACCTTCCTGTACACAGAGCCCCTGGGCAGGATCCTGGGGTTCTGGATCGCCCTGGAGGATGCCACACAGGAGAATGGATGCTTGTGGTTCATTCCTGGCTCTCACACCAGTAAGAGTTGTAGTGTTTTGTGGGTGCTGTGAAACACATGCCATCTCCTTGCTAAAGAGTGGAGGGTGACGCAGACTGTGTTATGGTCTCTGCATTGCACAGTGCCTGCAGAAGCACATTATGTCCTTGTTTGTTGAAAGAACAACTTTATTTACTACAAAGATCTCCTCCTGTGCTGTTGTCAAATCTACAGACATGTTTTTCAGCAGGTTATGAGCTCCTTCACTTTGCTCTGGGCCACTAGTCCCCCAGATGAGTCTAATATCATAGAATCATAGAATAGTTAGGGGTTGGAAAGGACCTTAAGATCATCAAGTTCCAACCCGCCTGCCATGGGCAGGGACACCTCACACTAAATCATATCACCCAAGGCCTCGTCCAACCTGGTCTTGAACACTGCCAGGGATGGAGCATTCACAACCTCCCTGGGCAACCCATTCCAGTGCCTCACCACCCTAACAGGAAAGAATTTCCTCCTTATATCCAATCTAAACTTCCCCTGTTTAATTTTGAACCCGTTACCCCTTGTCCTGTCACTACAGGCCCTAATAGAAGAGTCCCTCCCCAGCATCCCTATATAACAATATTTTTTAACCAAAAAAAGGTGCTGCCCATGCCTGACACTGTGTTTAGTTTTAAGTTGATATTTAGCCTAGAAACAAAGAAATCAGGGCACTGGGAAAGGAAGGACAGTCATCCTGATCATTTATTTAAGCCAGAATCTGTAAAGGTGAGGCCCATTAAAACTGCTCCTGTATCTTTTCACCTGCTAGGCCACTGAATGTTAAGACTTTAATGTAAAGAAGGTCTTAACCTACAGGGCTCTTTTTCCCCTGTAGTGAAACACGTCATTGCAATATGTTGGTGCTCTGTCCTCAATTTTGATTGTAGTTCACCAAGTTTGATCTGGACTGCAAATGGTAATAATCTTCTTTTTGCCTTCTAGAGTAGGGATACACTGAGAAATCATTCTTTCCACCCCGTCCCCCCTTACAAAACTGTTCAGTCCTTACAGCCCGATGTAATGGGAATAAAAATGCTCTTACACACACAACTGTCAAATACTGGTCTGAATTTCAGTGAACAAGGAAAGCCTTCAAGTCTATGCAAGGATCACTTGGACACCATCCAAGCCATTGGCAAACAGTCAGTGTCCTAGGGGAACACACACAAAACCAGACAGCACAGGCTCACGTACTGGTGGTTGTGTCTGATGGCTGTTGCTCTGTGTGTGTAACCACTATTGGGTTATAAGCAGAGTTTTCTGTTTTTCATTGCCTCTAGGGCACACTAATGAGCTTTAAACTGGTGCTCACCTAAGCATTTACTCAGTGAGTGTAATCATAGTGCTCTTAATCTTAAGGTACTCCTCCCTCATGAATTCTGGAGTCAGCTGCCCTCTGATTGCAATTTATGCTCTTACAGAAAGGAGAAATGGACGAAAGGTTGGCTTTGCTGAAGTGTATAACTATTTATGTTCTTAAAGGGCTGTGTTGTAATGCACAGAAAGAGCTAGAAAGGCAAAAAGGCAGCTGTTTCATCAGTTTCTGCCACAGCTGGAAAATTCTAAATCTTTGCTTGATGAAAAAACCCTCCCAAATTACGAAGGAAAAGACTGAATATACTGTAATAATGTTCCTATCATCGCCAGCTGGTGTTCCTTGCGGTGCAGAATATAGCCAGCTGTTTAATTTTGATGTGTGTTTGCTTATTCTGTGGATTTGCAGGAGGAATTACCCGCAGAATGGTCCGTGCAGCTTCAGGTAGCTCAACGTGTGTAGAGTTTGTAGGATCGGATCCGGCCTACGATGACAACCAGTTCATACCTCTGCCTATAAGTAAAGGTACAAACAACCCCCAAACACATCTGCTTTACAGCTCAAGAAATAAGGGAGCTAAAAATGTATTTGAACACTTGCAACTTCCCTCATATTTTAAAGCTAGCACTCACAATGTGAAAAAGAGCAATACAGACGTTTCTTTCAAACAGGAGGACTCATTCTCATCCACGGTGAAGTTGTCCATAAGAGTGAACTGAACAGCTCGGAGTCTTCTCGCCATGCATTCACTTTCCACGTGATGGAAGCTAAAGACACCAGCTGGAGCAAAGAGAACTGGTAAGGTCACCATCCCGACAAGCAGCTGAGGAAAGTAGAGCTTTATCAATGCAACAGCCAGGATAAACTCATTGGTGGTCTTGCATGTCATACAGTTTCTGTTGGCAGTATCTCAGCATTGATTTCACACCCACAGAACTGGAACAATCTCTGAAGTTTGGTTTTTACCTCTTCCTTACTTCCCAGGCTCCAGCCGACTCCTGAACTGCCTTTTCCATCGCTCTACACTTGAAGCTAGTGATTGGCTTTTGGAGACAATAGCTGGTCAATATTCCTTTCTGATCATTCGTTCCCTTTAAATACATCTTTCACTAGGTCAGCTCTTGAGATTAATTTATCCTCTTCTCAGAACAGGGACCCATGACATAGCCAAATACCCCTGCATTAGACAAGTTTCTACTGCAGTGTGAGCCCTATTAGTATAAGAATAGTCATCCAGCCCTTTTGGTAAGGAAATCTCTCCAGTGTTGAGAATGGACCATTAAAGACCTTGACTGGGATCAGTTAAGAAGTGTTTCTTCTTGCAGACACTCCGTATTCCTTTCTGTTGAGGTCAAGAGCTTGTCTAGTGCAATTCTTTGCTGTGTCAATCCCAGCAATGCAGGCGAATGTGTCATGTGAAGACAGCTGACTTTTATCCTTAGGTCTTTGTCCTATTGTTTGAATAACAGTGATTAAAATAATCCTATTGTAGGCAAAATGAAATGGAAAGTCTGCTTCTATAATCAATCTTCTAAGTATTTGTAGTAAACTGTAGCTGAGTGTTTGATCTCTGGGTGTGTTGATTAAAATCTACAGTTCTTAAAGTCATGTTGAAATTATGTGTTATTAACCAAAAACGACTCTGAAGAATCTTTTAACATCCTCAGGAAAAGCAGTATGGAATTTCAAGAGCCCATGGAGGTGTTAAATTGGGCAATGCTGCCTTTCAGCTGTTTGAGTCCTGGTTTGTTGCAGGGACAAACGCAGTATGAGATCCTGGGGCGTATTTTGCTGGCCCAGAGGACTACTTTCACTGCACCCCAGTCCTATTCTCACTCAAGACAGTCTCAGGGCTAGGACTGCAGGACACTATTGTGTGAGGTATCTTGAACTCCCACAAAAGTGTTCGCAAAAGTGAATAAAAGAAGTGTCAGAAGTTAACTTCATCCTGCAAACAGGAATCCTGGAATGCAAATCTTCTGCTTGGATACTTCTCAGGGGAAGGAAAAAGGCAGGGAGGGCATGTGCTCCTGTGTTCTGTTCTAATGGATGCTTGGTGAACTGATGGGAAGATTGTAGGTACAGAAGTGTTTAATACATAAAAATGAATGTGGTTTTTTGGCCATAAAATGGGAGTTACAATTTTTTAATTAAATGGGTTTACTCAGTTTGTTGATAGAAGCATTTTTATAAATGATTTGATGAAACACCTAGCTGAAAAAATGTGCAAGGTAGAAAACTTCAGTAGCATTAGAAAAGTTTATTGACTTTAACAGGTTTTCTGCTTTTGTGATCAACGTGTGATTAGTTTTATCTGTGACTTGGCTTAGTTCTCCTCCCCCTATTGAATATTATTCCAAATGAACTGAGAGATTAAAATCTTGCTAAAGATAAAACATTCTTCTTGCTGCGTAAACTGCCAGGGCTAAAACTACAACCCTCTTGTTAGTACTTCTTGGAATAAACAGTCACTTGCTTTCTCAAACCTCCTCACCCAGCCTGGATAAACTCAGCTATTACAGCTACTGAGTTTGAAGTTCTGTTCGTGCATTGCAGTGCATTAGTGTGGCTCTTGGTGACTGGGTACATTGGGACAGTTGGACTCACTCTGTGTGGCCACCCTCATTATAACACATGCTTTAAATCATGCTTAGACAGAAGGAAGGAATTAACATATTCGGCAATACAATACAGCAGGACTCAGTACAGCAAAAGGTTTTGATTCTGATACAGTACAGACGTGGCAGCACCTGAGAGGTTTGCTTATTCCTTATTTCTTTTGTTCCTCTAATTGACTTACCTCTTCTTCCTCTACTTCTTTTTCCTCTGGACATCCACACTGGATTATTAAACACAGATACTGTTTTTGTCAGTCATGTCTGTGTTCTGGTGGGAACACAAAACAGCCCATGCTGTTTCAAAGGCAATAAACAGAGATCAAACCAAAGCCTTTATTTAAAATTGGTCTTTTCATTTCTCTTTTTAACAGTTTTATCTGCTGTACCAGAAGCAGTGTTCAGATCAGCTTTCAGCTCTTGTTACCGTGCATATTCTATTATCACTTTTCTTTAGAAAGGGAGAAACCTCTGTTCCTGGAAGCACTTCTATGCCATAAACATTATCTGGAGGTAGAGAGGCAACAGAAGGTTGTCAATTTGGGTCGTGTAAGCTTCTAAAAGAGAAACTAAGCTCACAGATGCCAAAATCCAGGCATAGCTGGAGTTCAGATTCACATTACTGTCAAAGATCAGAATAAGAGCCACAGCAATGATCTGAGCAAAAATAGCTGTCATTGTCCCTTCAAAGGTCTTCTTTGTTCCTGGCCATTTGATTTCCCCCATTGTACTGCCAAAAACAGAGGCAATAGTGTCCCCTACCCCTACTGCCAGCACCCCAGAGTAAGGGACTAGTGCTCCTGCCCCGGACAAGGTACCTTTAGGAGCACAAGCTCTGGGAAACAACCATACTGGGAGGGACATACCAAGGAGGAGATAAATATGAGTCAAGATCAGAGGTCCACTGTCTCTTTCATCCAAGAAGAGAGACAACAGATGCCTAAGGGTTTGGCCAAATGGTTTGATCCTGAAGTACCGAATATACTCTAAGAAGATAAACACTGCCAGACACAGTACTGCAGCAACGTAGAGAAGCTGGTGGTCATAAATTAGTCCAGGAACATAAGTAGCTACAACAATGAAATGGAAATATTTCCTGGTTATAGTCGAGGCCTGGTGTTTTTTAGATTCAGATGATCTCTTAGCATTCTGGTAGAAAACTATGCCACATGCGGAAGCAGCCAAAAAGGTCCAGTATACAAGAAGGTAAACTCTTGTCTGTGTCTGAAACAGAAACTGGAGTAGCCAGAACAAAGGGTTCCTCTGTATCAGTCGGTACAGCCAAGGCATGATGACCCCTAAGCCTAGCACTGCTGTCATCATGTGGAAAAACATGGAGGAGATCCATGTACCCGAATCCATGAAAATGAAGAGCACAGTGAAAAAAAGCCCAAGAAGAACAACTCCAACAACTGCTACCAGAAGGAAAAAGTCTATGGGATCACCTCTGCCCTCGACTACATTCAGTGAGCGTTTAATGAGCTGATTGAGAACAAAACTTATACCTCCAAGAACTAGCAATGCTTCTCCAGGCGTAAAACATCGAGGCAACAAGTACAGCAAGATCATACTGAGGTAGACAAAAATTAGCAGCACTTCTAGGACCTCTATCACTTCTGAAACCGTCAAAGAGTGCTTCATGGTATAGATAATTATACTGCCAGCAATACCAGTAAGTATGCACGTGTTGGTTGGCACAGGTTTTGTGATGCCAACCGCTATTACTGACAGGAAGAGAGCAACCAGCATGCCAGTGGAAGCCACGACTATGCCAAAGCGTTCGAAGTACACAATGCCAGCAGCCTTGCACCTCTCCTTCATCACTATCCCCAGCAAGGGGATGACCATGCTAGCTGGTAGGAGGCCACTGTTTGCTGCTGTACGGAACTGGAATACAGCCCCACCCAGCTGGAGCAGACGGTCCCATTTGAACTGGACATAAAAAGCCTGGATGGCAAGGGCGACGGCGCACCAGGAATACCGGTCCCACACCGCTGCATGCACAAAGAGAACGATGACGAACACGATCAGGGATTCCACCAGCACTGGCTTCTTTAACATGATTCCAGTCCAGTGTGGCTCAAGCTGTCAAAATCTTCCTCAGGAGTCCCGATCTGTTCAGTTGTTGTCCATTAGGAAGAATTCCTTTTCATGTTACTGCAATCCCTATCAACAATAAAAAGTACACAAGTGAAGAAATTACTAGAAAAACTAAAGCTTTTGCACAGCTGTTTTGTTCTTAAGTGTCCATTTAAACTGAGCTTCTGTGTCAACTGTCAACACAGGCGAAGAAAGAAAAAGCCAGTGAGGTAACGGCTCAGCCAAAATGGGTGTCTGCCCCCCAAAACTGGAGAAGTCAGCCTAAAGTGACAGAAATGAACCACTGAATGCTGGGCTATTCAGATAGTTGGAAATGTTTCTGTTGCAGTGTCTCTGAATTGCACTGTGAAGTCATAACCATACCCAGAAGGCTTCATTATGGTGGTGTGAATCTGAAATATAGTTAAAAGTTCAAAGGTAATTTTAGAACCTAATTTTGTACGTACTTTTGCCAGTACTTTTACAGAATGTTCCTCCTTTTATTAACTATTTCTCCTTCCACTGCTCTGCAAAAACTCCTGTGTACTTCTGCTACTGGTGTTACGATTGAACAATTCCACTACTGCAGCAGGTGTTTCATAATGCTGCATGGTATTTACAACAGAAGTAGAAAAGAAAACATCACAGTCATGAAAACAAAAATCATTGTCAAAGGGCATACTTTATCTAACTTGGATCTGTTACCAGAACTGTCAAGATAAGCGAAGTCAGAGATTAGCTCCTTCATGGAAGGCTAGAAGTTTATTTGAAGTCCTTGTGTGGGTTTCGTTCAGTGTTGAATGGTGTCACCAGCTTATAAATCTGATCTGAGGGATTTTAGAAGTACTATTACTGGGTAACTATTAAAGTTTGCACTGTCAAACAGACAGTGTGGGTCTGGAGTGTTTGGTTATTTATGACTTTGTACTGAAAACTCTAAATTATTAATAGATAGCTTTCTGGCATCCTCATGTGTATAGCCTGAAGTATTTGCTTGCCAAATGATTTCAATATGCTTACTGTTGCTATGCAGCTAGATCAGGCCAAGTGTAATCTTTCTGCCATCACAATTCATTTTTAAACGGCATGTGAGAGAAGAATTAATCATATAATTAAACAGAACTGGCTCCGGCAATATCTACTGACAACCAATAATGGATTTTGGGTCCCAGTTGTCATTTACTGAGCCCAGGGGAGGGAGAAGCTTAAGGGTTATTTGAGAAGAAGCAGGGTAAATACTACATGCCAGCCAGACTGACAAAGATCTCCCACTCAGTCTGGCAACTTTAAGTTGCAACCCAGCTCTTGCATCAATAATGATACATGACAGCTTCCCCCAGCAGGCAGCCTGCCAGTTCGGCTATAAGACAAGGATGAATTTCACTCCACAAAACGCAAGTCTCCTCTTCTAATGACGCAGGTTTAAAAGCTGCTGACCTGCGAGTTTGCAACACGATGTATTTCACTGCTGAATTATTTCATTTACCTGTTGCAGGTCTCTCCTCCACTCCCTCCTTAGGTAGCGTGAAGCTCCTCAGCACTTCCACACTCAGACATCGAACGGGACTCACTACCCCAGTTTCAAACCGGATTAAGCGTTTTCTGCCTGTTTCGTTATTCGCATCCCGGCTGCAACGTGATCCCAAACGCCCAGCAGCCGCCCCCCTCGCTGCAGCACTTGCCTCCTCCCTTTCTTCCCTGTGTCCTTCCTCCCCTCCCTGTGTCCTCCGCAGCGCCGCGGGCTCCCTTTGCCCTGTCCTTCCGCGCCGCCCTCCTCCTCCTCTCCCCCCAGCCGCAGCATCCCGCAACCCAGCCTTCGCCGCTAAGAAGCCGCGGGGGGACACAGCGGGGACGGCGGCCGCAACACTCCCAGAGGGTGTCGGAGCCGCTACCCGGGTGAGCCCCAGGCCCCGCCGAGGAGCCGCGGCCTCCCCCGACCGCCACCAGGTACCCACCTCGTAGGACGCAGCCATCTTGGCTCTGCCGCCTGTCACATGACCCCGTGGAAGAGGGCGGGAGGCAGAGCGGCGCGGCGGAGGGAGGAAGCGACGGCGGTTTCGCGCGGCGGCGGCGTCACGTGAGAGCGGAGCGAAGATGGCGGCGGGCGGGCCGCGCGCGAGGTGCGGGACGCGGCGGCTGTGGCGGGGAGGGAGGGGGGGGCAGTGGGGGGCGGGGCCCGGGCTTCGCCGTGTGCGGGGCCGGCGGGGAGCGGCGGGGGTGGGGCGGGGGGGGGTGGGGTGTTAACGGCAGCGGGGCCCGCGCCGGCCTGGCCCCGCCCCTCGCTGAGGGGGCCTGAGGGGACCCCGCTGAGGCGGCTCAATGGAGCAGTGAGCGGCGGCCCGTCGGTCGTCACTGCCTCGCTCTGTCGTTGTGCCGTGCCCCGCAAGATGGAGCGGTCAGTAGAACGGCTGTAACAGCTGTTGTTCCTGTGAGGCTGAGGTCCCGGTGTGGGCTCAGGTGTCGGAGGTGGGCGTCGGGACACCCGCCACGTCCCGGAGCTGCTCTCGTGAAGAGCAGAGCTTTCAGGGGTTGGTTTTCACCTTGCGGACAGCTCTTCGCAAGTCTGAAAGTCAAAATAGAGGTGGGGAAGATGTACAGTGAAGCGATTGAATGAGTCCCGGGTTCACTGGTCACCTTCAGTGCCCTCAGTTGTCCTGAGCGCTTTTTGGGTGGTTATTGTAGCGTCCCTGGAGCTGCGATTTTTATTAAATGAGTATTTATAACCCCAATGGGGACAAGAACACCTCAGTTACATGTGATCACACACGAAACGCTTTCCTTCCTTGGCTGGAGGCTAATAGGTGAACTGGCCACACATCGCGGTCTCTTTTAGTTCCCAGGAGAGGGTAGGAGGGAAGGACGAGTCGAGGGTTGGTTTTGCAGGGCTGGTGCTCAGGTCTGTGAGTGATTCTTCTCCTGGTAAAACCCTGTGGCTTTTGGGTGCTGTGAGGCAGCACCTGCAGCTGGTGGCTGCCCAAGCCGTCAGAGGTTATTTAGCTCCTGTGCGGGGAGGTGCGCCCAAATGTCGAGGAATTGGATACAAGTTATGTTGACAGGTGCCCTGCAAATAGAATCATAGAATCATAGAATTGTTAGGGTTGGAAAGGACCTTAAGATCATCCAGTTCCAACCCCCTGCCATGGGCAGGGACACCTCACACTAAACCATGGCACCCAAGGCCTCATCCAACCTGGCCTTGAACACTGCCAGGGATGGAGCATTCACAGCCTCCCTGGGCAACCCATTCCAGTGCCTCACCACCCTAACAGGAAGGAATTTCCTCCTTATATCCAATCTAAACTTCCCCTGTTTAAGTTTTAACCCGTTACCCCTTGTCCTATCACTACAGTCCCTAATGAAGAGTCCCTCCCCAGCATCCCTGTAGGCCCCCTTCAGATACTGGAAGGCTGCTATGAGGTCTCCATGCAGCTTCTCTTCTCCAGGCTGAACAGCCCCAACTTCCTCAGCCTGTCTTCATACGAGGGGTGTTTCAGTCCCTGATCACCCTCGTGGCCTCCTCTGGACTTGTTCCAACAGTTCCATGTCCTTTTTATGTTGAGGACACAAATCACAGGTCTCGGCATGCATTTAGGTGGCCCCATGTGTCACACGCTGCAGATGCCTTTCACTGCCACAGTGAGTTAGTTTGATGATGCTGTTCTAAAAATAAAGTTACTGGGTGATCTTGCTTTCTTAGTCTCTGCATGCGGAGCTCTGGGCTTAACTCTGACTTGCAGTGTGCTGCTAACAAGTCGTCATTTGTCTGAATTCCTGAAATGTTCTTTTTCTTGGCAAACATCTTTTAGAGGTGTTGTAGGGAAACTCCATTGTCTGGGTTTGTATGCCAGGGTTTGATTTGTAATACCTCATAGCGCAGATTGGCTTTTCTGTGGAGTGCTCAGGAAGAAACAGGAGCCAAGGGTAAATCAAGATCTGTAGTAAATCATTCTGCCTTGTGTGAAAGTGTTGGAATCTTTCACTTCACCCAGTTTTATGTTGCACTTAGAGTGAAGGAGGAAACTGTTATGAAAGAGTTTGTTTGGAGGAAAGCATTGAATGTGACTGAATCAAATGTTGATCTGTACTTTCGTTTCTTCTTACTAATCTCAAACATTCTACTACCAAAATCAAATTCAGCTTTGATACGTCACACATATGATTTGTTGCGAGTTTGCAAGTCTTGCTTTATCAGTTGTCACCTTCTTTGGGTCTTTCCTGGGTTTTCTCAGGGCATCTGAAACTGGTCAGGTAAAAACTAATCATAGAATCATAGAATAGTTTGGGTTGGAAAGGACCTTTAGGTCATCCAGTTCCAACCCCCTGCTATGGGCAGGGACACCACACACTAAACCATGGCACCCAAGACTCCCTCCAACCTGGCCTTGAACACTGCCAGGGATGGGGCATTCACAATAACGTTCCTTAAATAATTTTTCTTGTATCTTATCTTGCAGCGTGATGTGCTCTGAGGTAATTGCAGGTTTGAAAAGGTGTAAGCTGAATGGAAGCCTGAAACAGTGTTCATCATTAAAATACTCCAACTTTTCTCTTTGTTTGCAGGAGCAGCAGACAATTATGGAGAGTTCTTCTGGGTAAATCATCTTTAAGAGAACCAGTAAGTCCTTGTCCTGCTAAGCAGCTTTGCCCATCACTGAATAGACTCTGTGGCCAAAGACATCACTTGTACATCTCTTTGAATATTAGTGAAAATACGCTTTGCTGCTTCCCCCTCTTCCTCAGTGCAAGTTTTGTCCTCGATCTTTGCTACTTGTTCGTTCTTCCACTCCTTGTTTATAGCTGTTTCATGATCTGCCTGGAAGGGTGTGTGTGAAAAAGTGGTTCCCTTTCTGGAGCTGACACAAGACTGGCTGGCCTGGGCTATTGATGAATGGTACAGCTGGCTTCTTTATTTTCAGGGATGAAGCCTGTGCTTTGAAGAATTTGCCCAGAGGTTGGAGATCCAGATGTTTCTGAATCCAGTCCATTGCCTCCTATTTCCTCTCCCTTCCCGTGATTAGGCAAGGCAGTGAGCTGCCTGGTGCAGTTATGCACCTTGAATCAGTCTGAATCATAGATGCTTGTCTTGCATTGTTCCTGTCTCTTTGTGGTGGTGGAATTTCTTTGCTTCATTTAAATTTAACAGATCTGATTCTCAGTAATGTACGTTGAGGAAGCTGTTCAGTAGTATTTGATTCTCTCTCTTTTTTAGGCACAGATTGAGTCAGAGTTGAACAACCACTTGCAGAGATTGTCAGAGGGACTTTCATACTATAAGCCTCCAAGGTATAGTGATTGCCTGATTTTAGGAATTAACCTCAAAAATGGGGTCTCTTAAAAAGGAGAGGAACATGTGGAATATTTCTTTCTGATTACATAAAAGTAGATCGTTGCTCTCTCACATGACTTCAGATTTCAGGAGAGGAGTAGCAAGAGAAAACACTTAATTCCATAACATTTTGGGGCATGAAATACAGACCTGAAAGAAATAACAGCAAGTTTCTGCTGTCATTATTCCTGTTAGGTAGCTCTTAACCCTTACGCCTGCTGAGCTGCCATCATGTGCAAGTATGCAGCCTGTGGAGAAGTGACTCCTCTTGACACTGAGTCATTCTGAAAGGATATCTAGAGTCCCTCATTGGAAAAGATGGAATTAATATAGCCTGCGTTTATTATAGTAATAAGATTGTGAACAATGTTGAGTTTTATGTGGTGGGAAGGTTACAAAATACTGTTTATCAAGTATCGAAAGGCCACTGAGTTAAAAACAAAGGTCCGGTTTAAACTGGTTAAACTGGGAACTGGTAAAACTGGGAGCATTTCTTGCTGCATTTTTAGTGACTAAAATTTCTTTTTTTTTTTTTCCTGTAGCACATCTTCAGCAGAAAAAGTAAAAGCTGATAAAAGTGTAAATGCTCCACTGAAAGAGCTGGGCCTGAGAGCCAGCAAGTTTTTGGTGAGTGAACGTGCTATCCGGTTATATTTTTTATCCCTGCACTTGGAATGCATTGTTAGTAGGATTCTGATATTTAAAACAGCCTCTTGATGCTGAATAAAGGTGGTACCTTTATTTAAATTACAGTTATGCTCCTTTTGCTGAAGTTAAAGTGGTTACATCTAAGTGACATCAAAGCTTATGTATATTGCTTTAAGCAGAAGTGTGACCAAAGTATTTGCCTGGTCCAGGAATTGTCTTTTGGCATGTTTTGGAAATTACTTGTTTTGAAGAGAAGAGCTGCCTGAATATTTGGAGAGAATCTTCATCTTGAATGAATTCAGTTGCCTTTTATCCATTTCAGAGCATCTCTATTTTCCTTCTGTTTTTCCAGGGTCTGGATGAAGAGCAGAGTGTGCGTTTGTTACAGTGTTATCTCCAAGAAGATTATAGAGGAACAAGGGACTCCCTGCCGGTCCGTAGCTCCCATTTATGTTCTACTTAATCCACATCTTTCCTTAATGCCAGTAGTTTATTGATGCACATGGTCACATGTGAGTCTGAGTTCTGATTTGGAAATGGCTTTGTAGCTTTTCTTCTCTGGACCTACAATGCTGCAGTGCTGCTCTAAGGAAATGTCATAGGAGATATCCAGAACTTACTTTTCTAGTATCTGCTTGAATCTCTCTGCAGGAACTCAGATCCTCTCTCTATTACAGGAACACAGGAAAACTATAGATTGTGGAGGAGAGTGAAGATGAAGAATAAATATGTTGTTAAAAATTAGTGCTTTGGCTCTGTGCTTTTGGAATCTGTCTTTCCAAAAGAAAGTGAAAGGAAAATTGGCTTTTATTTCAGTCATTTTCTTTGTGAATATCTATTTTGTCAGTAGGTATTTAAATATTTCTTTGTTCTTTTGTGTTTTGCTTACAGACAGTTTCTCAGGATGAAAGGCAGAGTCAGGCTCTGATGCTGAAGGTTAGTCATTTCCATTTGTATCTGCTGAAAAGATCTGTTGACAGAGAAGCGACTTCATTTCTATGGATCCAGAAAATCTTGGAATAATTGAAGTATTCCTTCTATAAGGAACAAGTTTTAGAAAATGCTTTGACCAATTTGAACAGTGTTAATAGTTGCTACGGAAAGAAGAGTTTAGGCTTAATATCAGGAATTTAGCTGGGCAGATGTAGGCTCCCATGTTTTCCATAGCTTGTAGGTTTATATGTTACTGTCTGAAGTGGTAACTCTGAAATGGTGACCACTGATCATATCTGACAGAGCATAATAGGGATGAGGAGGAGACATCATCTGTCTCTGTCTTGTCATCTGTCTTGTTCCCTTTCTTTTGCAAGTTTTCTCACTTAGCAGTGTAGTTACAGCCATGTCCCTGTGGGCATGTTTTATTGAGTTCTGTGAAGCTAATTAAGTATTTTCCCCCAGTAACTTAAAAACTGCTTAGTTGAAACTCCACCTGCAGTAATGTTTGGGCACTCTGTGTTCTTGTGATGAAGGCCTTGGCAGTGTATGGGGGAGGAAAGTGTTGTTAGACACAATACCAAGTTGATACCAATTGATGACACTATCTATTCACAGCTTGCTGACTATTACTATGACGAGAGGATCTGCATCCTGCGCTGTGTCCTCCAACTACTCACTTATTTTCAGGACGAGAGGCACCCTTACATGGTGAGTAGAGTACACAAGTCCACTTGTGATTGTAAAAGACAGTTGACTGTGCATGTGAGAAGTTAATTTGTCTATTGGTTTATTTAAGGCTCAATACTTCCAGTGTGTTGAAAAGTTGGACAAGGAACTAGTTCCTAATTACTGGAAACAGTTTGAAGCACTGTACAAAGCAGAAGCTCCTACATGGGAAACACATGGAAATCTCATGGTATTTTATTTCTTGCTATTGTTGGTATTATATGGTTTAGTGTGAGGTGTCTGTGCCCATAACAGGGGGGTTGGAACTTGATGATCTTAAGGTCTACCCTAACTATTCTGTGATTCTATGATTATTTATCAAACTTATAAAGTCTTCTATGTAGCGTATTGGAAAGTGTGTATGTGCAGATGCAGTTAAAAAGGATGTTTCTCTTGGTCCAAGAAACCTAAAATTTTTCTAACAGAACACACTTCTGCTCAGAAACAGTTGCATGGCACATACTGTTCCTTGTAATAAATCCATTGATAGCCCTAGGCTAACAGATCCATTTATGTGTAGTTGTCCACAGTCTCTCTGCATCAGCACACTCTGTATTTACAGTGGCCTTCTTTGCCACTGATACTAACTGCTGGCTACACAAGCCATTGAAATGCTTCAACACTTCTCAGTTTCCAACTGCTTTGACCTGTGAGCTTCAGCATATGATGGTGGAACTTCTCCTTGTGCAGACAGAACGCCAGGTTTCCCGTTGGTTTGTGCAATGCCTCCGTGAACAGGCCATGCTCCTGGAAGTCATCTTCCTCTACCATGCATACTTTGAGATGTCACCTGATGATCTTCTGGCATTTGCAAAGAAGTTCAAAGAACAGGGATTTGGCACTAGACAAACCAACAGACATTTGGTAGATGAGAGCATGGATCACCTGGTGGATCGCATTGGGTAAGTATCATGTGTATTTGTGGGTGAGTACAGAGCAAAACAATTATTTTCCTCAGGGGGAAAAAAGGCATTTATAATTCTTGCTGCTGCCTCTTAAAATCACCACTATTTCAAGCTAAGGTTATTGTTATGAAGGCAGAATAGCTTTTGTGGTCACATTGATTGGAGGCTTATGGCAAAACGAAGGTGTGATTGCAGAGTAGAGAGGTGTCCATATACTCGTTTTAATCTAGTATATAATCTTGCCTCTTGTAAGAATGGCAATGAAGACAGTCCTGTGCTGGTACTCTGCCTGCTACCTGCATGGGGACTAGCCCTCCCTGACCTGTATTGTGAACTGTGTTGCCTCAGGTCAAGCTCTGGTGGGTGTGCTTATGAATGGCAGCAGTGTCTTCATTTTGCTGCACGCAACGGAAGTCAAGCCATAGCCAGGGAGAATGAAAATGCTGCCAGGTGGCAGAGTTACAAAGGGGGAAAAGCTATCCTCAAATTTCAGTGACCTTTTCTTTGTCTTTTCAACATGAAATGATAGTTCTGAAGATTGTAATCAGTCATATACTAGAATTTCAAGACAAAATTTGGATTACATGCTGTTAATTTCATGTAATTTCTTATTGCTTTAAAGAACAGCTGAACAAAAGCAAAGTACAGGTTGGGTTTTGACCACTTATCAATAAAAAGAAATAAAAATTCTTCAATAAAGTTTCTGACCTCCTTGCTTTTATTCTTCTCCTGTTTGTAGCTACTTTAGTGCTCTTATTCTTGTGGAAGGCATGGAAATCGACTCCCTCCATAAGCGTGCTTTGGATGGCAGGACTGACAGGCACAAATTAGCCAATAAGAGCATCCACCAGGTAAAGCACTGTCAGAGTAACCCCTTGTTTGGCCTAATGGTATAGAATGTACTGTGATTACCCAAGCAGTGCTGTGTAAAGAGTCTGTCTGTAGGTTTCTGATCTTTCAGTTTGTTGACCAAGTGTAGGAACCAGCATCTGCGTAACACTCTGGGGCAAATAAGAACAAAATGAATTCCTCTTCTGTTATACTTCCTTGGTTATCCTGAGCCTTTCTCTAAAACCAGATGTGTACAAAAAAATAAGCATTGTGAAATTTCCAGATGGGAATGACACAAAAAATCTACAGTGTCTGTGCTTTTAGGACAGAGAACAGCTAAGTTTAGACTAACTGTAAGGCATTAAACTGTTCAGGAAAGCAAACCATGGCTGCAGGTATATAATTTGGTCAGTTGCATGTGTGCAGTAATTATCCGCAAGGGAATGGTGACAGTTAGCAAGATGCAACGAGCTGTATTCTTGTGAAGTGTGAGTTTCTTTCAGAAGATCTCAGTTCTGTTGCTTTTGCCCTGTCTGTGCAGGAGATGGACAATCAACTGCTGCAGTTAGGAGATGTCTCGCATCATGCTCCCGTGCTTTTGGCCTGGGCCCTGCTCCGTCACACTGTAAACCCAGAGGAGTCAACAAACGTTATCAGAAGAATGGGCAGCACTGCCATCCAGCTGAATGTTTTCCAGTATCTGACAAAGCTGCTGCGATCGCTGAACAGTGGGGGGAAGAATGTGAGTTTTTTGGACTCTGTATGTAAGCTCTTGAAGGTTTTTAACTGCTACTGATGTAAAAGTCTGATGGGAAGTGAATGATTTGGAACCAATGCTCTTTCTAACTAAATCTGGTTGGAAGCAGACTCTGCAGTAAAGCATGTTTTAGCATCTTCTTCCAGTGAAGATCAGAACTCAAGTTCAAATGACACAGTTTTTTATGCCCAAAGAATAAGAAAAAGCTTCTGGAAGTTGAGGAACTACATCTCTTTTGAGCCGAATAGACTGCATTTCATCACATTGGTTGATTTGCCTCTCCAGTGTACTGCCATTGTGCATTTTGAGTATTAGATGACTTAACTCTGCACTGTTTCCCTGTATGTGGTTTCATTAGACAACACCATGTACGAGAGAAAACTGTTTTATAGGTAGAAACCAGTGAAAGCAAATCCTTTTGACTTCCATGAGCACTGAGTGTGTATTCTTTCTTTCCAGTGTGCTACCAGCACTGCTTGCTTGTGTATTTATGGACTTACTTCCTTTGTCCTGACATCACTGGAATTGCATACATTGGGCAATCAGCAGGTAAGCATGCAAGTCTCATTGCCTCTGTTACCTAATTTAAAATAACCTGTCATAACTGATGCTAACTGCCTTTGGTAAATCATAATCCTGCATTTGAGACTACAGGCTTTGTGAGTTTGATCTAGAAGAGTGTTTTGTTGGTTTTCCTGCTGCGTTTACACAATGCAAACCTAGTAAACACCTCTGCAGACTGGCTGATTAATAATGAAAGAACATATCTTGCACTTGAAGTCCTGTGGGTTTGAAACTAATTGTTGATATGTTATTTCCAAAGCAATGGAAATAATCCATACTCCATTTCCAAGGTTGAGAAGACATCATCTGCCCTTTGCAGATATAGTGGGCATACTTGTCCTGGCCAGTCCACTCACGATGGATGGCTTTAGGCTGGTGGAGTGCTCTGGGTTTGGATATGTTGGGTGTTCTTTTTGTTTTGACTAGAGGAGGTGGTTACATCTTGGCTGGTAAACATGGAAACTTAAATTCCAAAGATGTGGCAGAACTCTTTAGGGATGAAATTCCCCTGTGTAAAGTAACTTATTTTCTCCATCCTCTCTTCTGTTGAAGGATATAATTGATGTTGCATGTGAAGTTCTGACAGTTGCCAGTATTCCTCAGCTATTCTGGAAGACGGTGAGTGTATTGGCAACTTCTTTGACCTACCTTCCTTATAAGTGAAACTCAATAAAAGATCCTCTTTAGGAAAGGAACAGACTGATTGTATTTAGTTAGCTTCTAGGAAGGCCTGAGGAGCTAGTGTTCATTTGTTTCTGTCTTTGATTTACTTTTGCCCTTTCCTGCCTTTTAGGTACAGCCTTGGCTTTACTCTTGAAGGATACTGGAACGAGTTTTAATATAGGTGATAGTTGAAACCAGGGCTGGAATTGCAAAGATTGAACTAACTGCTGGCAAAAGCATCATGCTTATTTTTCTGTTGCCACAGAATTAGGATATGTAATGCGTTACAGTCTTACTTCCTGCCTTATACTTGCACACTGCCTCATGCTTTAGTCTGTTCAAGGACTGGAGTGATACTTTTGTTGCATGATTAATGTGAAATGTACAACTTAAAAAAGAACTGTTTCCTTATGCTCTACTGAGACCATTTTAGCATTTCTTTTTAGTAATATGATACTTGTTTTCTGTTTTCACCACCAGGAACCTACTGCAGGTCTGGGTATTATCCTGGACAGTGTGTGTGGATTGTTTCCCAATCAGCTTACTCCTCTCCTTCAGCTGCTCCAAGCCCTCGTGTCTGATAAATCTACTGCAAAAAAGGTACAGGATCTCTCTTGGTGTTCAGGAGATGATTTATTTCAGGACAAGGATACCATGCTGTGTGATAATGCTGCGTGATTCTTTCCATCACGTGTGCTTATCTCAACTGCTGTTTTAGATAACAGACATTAAGCTTTTGTCAAAGAACAGTGGACAGGAATTACCTTTTAGTTCTGTGCTGTTGCAGGCTCCTGGAAAACTTGACTTACGAAGATTAAGTTGCTGCCTAATTTTTCATGTTGTACTTTACTCCTAAGAAGTTCCTGGTTCACTAGACGAGATATGTCTGGACGTGTGGGCTGTCTAGTAATGATTTATGTATTAGAAGGATATTGTACACATCAAGAGAACTTGCCTATTCCTGGAAATGGCCTGGTTGGTTAATTTTTAAGGTCTGGCTCCTTGGCTGTATTGTTTAAGCTGTCTCTGCACGCAGGTGTACAGCTTCCTGGATAAAATGTCCTTCTACATGGAACAGTACAAGCATAAACCTCCGGATGTGATCTCTCATGAAGATGGCACACTTTGGCGCAGACAGACTCCAAAGCTCCTCTATCCTCTTGGTGAGCACTTCACCTTTTCTTATGGAAATACTTTGGGGAAATTGGGATATAATCCATGGGTAAATTTGTGACTGTATTTCACCTGCTTCTTCAATCCTAAGGACTAGGTCAAACAAACCTGCGGATACCTCAGGGAACGGTGGGCCAGGTGGCGCTGGATGATAGGGCTTATGTGGTACGATGGGAGTATTCCTACAGTAGCTGGACACTGTTTACCTGTGAGATTGAGATGCTGCTTCATGTTGTATCGACAGCAGGTAAGACAGGTTGGGAGAATAAAAGAGAAGAAATAATTATTAATTGGTATCAATTTGGGTTAATAGTAGGATTGAACAGCTCTGAATACTTTCAAAAGAGCATGAAATACTTTCCCAGAAACCTGACTGCTTAATTATTATTATTATACTGTATAATTCACTGCAAAAGGCCAAGACGAGATAAATTTTAGATGAGGGAAAAGTTGAGATAGATAAAATAAATGGGTTTTGGCATGGGGAATGCTCATAGGGCTGTATGATGAGCTTAATGTGCGTTGTTCCAGAGTTGATTACTGCTTAAGTATGATTTTGCATTCTAGTGTTAGTTTTCTCTTCCCAGATGTGATTCAGCATTGCCAGAGGGTCAAGCCAATAATTGACCTGGTTCATAAAGTCATCAGCACTGATGTATCAATAGCAGATTGCCTTCTGCCCATCACATCACGGATTTACATGCTCCTGCAGAGGTAAGTCACCGCCTGGCATGAAGTCACTGACACCTGAGAAGATACAGTGAGCTGGAAGAATGGCTGATTACTCATTTTGCCAAGAGCTTTGCAAGAAGTGTCTCAGTGCTGGAGCTCCCCAAGACTGGTGTTCAGTTCCCAAGGCTGTTGTGGCTACACACTGTTTAATGCTTTGATGCATTCTTTCCTGAATGTTGTGCAATTTATCCATTTTTTATTAGTAGCTGTATTGACATGAAAGGGGAATAAAACATATCATTAGAGCAGTAACTTCCAGGTGTTAAAACAGTTATACTTATTAGCTCTCCTCTAGCATTAACTGCCTGGGAATTGATGTGCTGCTGCATAATTACTGTTTGCTGTGACAGTGCTGTCTTCCCAGCTTTGTCTGTTGCAGTAAATTCGTCTGACTCAGGTGTGAGGGGGAGGCAGCAAGTCTAGACTGAAAGTGCAGACTCTGGTGTCTGTATTTACCTACTTAGGTTTTATGCATGTGTACCTCGGTGAGAGAAGCTTTTTTGGTTAATAAAATAGTATGTATGCTAGACCACAGTGCATTTGATTGATACTGTTTCTCTTCTGTAGGCTAACAACTGTCATCTCTCCCCCTGTGGATGTTATTGCTTCTTGTGTCAATTGTTTGTCAGTACTGGCTGCTCGGATGCCAGCCAAGGTGAGGAAATGGCCTTCAGGGTTTGTGGGTTTGAGAACTAGTAGATGTATACATGTGAATGAGAGGGAATAAGCTGTACTTACTCTCTTGCAGGTCTGGACTGACCTTCACCATACGGGTTTCTTGCCGTTTGTTGCCAACCCAGTGTCCAGTATGAATCACGTTATTAGGTATTCATCGCCCCTTCCCCTGCCTCTTGGTGGTGTACAACCTGTTCCTAACATGTCATAAGCACTTTCTGCCAGTGTGAAATCTGGGTATCTGACATGTCTCACTCAGAATCCTGCTATTCATTAATCTCTCTTGCTCATATCACAGTGCAGAGGGAATGAATGCTGGGGGCTATGGAAACCTTCTGATGAGCATAGAACAGCCTCAGGGCGAGTACAATGTTACCATCTCCTTCCTGAACCTGATAACAACTCTTGTCCGGGTGAGTGCTTGTGGAATGGCCTGCTTGGGAAATCATATGTAAGCTGTTACAATAGGAAGGTGAAATACAGCAGTGCCTGAGATCCATCTCCTGTTCAGTGGGTCTCTCTGAGGGATCATTGGTTGACACTTCCTTTGGTGCTACTCTGGGGGTTTTCTCTGCAGTCTGATTCTTTCAAAAAGCCTGTTTTGATTCAGCTGATCTACAAGATAATATAAGTTACTTGTAAATCTATCCCCATGCTCAATTTCTCACACTTTAAAGACATATGGCATATCTTCCTGCAAAAGGTTTCTTCTTAACAAGAAATGGGACAATAACATTTCTGTTTCTCCTAGGGACAACTTGGTAGCACTCAGAGCCAAGGACTCGTGCCCTGCATTGTGTTTGTCCTGAAGGAGATGTTACCAAATTACCACAAATGGCGTTACAACTCTCATGGAGTGAGGGAGAAAATTGGTGAGGATATTGGGGGGGGGGGAGAAGGAGGAGGAGGGGGTGAAAGGGGTCTCATGCCTTCTCAGACAGAATGTGTGAATTTTTCCTTCCTTTTTTCATCATACCTTTCCTAGCAGCCATTTGGGATTTGCTTTGTACGTCTAACAGTATTGCTAGATGCTGTGATGTGCTTGAAAATAGTAGGAACTAGGCAACAGATCTTCCCAAAACCTCACTAGTCCATTTCATCTCTGTTTTAGGGTGCCTGATTCTGCAGTTGATCCATGCTATACTGAATTTGTGCCCTGAAATGGATCCTCGCAGTAGGTAAGACAAGTGATGGATTTCAGACCTGCGCTAGCCTGGCTTACAGTGTAGGAATCATTATCATTTTGTTTCAGGTTTTGAATGCAAGTGTTGAGGAGTGAACTGTTAACAGTTGTGCAGTGCTGGTTCCAGCTCTTTTCTGTGTTACTGAGTACAGGAAGGGTAGAAAAAGATTGAAGACAGAGAAAGCCATATTGGTTTCTAGAATACCTGATGAAGAGAGAGAAAACAATAAATAGATTCCCTGGGACACTGCCATCCACTTTCCTATTTGGTGTATGCTCTCTGAAGAAAATAGGAAGGACAATAAAGTAGGGGTCAAGGGGGGGATGTAGAAATTAAGAGGTTACTTTGTGGTAGTTTTCCAAGTGCTGTGTGGTAAAATACTGCAGGTGCTCCTAGTGATATGTCCTGTGCTGTTTGTGTCTCACAGCAATGCCCCCAGCCTTCAGTCCCTGTGCATCTTCAGCCTGGCCAACACTGAAGCAGGGCAAGCTGTCATTAACATCATGGGAATTGGTGTGGACACTATTGATATGGTAATGACCTCCCAGTGTAACAGGTGAGTTGTGTGTTTCAGTTCAGTAGTGTGAGGAAAGAAGCAAATGATATTTGAAATGTAGCTTCGACTTGATGCACTTAACAAGGGATCAGTGTAGCAGCTGGCCACTGCAGCCTGCCTTTGTACGGTCTGAGGAACAAGCCTTGTTTGTTCCAGGTCTGTATGTACTCTTTGCTGTACACTCTCTGTTTCATGCAGTTGTTTTCTATTTCTAAATGCCATTTGGAGCTGCTGGTGGGTGTAAATGTGCTCAGTTGTTAAAGGGTTGCATGCAGTTACAGTTTTTTAATACAGAATTCACTTGAACTCAAGTTTGTAAGATGAATTAGAAGCAAGGGAATTAGAGCCAGTATTAGTAGTTCTGTGTCTTTGGGTAACGCCAGAGTTCAGATCAGGCTGTGGTCATGAATAAATCATAATACAGCTTGAACTGTAATTTGGAAGTGCTAGGGATGAGCAGTCTATTCAGGATGGTTCTGAAGATGCCTTGAAGTACTTTGGAAGTATTGAAGATACCTTTAGTGTTGAGCAGCTTCACTTCCTTATGTGGCTTTCTGAAGGCTTGATCTGATTTAGCTATGATTGTTTCTCATTCCTTTCCTCTGTTCTCTTTTCCTGGCCAGTTTTACTTGACACATAGCCAGTCAAACTTGCTAGCATGTTGTTTCTGATGAAGTCTGCTGGTTTTCTCTTTCAAAACAAGTGTGGAAAGAGTCCAGACTTGCTGAGAAGAAAGTGAGACCAATTTCAGAAGCCTTGGCTTCAGTGTCTCCCGAGAATATTTAGCTGATAAGGAAAATCGTAGGGGAAAAAAAGCCCAACCCGTCAGTTTTATCTCTTCATCCAGTTTTGCTTCACTATAATTTTTGTGAGATTGTTCCTGTAAATGTTTCTCCCTCCGTCTTTGTGCATTTTAAATCTCCGTATCCTAAAGAGGTTAAAAAAAAACCATGGCAATAAACAGGCTCAGGCTCTTTGGCGTTTTTGTTGCTGAAAACTTGGGGCTGGGTAGCCACTATTTTTTGGGGATATGTGAGGGTTTGTATTTCAGCAGCTTGTACGTGGAGATGTGCCTGAATAAAAACGTCTCACAACCCTGACTGACAATAGAGCTTCCTCTTCCAGTGTTGTGCAAATAACAAAATGTTGGTTGTCAACAGTTGCTCACTTTGGTTTCTTTTTGTGAACACAGTGATGAGTCGCAAGGCCACGGTCAACTGCTCATCCAAACAGTTAAACTGGCGTTCTCAGTCACCAATAATGTCATCAGGTTGAAACCCCCCTCTAGCGTGGTATCTCCATTAGAACAGGCGCTTACTCAGCACGGTATGTATTCCTCACTGGGGGCAGCCTGGGCAGCTATGCTTCCGTGTCATTTCCATATAGTCAGTGTGTGTCTCATTACAAACAGTAGTTAAGATTTCAGGGGTCCAAAAAGAGGTTTGTAGTGATGGGAGAAAGCCTGTTCTCCCTCCTCTAAGGCATTCTTCTCCTCTGGGACAGCTTCTAAAGTATTAAGCAGATATGGCTTGTTGTTTGCTGCTTTGTAATGTTGGAAGACTGTCTTAGTTCTCACTTTGTGCTGTGGAGATCGTGATTTGGTAAATAGTTACATCCTGCCACATTTTCTTCTCGTTGATTTTAATTGCATTCTCTCCAGGTGCTCATGGAAACAATCTTATTGCGGTCTTGGCCAAATACATCTACCACAGGCATGACCCTGCGCTTCCACGCCTGGCCATCCAACTGCTCAAACGACTGGCTACGGTAAGATGAGACTCACACAGTCGCTCCTTTGCCCTTTGGTGCCTTTCAGTGACTGATCCCATCACTGACATTATTTCAAAATCATTTCAGAAGTCACCCAGCATCTCATTGAGAGGCTTCACATTACGGGGTGTTTTCTTTAAAGAATTTGCACTTCCAGTTGATCTCTTTCTACTTTTTTGAGCAGCATTCTCAAGTCATGCTCTTCAATACAATTCCTGCACCTTCTTAACTGGAACTTTAACATCTTGCTAAGAAGAGTATCCTATTTAAGTTTTTATTGGGATCTTTCAGCTTTGTCTCTTAACTTGCTCTTTTCAGCTGCTAAACTTCTGGGAATGTGTTTGCAGTTCTATTAGGGCATACAGATCCAGCTCTGGGTTTATTTATTTCAGGAAACATTATTCCAAACCTTATTTTCCTCTTTGTTTTATGCTGTATTGTCATAGCCCTTGAGGAATAGGTGAGGGATAGAACAGAATTGCCAAAGAGGACGATTTGGATCACTTTGTAGGTTTCTTCTCGCTTAACAACAACAACTAAGTTTTGAGTTCCCTCACCTGTGTTCATAGATTTAATACCATGTATTTTGGAGCTCCAATTTGAAATGAAAATCACCTTTGATATGGACAAGAAGCATCCTGGAGAGTTTGGTTATTTCTGACGTTTCTTTCCTTTTGCAGGTTGCTCCCATGTCTGTTTATGCCTGCCTTGGTAGTGATGCTGCTGCCATCCGTGATGCCTTCCTCATCCACCTGCAGAGCAAGATGGAGGACATGCGTATTAAGGTCATGATACTGGAGTTCCTCACAGTTGCAGTGGAGACACAGCCTGGGCTCATCGAGCTCTTCCTGAACTTGGAAGTGAAGGATGGCAGTGATGGGTCAAAGGTAGAATTTCCTCAGTATTTCAAGGCAGATACTGAGTTAACATAAGAACATCTACTGGGTCAGACCAGAGATCCCTGTGGCCCACTCTCTTCACTCTGGAAGTGTCCAGTCAGAGAGAAAGCTGAAGACTGGGGTATAATGGACAGTATTGGTTTTCCAGAATACCCATTCTGGTGCTTTATTTTTCAGGGTCCTCTTGAGCTGGGACCTTTGGAAGGCACTTGGTCATATGAAGTCATAGCTTAGCTAATTTTTTACTCCCCTATATATGATTACATTCCTTATAGTCATATACAAAATATATGATGGCATCACATACTCAAGATTTATTTCTCAGTGTATTATTCAAGTGGAATCGAGCACATTCTGCTTCAATAGGTGCCTACGTAGTGGTTCTGTGGTGACGTTACCTCTCGTGTTTCCTTTTGCTTTAGGAATTCAGCTTAGGGGAGTGGAGTTGCCTCCAAGTAGTGTTACAGCTGATAGATACCAAACAACAGGAGAGGTACTGGTGCCCTCCCCTCTTGCACCGTGCTGCCATTGCCTTCCTGCATGCTCTGTGGCAAGACCGTCGCGATAGCGCCATGCTGGTGCTGAGGACAAAGTGAGTTGGTTTTCTGCAGTGCATTTTCCTGTCTTTTTTTTCCTAAAACACATTTTCTTTGGTTCATCGGACTTTGCAGGGACATTTACCTCTTAGTTTTTGTGTGCTCTGTAAGGCTATGCAGTGCGTGGGCTTTGAACTTAGTCCCTCAGGAAGCCCCTATGTGTGTGTTCAGAAGCAAATGTGTTTCTTTCTGTTTCTTTTATAAAAAGCTATATAAACTTGTATTTACCAAAGCATATTTTCTATGCAGTCAAAATGTTGCTAAGCACGTGGCATGGAGGGGATAACTGATGTTACTTCTCTATGTATCTTTTAGGCCAAAGTTTTGGGAAAATTTGACTAATCCCCTCTTTGGGACCCTCCCTCCGCCTTCAGAATCATCAGAGGTGAGTTACCTCCAAAGTAAAGGCAATTGTGTCCTTCTTAGAAGTTTCTAAGCGACATGTGAGTCTTTTTTCTCTGCTTGCAGTTTTCTAAGAGCAGGTGTGATCAAGTGGTTTAAACACAGGCAGGAGAGGAAGTGAAGGCTTTCTGGCTTTGCACAGTGCTTGGTGCTCACATCTTGCTTTTCTTTTTGTCTTTATAGCTCAGTGTCTTGGATACCTGTGCCTTAATCATGAAAATCATCTGTTTGGAGATCTACTATGTTGTCAAGTGAGTCTTTGGTAGTCTCTCGTTCATCCCTGTACTTTACCTAAACTGTGTATATTAAATCTCGATAGACCATGCAGGTTTTGAGGGACAAAGTACTTGTAGTCCTGTAAAAATGTGGGAGAAACAGTGGTGTATAAGGAAACTGCAGACATACATTTGAGATTCTTGCAGCTGCCAATTGCAGAAGAGATGTTACAGTCTTTCTGCAGCCTGTAGGTGAGAATGTTTGTGTTAGTATTTTCCTTGTATCCTGGGATGAGAATATACAGTGTTTCTCAAAACTAACGATAAGCTAAGCTAAGCACACCTCATAGCGATTGCTGAATAACATTTTAGTGTTTTTTTCCCACTCATTTTGTTTTACTGAACAGAACTGCCCTTTAAAATGTTGGAAAGTCAGGATTGCCTAAAATCTCTACTGAAAAGAAAATTAAATCACAAGATTTTCTTCAGGGATCATGGTTTTCCTTCACATTTAATGCAAAAAGTGGGATTCCCTGCGCAGGTCTAATGTGGAGTAACCTTTGCTTGCAAGCTGTGACCTTGGCTTTCCTACGTGAATCTCAGAAGTGTCTTTTCTGACCAAAGAATAAGTGAAGGTAACTTCTCCTCTTGATTTGGTTTTGGTCAGGGGCTCACTGGATCAGTCCCTGAAGGACACACTGAAGAACTTCTCCACCAAAAAGCGCTTCACCTACTGGTCAGAGTATGTGAAGTTACTGGCAGATCATGTGGCAGAGACAGAGGGCAGCAGCTGTGCCTTCATAACAGAGTATCAGATGCTCATCTCAGCCTGGCGGATGCTGCTCATCATCTCCACGAGCCACGTAAGAGCTACCTTTTATCTCTCATTATAAACTGAAATTAACCTTTTGAAATAGATAATATCAACTCCTTAGGGCCAGCTAAACCCTAATGAAGAACTCATTGTTTCTCTTTCAGTTTTGTTGTATATATGTTTGCAACACAAGTTGGCATAAGCATGATACAAGAGGTTAAAGTAGGTGGTGTTTTGCTATATGCTCAAAACAAGTTGTCTTTCTGAGCAGAGAAAGGAGGTAGTAAATAATTTGAGTAGCAATGCTAAGTAATTCTGGAATCCCAAAGAGATTTTGCTGATCTAAGTGAGGTGGGGGTGCACCATTAGGGAAATCAGTCATTGCTGACTTCTTGTCAACTGTTACTGTTGTACTTCAGTGATTTCTGTAACACTGCACCATTCAGCAGCTATAAATTTAGTGCCTTTTTAAAGTAACAAATGAAACCAGCAGCCTGATGTTAGACTGCTGACAAGTTGCATCTTTTGTTGTGCTTGACTGATCTCTGTTTCTGTGGACTTCAGGCAGATATAATGCACCTGACTGATTCTGCAGTTCATCAGCAGTTGTTTCTGGATGTGCTAAATGGCACCAGAGTTTTGGTAGGTGGCACTTCCTGTCAGTTCTTTTATTTCCCAATTGCTCATCTTCTCTGTACCATGAGGAGCTCTGCTTCTGCAGCTGCTTGCCTTCGTGGGGTTATTTTAGATCTTGTGAAATCGGGCTGAAACGAAGGCTCTGAATTGATGAGCTCCTTGTAAATCTTATAAATGACACATTTTTTATTTGGGCCATTCTTGTCATCACTGAGTGACCCTGCAGAGGGCCCTGAGTCTGCTTCCTTCAGTGCTGGTAGCTGCTGAAGAGCAACCGTGGTCATTTGGTGGTGGTGCTTGGGCTGAGGTTTTCTGAAGCATTCTTACATGTGACTACTGTGACTGTAACTCTTGTAGTATTTCTTCTTAGCTCCTAGTTCCCATGTCAGTATCCTGTCTGCAGCTGGGGTCTATGCTATGTACCCTTCTTCTGATCCTGCTCAAACAGTGGAAGAGGTAGGTATTTTGTGTCTATAGTTATTTGTCACTGCTCAGTATAAAAACCTGGGAGATGATGTTTTAAGGATTTTGCTCTAGAGAGATTCCTGTGGTGACTGGGGAGGAAACTGAAGCCTTATCATAGAATTCTCTTGGGATGGCTCATGTCTGTGGGTTGTTGCTGGAATCTCTTGTAACAATGTATTTATGGTTTGGCTTTTGTTTGCTGCTGCAAAGTATACCAAAAAAGCCTTTTAGATAGTCCTGCATTCTCACTGTGCTCTGGAATGTCTTTAGTGAGATCCAGGTGGTGACTTAAACTTGGAAGAACTGCTTTTATTTGTGTGGATCATATAAGCTGTGATCCACACAGCTCAGTCAAGTGATAAATTTACTGAGGGATCTTGTCTGATCTGAAGAGCTCTCCCTTTTTGTTGTCAGCGAGCTGGGATCTGTGGATAGCATCATAAACTCCTTGACGCAGATTCTGGAGGGGGTGCTCCAGGCAGATCAGCAGATGATGGAGAAAACCAAAGCCAAAGTGTTCTCAGCTCTTATCACTGTTCTGCAAATGAAGGAGATGAAAGGTGAGGTGGTGTGGGTACAAGTGTCAAGACTAGGGCTGCCATGGTTGAATACACCCTAACACTCTCGTGTTTCTACGATAAAGACATACATGGGGTTAGTAGTAGTAAAGGATGCTGGATATAGTCACCAACCTGTGGGACTTCCCTGCTTTTTACTTGTTATAACTCATTTTAGCAAGAGATGAGGTTTATAATTCAAAGCCATACAAAGGCAACTGTGGTGTTGAGAATGTATCCATTCACCTTCCTGTGTGTTCCTCGACCCACTGCTTGGGGCCTGCAAGCCCACCTGTTTTAGATAGTGAATAGAAACTGGAGGGTTGGGTTCTTTCTGAATGCCTTTCTTTGTTGAATTTGAGTTTCCAGTCGTGCTGGTAAAATGTGGTGCAATTTATTGTAATGGTTTTGATAAGAATGTGGTATTTATACAGACACAACGAGTATACACTGCACCCAGTCTGCAATCTGGAGAAGTGGGTAGGGAATACTGTAGTGAGGAGTTACGGAGTATTCTGTCCATGGTAGTGCTTGATTTGTGCTTTGAGATGTCATGAGTTTATATGACTTCTTGGTAAAACCACATGGTCTTGTTAGCCAGATGAGCATCTAACCCCTTAGTACATACTCCTAGACTTAATCATTTAACTTAGTCACAGCTCCTCTCATTCTGTTTTGTAGGTTTTGCAGTGAAAACAGGATAAATACTAACTCCAAGAAATGTGGCCTGGTGATGTTACCAGTTAAACTGGAGCCCTGAGTACCAGGATTGTGTGTTAACTGTGGTCTGTTCTCTGCGTGTCACAGTGAACGAGATCCCTCAGTACTCCCAGCTGGTGCTGAGTGTGTGTGAAACACTCCAAGATGAGGTCATTGCGCTCTTCGATCAGACTCGACACAGCCTGACCTTGGGAGATGCCACGGATGACAAGGACAGCATGGAAACAGATGACTCTTCTCGAGTTAAACACAAAGACCAGCGGGATGGGGTAAAGGAGCTTTCAGCTGCTTTGCAGTTGTGTTTCTTCTCTCTAGACAAAAGCTCCGTGTTTGGAATAACTTTCCCTTGCAGCCTGCTGCCTGTGAGGGATATCGGGTCCCTTACTTATGACTGAATATGATTGAACTTTAGGTTGCGTTAGTAAATGCTTTCAAGATTTTCTTGGTACCCATTTCAAGCTTATACCTCCTTCTCCTTTCCTTGTCACAGCAGGTGTGTGTTCTGGGTCTGCATCTGGCTAAAGAGCTCTGTGAGGTTGATGAAGATGGAGACTACTGGCTGCAGATTACTAGGAAGGTCCCTGTGCTTCCCACTATCTTTGCCGCATTGGAGATCAGCCTGAGAGTGAAACAAAACCTGCACTTCACAGAGGCCTCATTACATTTACTGCTGGCCTTAGCAAGGACTCAACAGGTGAGAGATGCAGTGAAAATGAGGGCATATAGCCATACATTTTTAATAGGAACCGTATAGCTCGTTGTTCTGTTTGCAATTCAGCTGAATAATGATGTGTAGATAAAGGGATTCTTTTACAGGCTGCAAGCAGTAGGTCCTGTATGTATGTCTGCTTAGTTAGCCTTGCTCTTGATAATGGGATGTCCTGGATGGAAGACCTGTAATTTAGAGCAGGAGCTTTCACTGAATGTATTCTTCACAATGCAAATTATCCCCCTCTGGTTAAAGCAGCATTAAGTATTGGAACCTGCTTTCTCAGTTGCAATAAAGTCTTATTTTTCTATTACAAATGCAGCTTTAGGTAAAAGGCAGGGCATTCCAGAGCCAGCCCTTTTCAAAGATTATGTATGTACCAAACCAAATGGAATTCACAGTGCAGTTGTGCAGGTTAGATTTTACTGGAAGAACAGCGTTGCTTTTCTGGATGCTGAATTGTCATCAACACAGAAGTTGTTCTGTGCAAGGGTGGTGACACTGCAGGGGACAGGAATACCTCATGCAAAATAAGTCTCTTTAGTCTCGGAGAGCAGAGATACGGGCACATTTTAACAGTGGTTGGTTCTGTGCCTTGCAGGGAGCAGCAGCTGTGGCTGGAGCTGGTGTCACACAGAGTGTCTGCCTGCCCCTGCTTAGCGTGTACCAGCTCAGCACTAATGGAGCCATTCAGGTGGGTGCTCTGTCCTTTTGTGTGGGGATGTGCCAGGAGAGCTTGCCATGCCCTGCCTTGCTGGTGGTTGGAGCAGCCACCCCGAGAGACTGGAGACTGCTGAGTTGGTGTGGAGGGTGTGTGGCAAGTGCCACCCTGGGCAGGAGTGTAAGTCAGTCACTTACCTTTGTATGTGCTCTGTTCAGACGTCTGCTTCATCACGCAAGTCTCTGGATGCCCCCTCCTGGCCTGGGGTCTATCGTCTCTCCATGTCACTGATGGAACGCCTCCTTAAAACACTCAGATACAACTTCCTGACGGAAGCACTGGACTTCGTTGGTGTCCATCAAGAGAGGATTCTTCAGGTACATCACATCCTTCCTCTGGGGTGGTTCACTTGGCTTCTGTGTTGCAACAGCAGTGGGAACGTGTCAGAAAGTGCAGAAGCATTGAAAAGAGGCTCCTGCCTCAGAAAGGTTTATAGTGGAAATAGTTCAGTAGTGGGAGGAGGATGGACTAGCCAGGCCATGCATTCAGGCAGGGATCATTGTTATGGTACTTGTGAGAGATAGGCAGGCACCATCCATTCATCCTGTTGAGATGAACTTTGCTACAGGTGTTTAAGAGGCCTGCTCAACACAGTAACAGATGTGGGAATTTGATGGGAACTCACCTTGTGTCTGGCTGTTCTGGAGAGAAAGGCATGGGAGCTGTTCTTGGAGGTGGCTTCAGCTCAGCCTTGCTCAGATAATGAGAACGCTGTGGTCAAGGTTCAGTCACCCTTTGAGTCAGCAAATAGTGGGTTGTGTCAGTGCAGATGTGCTGAAGAGTCCCGTTTATAAGCGTGCTCCCTAGAGAAGCAGCTCTCTCCTCATTTCACAGAGTGTGAAGTGCATCGACCTCTAAGAATATAAAGTTCTCTGATTCTGATCCATGTGCTGTGCATCCACTTTCATGAATGCATTCTCTGTCCCTGAGGACAGATCCTCTGAATCTTCAGCTTTTTCTTCTAGAGGAAGGAATGGGAGGTTTGTGATTTAACTCTCATTGCCCTGATTTCCTTCTCTCTCCAGTGCCTCAATGCAGTGCGGACAGTGCAGAGCTTGGCCTGCCTGGAAGAGGCTGATCACACTGTTGGCTTCATTCTTCAGCTCTCAAATTTCACAAAGGAATGGCATTTCCACCTGCCACAGCTTATGAAGGACATGCAGGTGGGAATGAGGATATTGCTGTAGATCGTACAGTGCCTTGGGGTGCAGGGATTTGGATGTGTTAAGAGAAAATGGCCCTTTATCACCTTTTTGTTACTGCTCTTAACAGGAGCTGTTGCTGAGGTTATTTAGATTTCTGTTCTGTCAGTACCTTGTCTGAATTGAGTGACGAAGGATGACTATAAGGGCCAGGAAGATGATAGCTTGGGGAATTCAGTGGCTTACTCTCAGTCCTCAGTATCAGGAAATCAAGACACTGCATTGATCCTTTATGATCACAGTGTTCTGTTTAAGTGGATTTTCTAGCTTCCATCAATGGCAGCGAATAGATGGGCTTTGGGCTTTTAAGAGCTTTCTCCCTTATTTATTCCAGGTGAATCTGTGTTACCTGTGCCAAGCCTGTACCTCCCTCCTGCACAGCCGCAAAATGCTCCAGCACTACCTGCAGGTGAGGACGGGGACCATGAACCAAACTACATCAGGAGTGTTGCATGCTCATGCTCCTGGTTAAAAAGCAAATAGTACTCAGACTGCAGGCTCTTGGATATTGAATTGACTGTCAGTAATCCCAGTGGTGATTACTGACAATCATCAGCAGTGAGGATTTGCATTTCTCATGTGCAAAGAGCAGTCTGGACTTGAAAAACACTGGACTGTGTAAAACCAGTCCTGGAGAAACAGCAGCCAGTGTTTGAATGGTGCTGTTGCCATTTTAGAGCTGCCTACACTGCAGCAAGAAGGGTGCATTGCTGTAGTACTCTGTAGTGCCATTAATTAAGCTACTGTTGAGCTGGTGTCCTTGATCTGACTTAATTTGTTCAAGAGAAAGAGCTCTTATTCTTGGGGAATCCTTAGATTCATGGAGTGGAGAGGATGCATTGCTACTCATAACGTGTTATTTCAGCATTGCTGGAATTGCTGTGTTGATTAGAAATGCTTTTTCCAGGACATGGAATCTAAATAGCCTCTGCAGCTGCCTCCCTGCAATGCAGAGCCTCCCCCAGCACACACTAAGTGTAGATTCTTGTGTTTCCAGCAAGTGACAGAACTTCGCGTGCCTTATTCCCACATTCCCTTTGTTCGCAGCACTTTTTTCCCCTCGAATTATTCATCTTAGTGCAAAATCATCATTTTTGTAGTCAAGATTTTGAAGACTTCAGGGTTTTTTTTTCTCTCCACAGACAAAAAATGGTGATTCCCTTCCAGCAAGTGTGACCCCACGAGTGCAGCGAAACCCCCAAGCCCCCTCCAAACACCCGAGCCCTGAGTCAGAGGCAGCAGAGCAGAAAGCACTGCTTACAGTGCAGTACAGCCTCTTGAAGATCCTCAGCAAGTGTCTTGCTGCCCTGCGCCATTTCACCCCTGATGTCTGCCAGATCCTCCTTGACCAGGTAGGGAAAGAGCAGAGGAGCTGTTCCCTGAAGGGGGGAGTTTCCAGCAATTCAGGTGATGTTCTGGGTGTGCGTAGTGAGGCACAGCCTGTCCTGCTTGGGAGAATGAGCCCAGCAGACATCCATCTGTTCTGCTGCACAAAGCAGGACACAGGGTATTTTCCTTAGGAATCAGTGTGGAAGGAAGGCTTGGCTGAGCTTTTGTGTGATCTGCATGATGCTGTGTTTGTGTGACCTTGCAGACTGATAACCCAGGCTAATAACTTGTATCCTCAGGGTGCCACTCAGAAGAGACGTCCTCCTGCTGTCCTCCTGTGTCAGTGTGACCCAGTGCCTGCTCTCCAAGTGCAGAAAAGGAAGGTTTAAGCCTTGATTCTGGCTGCTAACAGGCAGTTAACTTCCTTTTCCTGTGCTTGTAGGTACATATGCCTGGTGTTTGGAAACAATCTGGAAACAGTCATTACTGTACGGCTTGGGACCTGGAGAAGGTTCGTCTGTGCGAGGAGAGCCGTACAGTCTGATTGTGCACTGCTGTACAGCACACTCTGCTGCTCTTTACCCGAGATCTGGGAAATGATCTCAGTGCTGCTAGTTCTCCATACAAAAAGCAGGATGCAGGGACTGGGTGTCCCTGTTACCATGACAATACCATGACAAGAGCATACTCATGACCTTAAAGGTCACTCCCTCCTCTTTCCTTTCTCCACAGTCGCTGGACCTTGCTGAGTACAACGTGCTCTTCGTTTTGAGTTTCACCACACCAGCCTTTGATTCCGATGTTGCACCTTCCTTTGGGACCCTCCTTGCCACAGTCAATGTGGCCCTTAACATGCTGGGAGAGGTACTGGCCATTTCTCTGTCTGAGAGAACACAGAGGTTGCGGTGATCTCAGAGTGCTCATTGAGCTTTGAAGGGTGGGAGTATTCCTTCTTTCGTTATCTCCTGTTTCTAATGCCTGTCTTCTTTTCCCTCCAAGCTGGATAAGAAGAAGGAACCTTTCCCTCAGGCTGCAGGGCTGAATATGCAAGAGGGAACCAAAACCCTCAAGTAAGTTTTTAGCTCTTTGATTTAGAAACAAAACTTAATGCTCCTCAGGTCAGAACTGAGGTTTAGAGGTATCTGTGTAGCTTCGGAGCTTCTCACTCTGAATCCAAGGAGTTTAGATAGCCCATCAGAAGCTCCCCAAAGCAAGCAGGGTATTTTGGGGGGAGGGTGTGTGAAGCCACACATCCCATCCTAAGTCAGCCACTGAACTTGCAGGTAAAGAGTTGGTTGATGCTTATTTACCAGCAGTTTTTAGTTAGCCTTCGCTGATGGCCAGTGTTTGAGAGGAGTGAACAGGAACTGTTCCCTCATACATACCCAGTGTATGACGACTGAGGAGTATTTGACCATGCAACCAGAGTGTGCTGACCTTTTGGGCTCCTGCTCCTGTGTTTCTCTGCACAGGTCTCTGCTCATGTTTACAATGGAGAACTGTTTCTACCTGCTCATCTCCCAGGCTGTTCGGTACTTGAGAGACCCGGCGGTGCATCCCCGTGATAAGCAGCGCATGAAACAGGAGCTCAGCTCTGAGCTGGTGAGAGCAGCTTGGACCCTCCTTACTCCCTGTTCAGTGTCAATGGGATCGGGGGGAGAAGGTTGTTTGTATTTGGCTGCCCGTTTAATGGCTTGGGGCATCCTGGGGAGGGAGGGGGCCTGTGTCTGATGGAGGCTCATTTGTTCTGTGCTTCTGCTTTCAGAGTACTCTGCTCTCCAGCCTGTCCCGTTACTTCCGCCGGGGTGGTCCCTCTTCCCCTGCCAGCGGGGTCCTACCCTCTCCCCAAGGGAAATCCTCCTCCAAGCTGGGTCCTGAAGGGCAGGAGCCTTTGATTCAGCTCGTGCAGGCCTTCGTCCGCCACGTGCAGAGATAGATGCGATCCTGCCCCCGCCTCCCTCCTCAGGACTTGCAGCAGAACGATTCACATCCACTACAGACGGCAGCACCTTCGGCAGAGAGCTCGGAACAAGGGCTGGGCGAGGGAGGGAGGCCTGGTGTGGGCAGGGCTGGAACCAGAGCTGTAACATCACAGCGAGATCCCGTTGAGCTCTTGCGACCCAGCAGCAGAGTGAATGTAAGGAAAGCCAAGAGCTTTTGGGGGTCAGGATGCGCGCAGCCTGCCCGCTCCAGCTGCTGAGCTGGGGGCAAGGGCTGAGCAGTCAAAACCTTTATTTTTATAGCTTGCACCTCAGCTGGGAAGGTTGGGGCTGGATGGGGAGAGGAGGCGAACTCTCTGCTGGGCATTAGCTGTGCTCTTAACACAAGGTGCAGCCTGCCTCTCCCAGCCAGAGCCCGGCTGAGGCACAGCCAAGGGATCAGCCAGCAATTCAGAGACCATCTTTCTACTGCTATTTTTGTACTGAGTGGTTCAAGGCAGGATGGTGTATGTGTGCTCACGCCTTCCCTTCCCCCTGCAGGCTGTGTGTTGCGTGTGTTTCTGAAGAGCAAGGCCTCACTCGAAGTTTTTAAGGCACAATTCCATTGCTCCAGTCTTGCAGTTTTTTGTAACTGTGCCCTATTTATACTGATATTAAAACGTTTATAGACAGCAGCTGGATTCATGGCTTTCGGTTGGACCAGTTCTGCATCTTCTGTGGCTGAAGTCCCAGCTAATGGTGGGGTGAGTTGTGGCTTGGGAGTGACAATCTAGGTACCTCTTGAAGCCATTTATAATCAAAGGTTGATTCCCTTGGCTTTCCCATATCCCTTCCCTTCTCTTACTCTCATGCTGGGGAGGTTTTAAATGAGCATCACTATGAAATACTCCTCCTGCACACAGGGGGGAAGCCCATGCACACAAATTACTCCATGTGGTCAGGTCCAAGGTGCTGCTGTGCCTGTTGCAGCAGCAGGGGAAGGCGCAAGTTCAAGCTAGAAGACGCTGTCCACAGTGGAGTTGATCTCAATAGATCAACAAGCTCTTCAAGGTTCTAAGGCTCAGCATGTGATGGAGGCAGTGATTATAGGAGGTCAGTGATTATTGCTTAAAGCCTGAAATCTAGACAGGCTTTTCTAAGGTAAGAAATCCCATTTCCATGTAGCTGTGAGCCGGTGACCTACCAGCTCATTCCTAAAGAGACACTCAGTTGCTTCGCCAGTCAGAACCTTTTAATCTCTGTGGTTTTAAGAGACTAGAGGAAGCAAATGAGCTTATTTTGCTTTGAGTTTGTTGTTAGCTCATCTGTTGTGAGCTAAAGCGATGGCAGTGTTTGATGTGCTTTCACTTGCCCTGCAGGCTTTGAAGAGGTTTGAAGGTGGCTGGAGCAAAGTGGTCTTAAAGTAGGAGAGGGGTTTGATTATCTTCCAGCACCTGCAGGGCCGGTGAGGGAGGTGATGCTGCAGGGCTAAGCCTGCTGGCGTTCAGGTGGGGTTACCTGTAACCTAGGACAGATTTCTGCCACAGGGGAGCTCCCAGTGTGAATGTGGAGGTTTGAAGGTGAAGAACAGAGCAGAGGAGGTGGCAAACTGGTGCCAGGCTATGGGGAGTGGAAGTAAAGCTGGAATCCAGGACACATAAGCAACTTCAGTGTTGCTTAGGGCACTAGAGTGAGAGTTTAAGGCTGGCCCTTGGTGCCAGATGACAAAGAGCAGTGGATGCTGTTGGTTACAGCTGTGTTTTAGAGCTGTAGCTTCCCTTCAGACAGCAGCAGTTCAGCCTTGAGTTGTACCTTTACTGCCCCACAGCCACAGAGGGGCATGGAACAGCCTTTGGCCAAGGGCGGCTCACCCTGAACTGCAATGAGCAGCACGAGAGTGTAAGCTTGTTGTAGGGAGCCAGTTAGGAGTAGGCACAGATGTGCTCTTTGCTAATGGAGAGGGAAGGGAGTGCTGGTGCCAGGAGCAGCATTCCCACTGGCTGTTCTGAGGGAAGAGACACCGTTTCCTGCATCATTGAGCTGAAGCTGGTTTCAACTGTTCCTCCTCTTCAACAACCCAACGAGATGAGTAACAGGGAAAGGGGGATGTCACTGGCCTAAGGGAAAGGCACAGACACTGGAAGCTGGAAGGGGAACAGGCAGGGGTAGAGCTCTAAAAGGGCAGAGCTGTGGCAGCTGTAATCAGGGCAATTGTAAAACTAACAAAGTTGTACAAGCTAAGTGTAAATTGTAAATGGAATGTAAATATAAATGTAAATGTAAATGAAACTTCCTTCCATCTGAGCTTACCTGGGAAGCCTGAACACCACTGCTGCACTGCAGGGCACTTCAACAGCTGCTTTTCCCAGGAGTTCTTTCCAAGCTGGGTGCTAGGGACAAGGCTTTGGGATGTTTGAGCTGGTTTCCATAGCACCACCAAAGCCTGTTCGACCTAGAAGAGCATTTCCAGTCTCGCAGCACATAAAGCCGTGCCGCTGCTCTGGTTCTGCTTCAGGTTAAGGAGGAGCGTTGAACAACGGAGCTGTGTCATCTGGGAAGGGAACTACAAGGCATGAGCAACGCTGAGGCACGTGGGGAGAGTTCCAGCTGGGACAGGAAGGACGAGCAGCTCCCAAGGCTGGGGTAGCGGAAGGGCACTGCTCCCACCCTTGCATCCCTTGCTTGGAGAGCAGGGCCAGGCCTGAGCCCGCAGCAGACACTGAGGCAGGAGCTCAGGCAGGTTGTTTATTGGCAAATAAGTGCTGAAACCCGTGAGCCCCCCCGCCCCAAGAGGTGCTCAGTGCCCTGTTACATCAGAGTGGTCACGATACCATTGGGGAAAGTGCAAAAGTCAATAAACAAGCAAAGTGAGTTCTGTCACACCGAGGGGAGGGCTGTGAACAGAGAGCTTGGTGCAGGTGAGAGTCTCTTCCATCCAGCTTGAGTGGAAAACCAGATACACAGCGGCAGGAGTCCTGCAGGTGAGCTCTAGCACAAAAGCTCATTATAGGATTAAAAGGCATACACACCTGAGCACTCCCTTGGAGCTAAACCACCACGGGCAGCCTGGCTTGGTTACTGTGTGTATGGCCAAGAGCAGCTCGTGGTTGGAGATAACAGCAAGTGGGACTGTCCCTTTCTGCCCTAGGATACACCAAGTCTGTTCACTGCTGCGATGGGAGGGAAAGCGTTACTGAAACCAGTGATCCAGGGGGAAATAAAGTCAGGCTAAAACATGCCTGGACCAGATGCACTGAAAGAAAAGCCTGGACAATCAGCACAGGGAGCAAAGCTTGTAAAAAGGCTTGTAAACTCTTTGCAATCTGTGAGCAGTTTCTCAGAGGAAATGCAAGCAAGATGCACGGCCCCTTGCACTGAGGTTTGATGTCTGCCATACAGGCCCTATGTTATTAGGCTGGTCTTCACAAGGAAACTCCCAGCTCCATTGGCCAGTTCTAGATGGAAGCCATCAGGCACCACGACGGTAAGCACAGCTCTTGGAGAGCCTCGTGATCCTGTTCTCCCACTCATGAGCAAGGGGGGTGGGTTTAATGGGCTCTTAAATTCAGCTTTCTTGCCTTAAGAGCTAGGACCATTGGGGGCTTGGTGTGGGACACTTCCCACTGGAATGCTTGATGGTTTGACTTGGGGAATTCTACTGCTGAAGAGGGAGGACAGGAGGGGCAGACAGGCACTAAACCCACACCAGGCACAAGGGAAGTGTAACTTAAACTCCATGAGCTGAGGGTTACAGCTTGCTGGCCCTGGGAAAGCCACTATGATAAATGACACTGGGGTAGGGCAGGAAAAGAAACAAGTGATCAAGGAATCTTGCACCATCAAGACTAACCCCAAAGCAGCTGCACTGGTAGTGAATGAATCCAGTCCTGGGTGCCACCAGCCCCTTCCCAAAACCTTACTGTAACAGTTCTACCACTCCTTTCCCACAATTCCCATACTAGCAATGGAGCATCGACCCTGAAGAGAGCAATGGTCTCGGATGAAGAAGTCCGCATTAGGAGTGCCAGGAGATGAGGGGTGCATTCTGCTTGTACATTCTTCTTCCTGGAAACATTTAACTTAACAGTTCCAAGTAAGTGACAGGAACTTTCCCTTTCTGGTTCCCTCTTTCCCCTATGAGCCAGTCTGGATCCATGCCTGGCAGGCTGTACACAGTGATCATCTGGGGAGAGAAGACAGCGTTAGACAGGACCTGAGCCTGCTGAGAGAGCTGAGGAGTTCAGCCAGGTGGATGCTGAAAGAAGAGCAATTCCTGAAGCTCATTCAGCAGGCACCAGTGCCCCTTCCCTGGAGCTATTGGCAGCTCTCAGGTAAGGAAGCTGCATTTGAGGGTGACAGTGAAGATACTGAGTATTGGGCTATTTGGTTAGCTGGCTGCAGCTGGACTCCAATAGGAATAAAGGAGTTACTGAGGTGATGTTCTTCAGTAGCAGACAGCCATGAGCACAAGCTCACTGCAAATCAGCGGATCAAGACTATCGAGGCTATTAATAGTCCCATCAAATGGGGCTTAGGGGCAGGAAAAGTAACCAAGACCATGCTGAGCACACAAAGGGGCTGTTAAATAGCTACAGCAACACTGAACCCAAAGGGAAGTTACGAACCTCATCTGCAAGGAGCGCCAGCTCGGTGCTGTCGGCTGCTTCATAGTCATAGAGGACTCTGGCTTTCCGTGTGCCGCTCGCTGGAGGCTTGACTTCATTTGGGTTCAGCACCCCCTCTGCCACGGCACTGGGCACCCCGACAATGGTGGGCACAACGGGGATGGTAGGCACAGCAGGGAGGGTGGCAGCAGCAGCAGCAGCCGGAGGAGAAGCAGCGGCTGCGGGAGGAGAGGTGGATTCTGCATTGCCTACGAACGTGCCTGAAAATCTTACACAGGAGAAGAAGAGAGTTCAGTGAGGCTGCAGGATGAGGAGCCAAGAAAGAGCTGCTTTCAGTGGTTACAGTGCAGAGGTGATGCTCAAGAGCTTCACCCAACACCTGCAGTGCGTGCATGCTGCCCTTCGAGGGGGGAAATGCACTTCTCAGGTGCTGAGGCCATGCAACAGATAATCTATTTGCTTATGTTGATGCCAGTGCTGGCACCCAACCCGCAGAGTATGAGACTGAAGCGTGGCACTAAAGCATGGTCTGGGCTCTGTGCCTGTTTTACTGGCTCCATGGTGCTGTGTCCTTGCCCTGCTCTCACATGCTCTGTGTTATCTGTTTAGTCTGCTTGTCCTTCAGGAAAGGGACAGTCACTGTTGCTGTTAAACTGGATGCCACAGCTGGAAGCTCCAGGCTTTCTGGGCTCTCTGGAGAGAGTCAACGATGGAGCTCAGTCTCACTGATCTCATTTACCCACTCTGCACTAAGGGAATGCAGCTCTGGCCTTTGCAATAAGGCGAAGGCTGAGGTGGAGAGCTCTTAGAGGTCATTGTGTGCAACATCGTACTTACATTTCTCCTTTGGAGCTGCCAGCATGGAAAAGAATGGAATGGGAGTAGTGAGTGATCACACAGAGGCAACAACAGCCCCTCCTGGGTCAGGCTGATGAGACAGGTAACAGACAAAACATCCCTGCTGTGCCCATGGGATGTGCAGCTCCTGCTGCAGCTGAGCATGCTCAGGCTTGCTGCTTGGCAACAGGAATGTGCTCCCATGTGATCTAACTAATTTAGAGGAAGGATGTTCAGACTCTCCAAGCCACCATGAGAGATGAATGCACAAACCCCACATGAATCCAATGGCAAAGTCTGCTCTAGATGCGGTACTGCCAGGGCTGGCCTCCAATCCGTGTGCTCAGAAGCTCTGGGGGAGCTTGGAGGGAGCTTATAACTTCTGTGATGTGAGATGGGGAAGGAGGCCAGAGCTGGGGGTAACCCTCAGAGAAGTAAGAGCCATTTCTTGTCTCACCTGCCCAGTTGCTTCTGCAGGTCCAGCATGTACTGGTAGCACTGAGCATAGTAGTTGGTCTGAGACTCCACAAACTCGTGGAGACAGCGAAGATGATTCACCTGGAGGGAGAAGGAGTTTGGGCTGTGAGTCTGGTTGCCAGGCACAGGGACTCTCTTCCTGCAGCTACCGCCTACCCCAAGGCAAGCAGACTTGTGCAGGCCACTATTTAACCGAGTGACTTGGTTTGCTTGAATACACTAATCTGTTAAACTTGGGAATGTCGCATAGGCACGGGGGTGACCTCGGAGAGGAGGCTGCTCCTGGCACTCCAGCCATGTCCCTGTGCCTGATTCACAGCTCTAGAGACATAACAACAAGGTTTTTCTGGCTTGGAAGCATTTTGAGGCCCACAGATGCCACAGAGGCACTGCCTGTGCCTGCTTCATTGTGTTTCTAGCTCGAGCATTCCAGCTCTTACGAGGAGGTAGCATCCAAACTTAGGACCTCTTGTACCTCTGCTCCCAGTGCAGGGCTCCATGACCCTCATGGCATCCTTCTAGAAAGGAGCCAAGAGTCCCCGTAGTCTCCATCCCCCTGCAGTTACTCACGTGCGTGCTGCTGATCCCCTCCAGCAGCAGCCGTGTCACCTCTGCCTGGCGATCAAACTCGGTCTGTGTGAGCCTCAGCTCGTGCTCGGCCTGCAAAACAGGACAGGGTGCTCAGGACAGCACGAGGCAAGGGCCCTGTTCTGCCCCTTCCAGAGGGGAGCAGCCACCTCCTCCTTCTCCAACCCCCCTTTGCACTGAGACAAGCGTGCTGCTGGCTCAGCAGGGCCCACCTGCACCTCTGGCACCCAGCCTCATGACCTGGGTGAGGATCCCAGGAGCCTCTGGCTGGGCTTTGACTTGATTCCTGCTTGATCCTGCATTGGATCAGTGCATCTCAAGACTGATGCACCCAGGAAGCTCCTACTCCCATAAGACTAGAACATGAAGATGGAGGGGCTTTGTTAATGCTGAGGTATGTGGAAAGCCAGTCCCATGCCAGCACCTGTGCTTTTAAGCCCCTCTTTCTAAGCCTACAGGCACAGGAAGGTGCAGCTTTTGCTGGTATCCTCTTGATCACCACAGAGCAGGGAGCTGAGGCCAGGGAGCATTTACCAAATTGCTGTTACTAGATCCCTCTGCAATGGAGATGAACTTCCCAATCCAACCGCTACCCAAGGCTCTCCTTTGAAGCTAGTTACTTATTCTGAGCTAGGAGGAACTGAACAATGGTTAACTGAAGGCAGCTATGCAGCAGACATTGGGAATTCAAAGACAGATTGATCCCAGAGACTGTACCGGACAGAACCTCTGTCTCCCATCACCAAACAGCATATTTACCCTAGGGCAGCTCTGCAGTGCCAGAACACCCAGGTGAAGCCTTGCAAAGAGAAGAGCTCCAGAAGTCCTGGAGCCATCAGGAGCTCTGGTGCCTGCTCTCTCCTCCTGCTGCCAGAGGGCAAGGGGTGGCAAGCAGGCAGCGTTCTCTCTAGCATTGCATTGCTCCTTAACACCAAGTGGAGCAGGCCAGGTCCCCCTCAATGTGTGCAGTGACCCAAGCACAGAAGTGATGGTCACTCAGCCACAGCTTACTGGAAGAAGCAGCCAGTCTGGAATGGACCCCAGAGGGCTAATGCAGCCAGGCTGGTGCTCTCAGAGCAGTGGCCCCATCGCTGGGCACCCCACAGGAGACCCAGCCTTCTCAGCAGGGCAAGCTGGAGGAGCTGCTGCTGCCCATTGCATCCCTCATCTGTCAGCAGCGCTACCAGTGTACAGCTAAGTGAGAACAAAGAAATGCTTTCACAGCTTTTTAATCAGATTTGTCTATTTTAAGCTACAACTGATCTATTTTCTTGCATCCTCTGTATGAAAGGGATTATTTAAAGGAGAAAGGGGAATGTACCGGGGAATGCCAGGGCGATACCAGTGCAATACCAGTGCAATGCCTTCCTAAGCACCAAGAGATTCCTGACTTCAGTGGCAGCATTGCTATCTGAAACTTGTGTCAGGCAGACCCAGCTCCACTTGGCACTGCCTGGATGTGACCCTCTTCCTGCCAGCTCTGAGCAGTTGCAGGACGTAGTTTCCTATAAAGGCAGCGGTGGTCTGTGGCCTGGGAGGTCACAGCCTTGTGCTTCTCCAAGACATGGAGAACATTGAAGCTTACTGACATTGGTCTATCCAGCCAGGACAGATGGAGGAACAGAGCCTTCATGCCTAGAGCTGACTGCAATCAACTTGTTTGTTTGAGAGACTGAAGGATTTAAAGTACAGATGAGCTGGGGTTGCTGTCATGCACAGCATGCAGGAACGTGCCATCTACCACCTCACAGCTCAGGCTTCAGGCCACCATCAGTCAGGGGTGTTTGAGGTATGAAAGGCAATGGGATCCCAGAAGGTGGCTCTGGAAGCTCCATACCATGCTGGAGCTGCACACAGAGCTCACCCTGGTCTCCAGGCCACTAGCAGCCCTCCATCCATCTTCATGGACAAGTCTCACTGCCCATGCAGAGCCCAGAACACAAGAGCTGGGACTCTGCCCCCATGGCTCCGCTCAGAAGGGTAAGCACAGCTCACCCAGGCAGAAACAACCCACAACAGGCTCCAAACCTCCCCCCTGCCCTCCTGACAGAACTGCTCCCTTTGGCAGCTGGGGCTGCTCATGGGAACCCTCTGTCCTGGCTTCAGCTCTGCTCAGAGCTCCTGCTGGGACCCCAGAACAAGCAGGCAAGGGGCTACTAGAGGCTAATGCATGGCACATGCAAAACTGGAGCAGGCAGGGCCTTTTCCACCAGAGCAGAGCTGAGTCACAGCACAGCACAGCACCTCTGCTCTGTGACATCCGTGCAGGGTCCTCAGAGCTGCCTTTTCTCACACACAAACACACACCCAAGACTGCCTCTCACAGCAGGTACAGCCACCAGCCCGCAGGGCAGGCTCTTCCCAAGTCACTGCTGCACTGAAGCATAGGGCTGCAGGACCAGGATGGGGCTGATGACAGGAACATCCCACTGATCCTCCCCTGCCTGCGTGCAGGGAAGGAGTCCACAGCACCCCCACCCCTGAACGCCAGCATCACCCCCGGAAGCTTTGAGCACAAGTTCAGCTGGGTACTTACTTTTTCCACCTCGTCACTCCAAAGCTGTAGGGGCCACAGAGCAACAGGAAAGGAGATCAGTGTTGGAGACGTCAGGAAGCACTCGGCATTAACACCAATGGGGAAGGATGCTCCGTGGACACAGGAAGCCAACTCCAAGACAAGCTCGCCCTTCACCCAGCAGCAGCTGCCACATTGATGCCCCCTCCCCTCACTCCTGCATCCCCGAGCTCAGTTTTATGATGGGGGAGCAAGTCCACACCACCAGAGCCAGCACATGATGCTCCCTGCCAGGGCTGTTACAGCAGCTGCTCTCAGAGGGCTCCAGGAGGACCAAGCAGCAGAGTCCTCTGAAGAGCAATTTTGCTGCAGCCTGCAGGGGTTGGTGTTGAGGACAGCCCTTCCTTTAGGATTGTGAGAGGCAAGCCCATGGATAGGGCCTGGGAGATGCCATGAGCTCAAGGCAGGCAGAGGCCAGCGTTCCTCACCCACTGGTCCAGAGAGCTGAGGTTAACGGGATCACAATCCAGCCAAGTCTGTGCTACCAACAGGAGTGTTTAGGTACAGCAAGGAGGAAGAAGCAGCAGGATGCTGCCTTTGAGACAGGCACAACATCACGCTACTCCCTCCTCCCCTCGTCACCCATGGGGGCACGTTTGGGGCAGCACAACACTGCCAGCTGCTTGCTGGGATCTGGCTCCAGGACATGAAACAATTGACAACAAAAGTCACGTGCAGCAATGGGAAAGGGAGAGAAGAGGTAGAAAAACACATTGATCCTTCCCAGAGGTCCTCGGCACACAACTACTCCCTCAGCTCTGGCGACACGAATCACCCTGGATCAACTGGGAGCACAGCAGCAACACCTCCATCAGTGAGGCCGGGGGTGATGGCCTCTGAGGACCTCAGCTTCACCCTCTCACGTCACCTTTGCACATCAGGGATGTTCACCATGTCATGGCTGAAATGCAATGCAGGCACGTGGGAGCCTTGTAGTGGATGCTGTGGTGTCAGAGGGGGAACATGATCTGTGTAAACCCAAGGTCTCCCAGCTGAACCCTGTAGAGGTTTGCTCACCATCAGCTGCCTCAGGTGGGCTGTGGTAGCCCCAGGTGACGAGAAGACTTCACCAGCCAATATAAGGAGGAGCTGCCTGTGCTGATGAAGCAGGAAGATGTTATATGGGGTTCATCAGCTTGCTGTTAGCTCCTGTTCCATGGTATGTACCCTGAGTGGCATCTCCTCTTACCAGAGTAGAATTCTTTTGGCTGGTCCCCTTGTGATCCCAGGGTTTCTCTGTGGAGCACTCGGTGCTCTGAGGCTGGGTGTTTGCTCTGAGCTTTAGGAGGATGTTTTGTTACTGCAAATTGAGAGCTGGTTTAAATAGTACCTGGGCAATCCCAGTCATGGGGACATAAACTCCTTCCCCTTCTCAGGCTAAAGGCTCTGGAAGGCAGATGGTGGGGAGATCTCTGTAGGCAGGTCCTAGCTTGAAGTGCTGCTCTGGCACAAGGCCTCTACAGGCACATCCTTGTGTTTTTGGAGCAAGGTTTGCTACAGGGGCAATGGGAACCATTCACTCCAGCTACAGGTCTGCCTACTTAGAGGCTGAGGATGGTACTGAGGCCATTTCAGGCCCATTTAATCCCTGCAGTAACCACTGAATTTGTAGCTCGATTTGTTTCTCTTCTATTAGCCTTGCTGTGTGATCTCCAGCCCTGCTCCTGTGCTGCTCTGGGGCAGCTTTACCCAGCTCTGTCCCTGGACTAAGGCACTGTGTGGCCCAAGCAGCCCAGGGAGTAGAAAAGGTCATGATCTGCACCCCTCTTCCTCCACCCCAGCTCAAGCCAGAGGAACCCTCTTTAAGGAACTCAATGTGTTGTTCTTGGAATCACTCCTAGGAGCATAGCACATGGCAAGTGGCAGGGTCTGAGAGAAAGGGATATTGAGGCTCATGCTGCCCATGTAAACCATATACAAATTCAAAAGGTCAGTGTGGGAGAGAGGAGAAATGGCTCCTCAGCCCCCAACACATACAAACAAGGGAGGTGCTTGTCTGTAGATGGATCTAATTCCATCTAAATCCCTCCTGTTATGGAAGGGGAAGAAGCAAAAGCACCATGTTATCCAGCTCTCCAAAACCAAACATCACTTTAGAATCCCAATCAATGCTCTGTAGAGGGCATATGGTCCAGGAGAGAGCTGACCCAGCTGCTCCTCTGAGACAAAGTTGTTACCTGGGCATAGGAAGCCATCCCCTCCTCCAGAAAGGAGCAGTGCTCAGCAGCAAGCTGAGCAGCAACCACTGCTCTATACTGCCAGTACACACCGAGACTAAAGCAGCACAAGGACTCTGGCCTGGAAGAGAAGCAGAGCAAGAGTATGAAGAGCTCCTACCTTCACGGTGCCTGACCCCTTGGGGTGAGTGCTGGGATGAGAGAGCTGCTTGCACAGCGGTGCTGCCTGCATGGAGCTGGGGACCAGCCTGGGCTCAGCACGTTTCCTAACTAGAGATGCCAACTGTTATTCCAGGCTGCAATAACCACCAACTGCAACCTCTGAAACAGATGGTATGGAAGCCACAAGGACCACAGCAGATTTCCTGGTGCGAGGCCTTGCTCTGCAACCATCAACCGTGATGAAGGTCAGTGCTAGCTGCTCACCTAGAGCAAGCCTGTCTCCTGGAGCCCTGCTCTAGCTGTCCTGTATCATCACTGCTGCTGTCAGAGCTTCTCTAGCAGAGCTCTGAAGGGGGACCACTGAACTGGGCACAGATGTGGCAGGGTAGACACCTATGGTCTAAGAACCCCCACAAAATCTACTCCTGTTGTGTTACTGTACTTGGCATCTGCTCCCCAGAACAGCTTTGCAGTACAGCAAAAGCAGACCAGCTCACAGTGTGGTGAGGGCTAGACATGTTCAGCTGAGCATCTGGGTGCTCTGCAAGGTGCTGAGTCGTATTATGCAAATGCCTGCCTTCAGGTCTGCTTTAGAAAGCCTCTGGGAATGATGAGGATCCCCTGGTCCAATCAGAGCTATTCAGAGGCAGGAAAGCCCAGTTTCTCTCCTCCAGTTCTCCTGGAGGTCAGTTTTAGTCCATTCTCGTGCTGTCCTTGGAACAAACCTTTCCAAGGGGGAAGGCAGCACCGCAGGCTCACTGCTAGTTGCTGTAGTAGATAAAAGCTGAGCAATTACTACAGCATCACCAGTACCAGCTTCTTCCTAAGGAATCCCATCATTGAGCCTGTTACTATGGAAATAGTTTTCCAGCTACAGTGCAAAGCTATTTCTGATCCCAGCATCACTCTCCGAGAAGGTCAGGTCAGATCCCCCTGGGAGCTAACACTGATGCTATCAGCTCAGACCTACCTCTTTCTTCAAATGGGAAGAGTTTCCCATTAACTAAACCCAACTTGTTTCCATGGTGTTTTTGTTTGTAGAAGGCTGGGCTATCCTTTTTTTCCCTATAGATCCCACTTCCCAGCCCTTCCACTCCCAGATTAGTCTATGACCAGGCATCAGTGTAGTTATGAATGCTGTTTAGGAAGCAAGATGATCAGTTTTCAACATTTTAAGGAGCAATGTGACATTGTGCAATGGGGAGGCATGAACACAGCACGGAAAGTCAATTGCTTGACCACAACCACTCAGTGCAACACAGTAGGGATGCAATGGGCTGTTCCCCACCCCCAGAGCATCTGCCTGCAGAACAGCCACCAACAGACAGGCCCCAAGATGAAAGGAAAAAAATGATCTCTCTATGCAGAATAGGCAAGTCCAAACTGTCAGACTGTGTTTCTGACACGATGGGTGGCAGAGAGATTCCTCCACCTTTGCTTCTCTTGACCAAATACAAAGCCTCCGAGTACTGATCAGGATGTCAAGCATGTACATTGCCGGTGTACAGCTGGAGCCACCCAGAAAGGCTCACCTTTGAGTTTTTTCCTTTCAATTTCTGTACTAGCAATAAAAAAAAAGTCAGAATATCCCCACCAGAAACATAGGAAAGGATTGGCAGAGAAACTGGAAAGCAAACCAAGGAGCCAAAGTGCCAGGCCCTGACCATGCACCCCTCCGGGGGTGATGTGCATCCTTCAGGTGGAGTCAGAGGAAGCCTGGGCAGCCCATGTCACATTAAAATGTTGAAAACAGCAGAGCACTGGGTCTGATTTGTAAGTCAGGTGGAGAGAGGGGCAGGAAGAGGTTGGAGAGGCAACATCTATGGGGAGGCAATCTTACCGCTGAGGCGCTGGCGGAGAGAACGTAATTACGAGGTCTAGTCTCCTGAAAGTCAGGCACAGCCTAATGGGGGAATAGAGTTTCATGTACAAGTCACAGGAGGCCACAGGAGTCACTTGGGCAACGGATGACAGAAGGGACCAGCATCTTTCTCCTGTCTGTGCTGGGAACTTAGCTCAAATTCTTATGGATGGAAGAGGGAGGTCTCCCAGCAGTCTGGGCAGTGGTGTGTGGAAGCCAGGCTTGTGCAAGAGGAGGTGGACTGGCTCATGCAGTCACTCAACCAGCAGGTATTTCTACGGTTAAAACTCTGCCTGCATTTACAGCTTGTACAGCAGCCAGTTGGAGTGGACATGAAACAGCACAATCTCAGATGCGTTTCCCCTTCCCTTGCAGCCAGCAGGCTGCTCATGTCATCTTGGCTCAGTCCAGTGGGCAGGACCTTCCTTCCCCATGCTTCCCACCCACTGACCTAAAAGTGTCCCTGTGGAGGGCCCTATCCTTAAGGTGAGCATGTTTACTAGCACCAGAGCACCCTTTCCACAGTGCCTGTTAAACAAACATCTCGTTCTTACTCTCCCCAAGCTTCTGGGCATGTTTCTTCCTAACAGATCTGTTTTCAGTAAGGGGCATGGCTTAGCCAAAGCAGATCTAGGCCAAAGCCTTGCTGTTGCCAAAGGTAGTGTAAGAGTTTTCATCTCAGAGGTCAGAAAACCTTCAAGCCACCCTCTCCATAGCTAAACCTCTGCCCTGGGGCAAGAAGACTTAAGCACTCTGGAAGTTTTTCTCATTGGAAATGTAAGGGATCCAGTCCACTTGCACGTATGTGTGGGCTCACTAACCAGCACATAACGTGGTCTCTATTCAGCTAAGCTAAGGCTAGGCCTCCTCCTAGGATGGCCTTTGGCTGTAGCAATACCCAAAAAGATAAGCCAGCAAGCTAGCTTACGTCAGGACCATGGCACTGGTTCTATGGATCAGGGTATCTTCCTTGGGCAGCCTTTACCTGCAGTGGTTGGGCTGTGAGGCTGGCACACAATCCAGCTGTAACTCAGCTATGTTTTAATCCTCTCAGGCCCCATGTTTCCTCTGCCAGGTTAATCTCTTTGCAGCTCACCCACATCTACTTATACCCGCTGACCCGGTTTGCTGGGCCCCAAGCAGCTTGCTGGGATGAGTGAGCAGTGGGTGGCAGAGCACTCGGGCAGTCCCCACAAGAAGAGAGCTTCTGTAAACCATCTAGAAGGTTTGGGGATGGCTGGAGGAAGGAATAAGGAGGACTCCTGTTACAAGTCAAACCTGAATACAGGGAGAAAAATGTACCAGTGAGATCTGAGGCCAGCACAGCAACTAGGCTTGACTCCTCCCTGTGGGGAGAAGAGATCTTTCACAGGAATAGCTTCTTAGGCTTTATCTTTTAAGGTTAAGAGCCATCTCCTCCCATTCCCTGGTCTCCAGGGAGTCCCACAACTAGTCACAGCACATGGGATGAAGGAGGCAAGCTGCTCTTGCACGCCTGTGCATGGAGAAGTTTTATTTGCAAGCAGTGGTCAAAAGGGATCCACCTCCCTCCCCCTTTCACTCTTGTAATGGGGAAAAAGGGCAGAGCCCTAGAGCCAGGAGGACAGAATAGCACCACAACCAGTTCAACCTGCCTGTCATTGTCTCTGGCTGCCTCCCTTCCAGGAAAGGGAGCTGCCACCCAACCCAACCTCCTCTGCTTGCAGCCAGAGGAGCCTGAGTGGGAGCCTCTGCCTCTCTTGAGCATTGCTTGCAAGCAGTGGTGATGGAACCAGTGCATGCTCCAGAGGGGCTGCAAGCAGCTGACGGATGCTCCCATCTTTCTGGAGCATCCTCCCCAGGCAGCCACAGCCCTGACCACACTCAGTACATGCTCCAGGGCCAGTCCCAATGAGACAAGGGAGATAGGAATTTTCATTTAAAATAGGAAAGAGACAATGAGAGGTGGCAAAGAAAACCAACCCATCACAGCACTGTTAGCACAGTCAATACTCACATCTCCCTCACACTGAGCAAATCACAAAGAAACAAAACAAAAAGGTTAGTGAACAAAACAGCATCAACAGGAAGGACAAAGCACAAAGTCTGAGGGAAATGCACAAGCCCAGACACCCACACAGCAGCTCACAGGCCTGGGCAGCGGCACACGTGGAGGGTCAGTCACGACACAGAAGCTGTAGGAACACAAGTTTGCACTGCAGAGGGGAAGAGCAGGAAGAGAGTGGTGAGCTGGGAGAGGTGCCCTACTTGAGGCCAGTTTGGATGGAGAGGTGGGGCATGGGATTCCAGGTGTGTCACAGGGAACTCTTGTGCTCTAATGATGAGTTAATGTGTCTGGAGCAGAGGCAGCAGTTGTCCCCTGCTTTGTTGGGAGCTTCTACCTGTGTCTTGTCCTCTAGCAGTTAAGTGAAGCAGCCAGGGACCCCACATTTAAGCTAGGCTGGGTAGGAGATGGGTGCCCACAACAGCAGCTGAGGTTATCTTCTGTTGTGTGATCTCTGTTTCAAAGCAGAGTGGCTGAAACACCTTGGAAAGCCTGGAGTGACTCTGATCCTGCTTGGGGCACCCAGCCCTGCAGGTCCAGTGGGAAACCAGGCTTTTCTTTTCCAGACAGAGAAGTCCTTCACCCAAGGGTCTGGGTGCAAGTGAGAGGCCTTGGGATCACTTCATGTAGGAAGCAAAGAGGGTGAAAATGGAGGAAGCACAGGAGGTATCTGAATTCCTGCTCTGATTTGAGCTTAAGATAAAGCAATGGCCACCACTTCCCACTGAGACTGGGGGCACTTCAGAGGGGAATCTGCGATCCCTGAAGTTAACTTCAATGTATCTGAGTGACCTGACTGATGAGAGGAAGCTTTTCTTCTTTTAAAAGGGCAGCTATGACTTTTATTCACCCAAAGCTTTGTTCAGGGTTTTCCCCACACAGGCCTAAGCACTCTGTTAGACCTGCTCAGGGAGGCTGCTGAGCTTAGCACAGCTTCCCCATATGGCACGTATGCAGTTAGGGCTGGAGAAAGGGGAAAACACCTGGGAACTGGTCACGCAGGGAGCTGCAAGGGCAGAGGCCCAGCTGAGCAGATGGCTACAAAACAGATTCATGGCAGGGCTCCTAGGCTGCTATCCCAGAGACTGACTGACAAGGATTCCAGCCTACTCTGATTGCACCTTTGGTAGCTGAGCTCCTGGCCCCAGGCTAGAAGCAGAACTTGGCATGTCCTTGTGCCAACAGCCAGAGCACTACGGGATGGCAGTCTGCTTCAACAGGGTCCTCCAGGGAACCCAGCAGTGCCCAGCTACATCCTCTCTGCCTCCTCTACACCGCCCCTGCCCAGGAAGAGCCAAGCTTAGGAGATGCTTTAGGCCCAGGAACACCCTGAGGTGGTGTCAGCCTCAGACAGGCACTTTGAAGTGCTTGTCCCCATTACTCAGGCCTGTGGACAGTGGCACTAACTGATTTACCAGCCCCTTCTGCACTGCTCTGACCTGGCACCTTTGGTAGTTTACTTGCCATGGTCTCCCCAAAGGGAGAGGACAGGACTAGCCCGGAACTCAACAGCACAATGAACTAAATGCAGAGGTTGAGGGAAGGACCACTTGGTGGCCAGTCTGACCCCTGGCCATGCCTTACAGGCTCCTGCAGCACTCCTGCCTGGGGAAGACTGAGTTGGCAGAATCCTAACTTGTGTGAAAGCCTGGGACTGCTTTCACACTGGGACTGCACCTCAGCACACTGGTGCTGGGACTGCACCTCAGCAGGTGCTTCCCTTGCACACTTCCCAGCTCAGCACTCTCTTGGCTTGCTTTAAGATTCCTCAGGGAAACTTAGTCCTCAGAAGATGCAGCCCTTAGTTACTAGCACAAATCATCCAGCAACCACTATCAGTCAGGAGGCAGAAAAGTGTCACGTAGAACTTTCCAGACTCTGGAAGCTCACAACTATATGTTTCAGCAGCTCCCCCAAGGGAGGACATCTATGGACGGGTCCGTGGCTCCTGCTCACAATTCCCTTGTGCACTAGACAAGGAATTCCTTGCCCTCCCATGCCTGCAGAGCCAGGACACGATGGAGCAGCCTAATTTTGTCCATGTGAGCCAAACCCTGGGCAAGAAGGACAGAGAGGGGAAGGAGGGAGACAGTTACCGCTGCTTTGGCCTCGGCAGCTTTGGCTTTCTTCAACCTGGCCTTGCAGGCATCCAGGTCCAGGCGGCAGTTCTGCAGGGTCCTCCTCTCTTTCTGGAAGACATAGAAAATGGGTAAGAGCAGACCCAGGACTTTTTGGGAAGGAAGGGGACAAGGTAACATGTAGGAATCAGATCTGTTTCCTTCTAAAAAATGCTAGAGAGAAAGAAGCATCTGCTATGTTCATCTCATTAGCAGGGGTTCTGAGCCTGGCTGCCAGGGATACAGGCTTGCTTTCTGGGAATAGGGCAGCACTAAGGTGCAGGAGTCAGGAAAGGAACTACCTTCCTCATGCACACAACTGGCAACCCTTCCCTGCCACAGAGGGAACCCTGAGGAGATCCAGCACTGGTATTCCTCCATCCTTGCATTCTTTCAGGGGAGAGGTAGAAACTCCTTTCTTATAGGGAAAGAGAATTCTTCCAGTGCTGTTTCCCTCTCCCCCCACCTTTCTCATGTCCAGTGAGGTGAAACCTTTCCTGCTGCCACACTTACAGTTATGGTTCGCCAGTCCCCTTCCAGGAAGTTGCGCAGCGGGGTCAGGAAGTTGATGGATGCAGACTGGATGAAGTCTCGTTCTGCTGCACCTAAGCGCCTTTGAGTCTCTCCAACTTTTATCAAGGTCTTCCCTGCAATAACAGGAGACCTCAACTCCATGAGAATCCATTAACATTGTGTTGGCTTCAGCCAACTCATCTAAAGCCACCAGGTTCCAGCGCTGGGGGTCAAAGGCGCTGTGTATCCTGCCTGGGCAAGGTGACCATGCCTGTACCACACCAGCTTCAGCCCTGTCTACAGTCTGCTTTTAGCTTGAGGCCTCTTCTCAGCTGCTTGCAAGGCAGCTTTGATGTTATCTATCTGCTGAGGCACTTACTCCACTGATGTCCTTTTACTGCTCCACCTGCATGCACACAGTGAATGCTGTTTGCCTCATAAAAGAGGCCCAGGAACAGAGCAGCAAATTAAAAAGCACCAGAGCAGAAAGAATGAGTTAATGAGGCAGTGCTGGCCGTAGGTGCAGTTACAGCTGGTCTGCCTGCAACAGGACTGGCTATTGAACAGCTATTGATCTGGAGAGCAGTAACAAAGCTCATGGCAGAGGCAAGGACAGACGGAAGGTAAGACCTTCTGTGCATGTCTGCTGCTCAAAGAGGTACCAAATGCCTCCAGAAAGGGGCAACTGTTAGGATTTAAGAGCAGAAAGGTGCTCTGTGTGGTCGGGAAGGGGCTTGTTGAGCCTTGTAGACAAGCACCAACCTTTTCAAGTCTGTTTTCCTGTTCTCTTTCTGCTAGAGAAAGATTTCCACACTCCACTTGCAGGACACAGTTAAAGGCTGGTTCTCCTGTTCAGAGCCTATAGAAACTCTGCAACTGGATACCACCTTAGATCAAGTATGCTTAAACTGCTCAAAGCCAAAGCCATTCACTGCAATTCTCTGTCCAGGCTGGTTTAGAAAGCCACAGAAATAGCACAGAATTGTTGGGTTCTGTAAACAGTTCCATTACCTACCCTGGATCCATGTGTCTTTATTTCTTTGCTATCTCTGCCAGACTTGAGTATTGAGAATGGGGAGATCCCTTTCCCCACACAGCATGGAGCATGCTTTGCTGTGGAGTAAGTCTTGACTTCCTACTCCAGATAGGCTGTTTGCTTCTGTGCTAGAGAAGACCCTTCTCTGGCTTCAGCTTTGACACTAACAGGCAGGTTGCCGCAGGGGAGAGCAGGCCACTGTGCCCTCTTCAAGAAGCATGCTGCAGGTGTCTTAACCCAAAACAGTCAAGGGGATGCTCCCTCAGGAAGGGATGGATTCCCAGGGCTGACTTACCATAAGGTGTCCCTGGCCCAAAGTCATTAGCTGCTTCTGTCATGTACTGTGCCAGCAGCTCCCCGTTGGTGACCCGGGAAGGCACCTTCCGGTCAAGCTTCTCATAGAGGAATTCCTCTACTCTGGCACCTGGAATGAGGATACCACTGGTGGTTACAGGATGGAGGATGAAGGAGGGACCCCTGGAGCTGGCGTTCAGGGTAGCCCACCCCATGCAAGCCTCAGTAATGCACTGGATAGCAAGCACCAGGAGAAGGTGTCCCTTCCAACCCGCCCAAACTCAATGCAACAGGGCTCTCTGCTAGAGGGCATGTCTTTAACACCTGCAAGTGGTAGTTGTCCTTCAAGCATTAAAAGAAACTAAACTTACTAAGGTTTGGCTGTAACAGAACTTCAGTCTGACGCAAGATCTTCTCTGTCCAGTTCTTCGTGCAGTCTGCCCTGGCCATAAGGTTTTCAAAGTGGGCATCTAGTTCAGTCTTCTCAGCCTGACCCAGCTTTTCTTCAGTAAACTGCAAGAAGGAGGCAGTTGTTAGAAGGTCTGTTCTACTAAAGCAAACTAGCAGTGTGCTACAGGACTATTAAGAGACACTGAAGCTTCTTGTGTCTCATGTGTTTATCTTAGAGTAGAGCTAAAAGGCCTTCAAGGTGTCATTCTTTGTTCCTAGGCCTCTTTCATGGGAAGAGAACAAATTTTGCCCAAGAGTGGAACAAGGACTTAGATAAAAACAGAGTGCAGGTTTGAGAGGTGCTCCAGAATCAGTAACTTTTAATAAGCTCTGGTACAAAAATACTCTAGTTGTGAGGAATCCATTTAAATGAGAAGAACCGCATGCAGAAGAGCAACAGACATCCTTCATGTAAGGGAAGGTGTCATCTCCCTTCACCTCCTCCTAACCAGCTCTATGTCCTGCAAACCCAGCAGGATTGGGGATGCCACTACCACCTTGGGAGCTGAGCTTTCTTCTCATCTTATTGGACAAGCATGTACACCCTGGTTTTGTTACAGGGCTTGTGAGTGCCTTCTAACAGCCATCACACTGAGAGGGTCGGAGCACTGCATCCCAGCTCTCCTCCTGCCTTGCTGGCAGTGAGCTGCCACCTCAGCATCCGACCTTTAAAGAGGCTCAAACTCAGGATTTAGACAATACTTCTAGCAAGTGACTCTTCCTCTAGGACATGCTCTGAAGCAGGGTACCGAGAGGAATAGAACAGTGTCTGGCTTCTCTCAGCGCTTGGATTCTCCCTCCCTCCCTCTGTGATTCCTTTTGAGTTTAAATTCAACAGCAGGGAGAAGCAGGCTGTCCAAGGCTTCAGTGTTCTTATCCTGGGCAGTAACATCTGACACAAGCGGGTTGGTCTGTCTGGAGGTGCAGCATCAGACGGCCTGGACACCCTCCCATTGCTTCCTTGGGGGATGTTTGAGAGAAGCGCCCGTTCCCTCTCATCCCAGCCCCACTTTCCACTTTCTCCTTTCAGTGAAGTTGCCAACCTCAGTGTGTTTCTAAGCTTAATTTCCTGTTTTTGACAGAACCAGCATCTTGTTGGATCATCCCAAAAGATCCCTATGGACAGCTGAGGTTGCAGTTGTCCTTTTAGCCCTTATTGCTGGCTTCTGCTACCACTGTTGAGTTACCAGGATGTGATACTATAAAATATCTGGTAGACTCGGGTGCCAAGAGAAACATAGATGAAATACAACTCCTGCCTGAGCTTCCACTTGTACCTTCTCTCCCCTCCCTTATCCCACAGCTCAGAGGAGATGCCCTCTTCACCGGGTTTCAGTCTGGTGGCTGCTGCCTCTCCTGAATGGCTTTCTGCCAAGCTCTGGCTGCCCAACAGCCCAGTTCACATCCAGTACAATGCTGGGAACAAAGTGAGATAAGGAGCAAGCCCAGAACCAGCACGGGAGGCAGGCAACCAGCCCTTAGGAGTCCTGTTACCAGCCCTGTGCAAATGTTCCTAGATGTCAGAGATACACAAGCCCTGCAGGTATGTTTACACAGTGACCTGTTTGGGTGAGATTCGAGCTAGAGCCACTGAACTGCTTTGCCAGATGTCTGTGGTGACACACAGTGAAGTGCAAGGACAGTCACACTCCCTCCTGCAGCCCAACGGGGCTGGAGGAGTCGCAGCCATCCATGATCAGGCATCGCTTTACTGCTCACTTCCTCAGCATCAGTAGCCCCTGGTTACTAGCACTTAATTTCAGCTCAGTCTTGCCCCCCTGGCTATTGCTGGACGTGGCTAAAAGCAGATTCAAGGTGAGAGGGTGTTTGTGCTGCATTGTACCTAATGTCTGCGATTGTCTTTGAGGGCTATCAGACATGTGTGAGCGGCTGGGGCTCTCTTCCTCTGTCGCTGTTGGAAGCCCAGGGCTGTTTTCCGACTCTGCCAGGCTGGGCTGAGTCACTGCCATACAGCAAACTGGGGCTTCCCAGGTATTTGGCATCAATTCTCGAGTCATCTGTTTAAGAGCTATAACTCTTTGATGCAAGCATAACAGTCTCTCTTGTCCCCCTTTCCCAGACAGCTTTTTCAGATCTCATCTCACTTTCAAGTCCAGCTCTTATTCCTGCAGTTCAGCAGCATCCTGCATCAGCATCTGCCCTGGAGCTGTCAAACCTAAACCTAGTTTCTTATCAGCTGAATTTAGTCAGCTTCTTACAGCATTGCTGCAGTCAGATCACTGCTGAAACCCTCCAGCATCCCCACTGCTACTGCCAGCCTCTTGAATCGCTCCAACTCTGGGGTCCTTTGCTCTGTTCCCAAGCAGCATCTCCAAGCACCAATGCCCTTTGCAGCTCTTTCGTGTAACCTACCCCTTCACCCAGTGCAGTGGAACAACTTGCACAGCACTTGGCCAGGGAGCAGCCAGGAGTCAAACTCAGTTCTTATCTCAAGATAGGCAATAAACGTGTTTGTCTTGCAGTGCTGAGGACATGCACCACAATCACTGCAAGCCCGGGGGCTATGCCAGAAGGGGAGGATGGGCAGAGGCTCAGCCACAGCCTGTGGCTCCAAAGGGTCAGGCCAGAAAACAGTCTCTTATTCAGGCTCTCTCAGCTGGAGGAAAGCAGCGCTTGAATGTCATGAAGTGGGTGCAAGGGCATGGGAGGCTGTTACTCCATTTATACTTAATTCCCTTGGTGTCTCTCTGTGACCCCTGCCCAGGAATCAGCTATGCTGCAGAGTCCTGCACAGCCTGGGGCAGTTGGTACCTCTCACTGCAGGCTGCTGCAGAGGGTGCTCTATTCCTCCCCTGCAGCACACTTCTGCCTTCTCGTCTGTGCACAGGAAGCCACTGATCCAGCTCAACTTGGCCTCAAATGTGACAAATGTGACGGACCAGGGAACTCACCCAACTTCACAGCACTACTGGGGATACAGCATCAGGTGCAGGGGAGAGCAGGACCACCTTTTGCAGGAGCAGTGTGCAGTGAGAACAGATGAAAGGTCTCATGAAAACACGGCCAGCAAAGGAGATGACAGGTAAGTCACACCACCTTGTTATGAGCTGGTTCTTGTCTGATGCAAGTGGGGATCTGAGCTTTCAGATAGCAACAGGTCTCAGCTGCTGATCCCCTCTTAACCAGCTGCCCAAGTCAGTGCTCTCAGTGCAAAGCAGGGAAGAACAGCAGCAGTTTATGAAGTCTGGCTACTCAAACACTTCCAGCAGAACTCCCCCATGAAGGATTTTTATTCCCAGGAATTTGTTTTCATAACACTTACAGAGATTTCATTGTTTTCCTTCCCATTGAACAGACACAAGATTTCACTGTGAGGCCAAGAGGTGCAGGAGCAGAGGTGAACTGATCTCCCACATGCTCAGCCTCCTGACTGTAGAAAGATTAAAAGTGTTTTCCTAAAGGCATTGCTGTCTTTTGCAGCACTGAATACTCCAGACTGCTACAAATGGGGGTGTTATTTGGTTTTATCCGGTTGACTTGGTGCATATCCACCTGGGAGAGAGGCAGGCAGAGCATATCCAACTGCAACGTCTGGGGAGAACACTGAGCTCCTCCGTCCTGCCGTAGCAGAACTACTACATTTGTTTTCCAGAACCTGACAGATCATCAGCCCTGCCCTGAACCGGTTCCAGGATCTGCATCCTGGGATCACATGCCAGTGCTGAGAGGCTCCAGTGATCCTGCCCTGCAGGAAGCGTCCCTGCAGCTGACCCAGCTGAGCACCAGCCCCACGGCTCTGCAGGGAAGCTGGTGACATGATTAATAATGCAGAGCAGCCTTTTGTCAAGTGCCACTCTGGCTCTCCAGGAAGAGAAGTGCTGCATTCCAGGGCATCAATAATTCAGCCAAAGGTTGGGTTTCCTCTGGGAGGCTTGGCTGGCCAGCAGGAATGCTGGATGCATTATCTAGGCCCATGGGGGCAAGCAGGCTGAGCAGCACTTGGGTGACAGCCCCAAGAGAAACAAGACTGTGCTGGGCTGCAGTTAGGGCAGCTGCCTGCATTCACACCTCCCCTTTTCCTAAGAGAGCTGGTAGAGACACTAGTGGCACATCAGGAGGGTCAGCAAGTAGAGTTGAGCAGGATGGGTCCCTCTGTAGCTACAGCATCAAAAAGGCTCTGCCTATAGCCCTAGTGACTTAAAGCCATCAAGGTCAGGCTGTAGAACAGCACATGAATTGTTTTCTTTGCTAAAAGCCCCATAAAAGTGAGTGCACTAAAACCCCAGTGCTCCCACTGAGCTATGCCAACACCACAGCTGCTTTGCACAATGCAGCACAAATCGACTTGTATCTCTTCTAAGCTTGTGTGATTTTTGCATCCCTGTCCCCTCCAGCTGGCCCAGGCTGTATGTGACCTCTGCCAGGGTAGCTGCAGCCCCCTTGCAGAGAATCTGGTGGCAGAGTTCAGGCCCTTGTACCACTTGCAGGGTCCTTAGTAATGTTCCAGGTGGACATCACTTACGATTTTCCACCTTACATCACAAAGATCAAACCAGGACCAGGAGTCTTAAACCAGGAAGAGTTTCCTTCATCTGCCACTAGACCTGGGCTGTTGGATTTTCTGAAGCCCCCAAACAGTTCAAAATGCTCAGGCTATGGTAACATTTGTTCTTTGGGTGATCAGAGGCATGACAGAATCAGTTGAGGCAAATCTACCTCCCGCCTTGTACAGAAGCCACAGCTGCTCAGTCAGCATCTAAAAACTACCTGAATTTCAGCAGCTCTGGACAGGATACAGGGCACGCTTCAAGTCTTTGGTCACCAGGAGTCAGGAGAGCTAGGCTGTGAGCCAAGTGAAACTGTGCTAGAGGACAGAAGGAAGCTGTAAACAGGCCAGCTTGCTTTAACTCATGAGCAAGACATTTAGAAGAGGAAAAAGATACTGCTGTGGTGGGTTTACTTTCTCTGGATTCCAGGTGCCTACCATGCTGCTCTGTCACTCACCTCCTCAGCAGGGCAGGGGGGAAGAAAAGAAGATGGGAAAACCCCTCATATATCAAGATAAAAGGGAGTTTGGTAAAGCAAAAGCAAAGGTCATGTGCAGAAGCAAAGGAAAACAAGAGATCTGATCGTCTACTTCCCACCAACAGGCCATGTCTGGCCACTTCCTGGGACACAGGGCAGTTGCTCCAGAAGACACACATCATAAATAACCAATGCTCCTCCTTTCTCTTAGCTTTGATTGCTGAGCAGACATCATAGGGTATGGAATATCCCTTTGGTTAGCTGGGGTCTGCTGTTCTGGCTATGCCCTTCCCCAGGATCTTGTCTACCCCCAGGCTATTGGTGAGGGGGAATGTTGGAGAGGCAGCCTTGATGCTGTGCTAGCACTCCTCAGCTGTAGCCAAAACACTGCTGTTATCAACACCCTCCTAGCTACCAACACACAGTACTATGAGAGCTGCTATGGGGAAGTTAACTCCATCTCAGCCAGACCCATTACAACTACCCTCACAGACTCATAGGTGTGTTCCAAATGGAAACACGCTCTGTCTTGTACCTCTTGCCTTCAAACCCCTCTACTTAAGTCACTTGTTGCTCTCTTAACATTTCCAGCAACCAAGGTATCAACCCCCGTAAGGTCAGCAAACAGAGTCTATTTTGTCTATTATACATATTAAAGTCTGTTTTATCACCAGAGTTCAGGGAGATGTGAGAGTCTGTCTGCAGGAGCTTCGAGATAGAATAAGTCAACCTCTAGCTGCTGGTAGTAATTACATTAGCAGTGGGATAAGCACCCAAAAGCTGTACTCACACTTGGGCAACTTCACCCAGAGCCAATTTATATCAGAAATGACAAAAGACAGACACCTACAATTATTTCCAGACAGCCCGGAGAGAGCCTGGCTTGCAGCCTGTCTAGAACGGAGACATCCAGTGTGTTACCTTTGGAAGGAGAGATGCCAGTTCTGTGGGGAAGCTGGAGCTGTTGGCACAGCTTCCCCTGCAGAGGTTTGGGATCAGACCACTTACTGATTACTGGAAGGTGCATCTGGTCAAACAGAAAGGCCTTATTCTTCTTCAGTGAAGATGAGAAGAATGATCTGTTTGAAGTTTGTCTGCAGGTGCTGCATCCCACCTGAGGATGCATCTTGATGGCTGTGACTGGTGGTGTGTCAGTACAGTTACAACCTCAAGGAAGATGATAAGCCCTACAAAAGCTCTTTATCCTTGCAGCTGCTCAAGCCTAGAAGCTTGTTAAGCTTGTTCCTTACTCCCAGGGTAGCAAAGCTGACCACCACCTTCCCACCCCAGCTTCTACTCCCTGCTTTGCTTTTCTGAAGGAGATTATAAGAGATGCCATGATACCCACAGAACACTGTCTGGTCAGAGAGCTGTACACACAGTCCTGCTAAGGTAGTGCTTATACAGCTTTGGGGACATACCACACAGCTTTTGCCACAGCCACCTCTGTCGTGCTCCTGCTGGAGATGAGGACAGGATTGCCCACCCTGGAAGCTGCCCAGCTTCTCCTCAGGCAGGTGTCCTGCTAACTGCTGCTTGAGCTAGGAAAAGCTATGTAAAGGCAGCAGTGGGTTTCTGAGTTATTGTTTTGGCCTGAGAGAGGTCAAGCCTAGCCCAAAATACTTCATCTGGAACCTACATTAGGTTGTATTCGATAGGTTTCAAACCAGGACTGCTCCTGCCCTCAGCTTTTGGGAAGCCACCCCAGAAGTGGTATGCTGAGCACCCCTTCCCCCTGGCTGAGCAACACTAAAGCCCTTCTTCAGTTGGGGTTCAGCTCTTGCGTGTTGGTCAGACATCTCAGCCAGACAGCAGGAGCTAATGGTGTCTGAGCAGCACAGCACATAATGGCCAGTCCATTTATCTCCCAGTCGCTGCGGTTCCAGTAAAACATCACTTTGTTAAATGCCTGGAGATGAAGAAAGCATCTCCAGTGCTACAGAAAAGGGAGCTTATTCTAGGCAGGGCTTATTCCCCTCCTGGAGGACCTGCTGTGCTGAAGAGTGCTACAAACCCCGTCCTTACTGCCAGCCACAGACCCCAACTGTCACTTGTGGCTCTTGGTGGAGACAGGGCAGTGCTCACCCACACTAGGACTCCATGGGGACAGCCCAAACAGGCCAAATCCCCCCCCCCCCCATTACATTTCAGAAGGTGTTTTTCAGCCTCAGTAACCATTTCCTTGCAGTCTCCCCTCCTCACACAAACACCTGACTGCTGTCCACAAGTCCCAGGGCCCGTTTTGTTCCAAGGAATTACTACTGTAATGAGACATATGAATATTCATATACGAGATTATGTGGAGTAGGTGTCGCAGGCAGAAGCCACTATTTATAAACGCCTCCTTTCTCTGGAATCACTGCGTGCAGACACTGTTCTCATGCCTGTCTCCTTCCTACGCCTTGAAGCTAAAAACCACTTATCAGAGATTTACAATAAGGCTTAACATGAGATTTCTTTCCATCATTTCTTTCTTTCCCCTGCAACCAGGGTCATTTGCATGAGAACAGCATCTTAAAGCTTTCCATCTGCTCCTTCTTTTGCACCTGTAGTTAATCTCTCTCTTTTTCATAACATATGACTCATTGGCACGGTCGCAGGAGGTGATATCTGTTTACAGGAGATCGGTTCCTAAAAGAGCCGGAATGACTCCGCCACGCAGAAGGTTTGCAACAAGACAACGCTGCTCTGTTTATCAACCCCCACACAAGAGCCTTGTCTTCTACAACACGTAGGAACGGCCCAGTCCCAGAGGCACCGGGGGGAGTTCACTTTGCAGGCAGGATCCCAACCAGCTCTGACTGATCTCTCTCCTCTCCTGCCCAGCCAGGAGCGGGTTTCCAGTTGTGCCCAAGAAGCAGACTCAGCCACCACATCTCATCACTTTCTGCTTTGCTCCTCATGGATAGCCCTGTTTCTTCACTCCACAGCTCCGGGAGGGGGGGGTCTTTGCATCCCTCAGTGTTTGTGAGGGCCAGGCCTGATGCCACATCACCCTACTGAGACACTGCTTGCTCAACCTCAGCAGCTCTTTCCTATCACTTTACAGCACTGTGTTTGGGCAGGGCCTGGGAGCTGCTGCCTGCTGAGGGGCTGCGGTGCAGACCCCCTCACGGCCACCTCTGCCACACGCCCTTACAAAAGGGCCCGGGCACAGCCAACAACAGCTCTTTACAGGATAAGCTTTACCATAAGCACAACCACCGTTAAGAAAGCGACGTCCCCTCCACAACCCGCAGGTCAGAAGCCTCTCTGGGGCTCTCCTCATCCACCTTCACCACAGCAGCAGCCCCACGGTCACGCAGCACCGCTCATGGTGGCTGTTGCTGATGCTGTGGCTCAGACCTACTCATTCCCCAGCCTCTCCGGGCTGCGGCTGGGGCAGGCCCGGAGCCCCGGGCCCCATGGCGCCGTTGCCATGGCGACGCGCTGCGGCCCACCCCGCTCACCTGCATGGCGCGGGAGAAGAAGACCCCCGCGTCCGACGCCAGCTTCTTCACGTTGAAGTCCATGGCGGCTCCGGGACCCGCCGCCGCCTTCGCCGCGCCCCCGCTGTCACCGCGGCCCCGCGCCTCCGCCCTTTATAGCCCCGATCGATGCCCTCCTCGAGCCGCGCCGCGGACTCTTAAAAGGGCTGCGTGTCACCGGAGGGGGGGGTCTCCCGGGGCTAATCCAGCCGGGCTGGCGGGCGGCACCGCGGCTGGACGGGAGAGCCGAACCGGAGCGGTCCTGATGGTGCTTGGCTTCCCCTGGGAGCGCCTCAGCGGGCGGGGGAGCGGGCTGGGGCCGCGGCCCCTTTAAGCCGAGCCTCGGTAGCGGGTGGGAGCTGTCATCCGCTGACCAATGAGCGTTGGCTCCGCCTCCCCGCCCCTTCCCCTCGCTGCTCAGCCGCACTCATCCTCGAGCTGGTCCCTGGGATGCGTTCTGATTGGCGAGCCGGCAGGCAGTTCGCCGCTCTTATTGGCTGGAGGAGCGCCGGTGGGCGGTGCTGCCCCCTCCCAGGGTAGGCTGCGGAGCGGGGGAAGGAGACGCTGCCCTTCCGCGGCCATGGCGCGCAGCGCGGGGAGAGGGCGCCGAGCGGGGCTGCGCGCCTCTCCCCCCCGCCACGGTGAGTGGTGCCGGCCGCGCTCGCTCGCTGGGGCCCATAGGGCAGCACCATCGCTGGGGAAGGGGGGTGATGGGAGAAGCGGAGACGGGGACCCCGAGAGTGGGAGTCGGGCCTGGGGGCGCACTGAGGTGCAGAGGGTACGGGAACCCGCGGGCCGCACATGTGCGGGACGCCCCGGGGTGCACAGGGCCAGGGAACTCCGGTTCGTATGGCCCGGCTCGCCTCGCCGGTGGGTTCAACACTCCCACAGTGCCCCGGCATCAGAGCCCCTGGTGCGGAGAGCTGCGAGGGGTGCCCCAGGCAGAGGCGTTTCCTCGGGTCCTTGCTCCCCATGCAGGCGTAACACCCCCCCCCCCGGGGTGTGCCTGTACCCGAGCCGCCTGCACCTCGCTGCCTTCATCTCTGCGCTGGCCAAAGCGTTGCGTTTAACCTTGTGAGGAGAACGCATCACTCGTGTGGGCCGCGGCCCCTGCCACCTTGAGACCATTTCCTAGCGTCTCCCAGATGGGGGACCTGCCTGCGGGCAGTGAGGTGAGGGCAGGCAGGAGCAGGGGGTCCTCATGCAGCTGGAACACCACGGGTGGGTTTAGCCTGTGGGTGCAGGGGAATGGATACCAGAGCCCGGTGTGGCTGCACGTGAGGTAAGAGCAGTGTGGCCTGGCAGAGAGCGGGGCCAAAGGGTTTGTGTTTAAAAGATGAGGTTTCAGTTTCTGTCGCTCTGTCAGTGATGTGAAGCATGTGCCTCTTCCCCAGCTGCACTGAGGAAACTCGGTGTTGAAACCTCTGGGGAAACACCTTTGGTGGTGGCTGTTGAGCGGGTCCATGGTGCACAGAAAACTACAAAAGCAGATTTTTGACAATGAAAACAGACCCGTGGTTATTTGTAATCTATTTATATGTATTCTCTTATAATGGTGCTGTGAACAAAATCCCTCCAACCACATGCTACCAGTTCTGGTGCATGTAGAAACCTCTGGCAGCTGTCAAGTCTGAGGCTGCTGCTGCTATAGAGCAGTGTAGGGACCTGCCCCCGTGGTTGGTAGGATAAGCAAAGCAATTGCTGCTGCTGCTGCTGCTGCTGCTGGTGAGAAGATGCTTTGGATCTGCTTGGCTTTAGTGGCACTGCTGTTACAGTGTGGTTTGTGAATTACAGTACAAGGAGCACACCTGGAGTATTGTGTGCAGTTCTGGTGTCCTCAACATAAAAAGGACATGGAACTGTTGGAACAAGTCCAGAGGAGGCCACGAGGATGATCAAGGACTGGAGCACCTCCTGTATGAAGACAGGCTGGGAAAGTTGGGGCTGTTCAGCCTGGAGAAGAGAAGCTGTATGGAGACCTCATAGCAGCCTTCCAGTATCTGAAGGGGGGCCTATAGGGATGCTGGGGAGGGACTCTTCATTAGGGACTGTAGTGATAGGACAAGGGGTAGCAGGTTAAAACTTAAACAGGGGAAGTTTAGATTGGATATAAGGAGGAAATTCTTTCCTGTTAGGGTGGTGAGGCACTGGAATGGGTTGCCCAGGGAAGCTGTGAATGCTCCATCCCTGGCAGTGTTCAAGACCAGGTTGGACAGAGTCTTGGGTGATATGGTTTAGTGTGAGGTGTCCCTGCCCATGGCAGGGGGGTTGGAACTTGATGATCTTGAGGTCCTTTCCACCCCTAACTATTCTATGATGCTGTGAGGTGCAGGCTCACTCACCTGATTTTCCCCTCTTCCTGCAGGAGGAGCATTGCTGGATGAAGGCTGAACCCAGGACTCTGAGCCAGGTGTCAGAGGAAAGTTGGATTTCTTTGTGAGCAGCTCACACAGCATCCGCAACAAGTACCCTTCCCCTTGCTGGCTCCTGGAGGTGCCAGCATCCTTGTGCAGACATGGCATTTAGAAGGACAGAGGGAATGTCCATCATCCAGGCCTTGGCCATGACTGTGGCAGAGATCCCTGTGTTTGTTTACACCACGTTTGGGCAGGTACAATAGTGGGAAAGGTTTTTCTGTCTCATTCCTTGGGTTTTCTTTGTGATAGTTGTGAGGGACAGAGGCATGACGGGGTGATGCTGGGGGACCTGGGTGGTTTGGGGGTTGGTAAGAATTGCATGGAGAATTTGGGGTGGGGGGAGATCTGCTGGTGGTGGGCTTGGAGTTGGTGGGTTTCCCGCATCCCTCCCTGGGAGAATGCATGGATTCAACCCTTCTCATCATCAAAGGCGCTAGAAAAAGACTTCTGTTTTAGAGAAGAGTAATGTATTTCCCACTTGTTGTAACACAACACTTGGAGCCATAAAGCTGAGCTACATACCAGGGTTTCAGAGCTGAATTTGGATAGCCTGGACTGCATCTCTTGCAGGCTGTGTGCAAATATGCAGTGTGTTTTGGCAATGAAGATTGAGACCAAGTTCTCCAGGCTCTGTCAAAGCGATGCTCCACAGTTTCTCCGCTTCCAAGTCTTAGTTGTGTAGCAGGGGCTGTGTTTTGCAGGTGGGAGGGGGAATGCTAAGGGTGTTTCTGTTTAAGACTGCTTTAAAAATAAACCAAGGGTGGTGGAATTGGTTTTTCATTGTTGCTCTTTCATATCTTTTGTGTTTAAAGTCTGTCTTCTCTCAGCTGCGGCTCTCTCCAGGCCTGCGTAAGGTGCTGTTTGCTACAGCTCTCGGGACGGTTGCGTTGGCTCTTGCAGCTCATCAGCTGAAGCGGCGTCGGCGTCGAAAGAAGCAGATTGCTCCAGAGAAGTGTGGCTTTAAGCCTGGCGGGATCACGGTGCCCATCTTGCCAACCAGAAGGGTCTCCTCTGTCAAGAAAGGTTGGCCTTGCAAAAAGCGAAATGCCCCCCAAAAGCCTTTTGTGAGGGAGCAAAGAGGGTGCACAGGGAGTGATGGGGGAGAGGAAAGTGAAGCCATTTATATAGTCCATCAATGCAGAATGTAATTGGAAGCCTGAAGTACAGTGCCATGAACATAGGGTTAGTGCAGGAAAGGGAGGGGCGCTGAGCTCAAAGCCCTTGCTTTGAAAGAAGCAAGACAAAAGTGGCACTGAGGTTTTCACCAAGGTTTGCAGTTTCCGTCCCCCTTCCTACAGGAAGACCGTGGACCTGTTATGCTATGTGCCCCTGACAGTAACAGCCCAGGGTACACAGTGACCTGGTTATGTATTGATCTTGGTGATGCCAACATGAGGCCTGACCCAGGGGTCCCTCGTGCAGACACGTTGGTGAGGTTGGGATGGTAGAGGGGAAGTTGGCCTGGGGTAGGCTGGGGAGTTGTGAGTGTTCATCCAGCTCTGAGGCAGCTCCTGCACCTGATTGTATTGATTTTGGGGGGGGTAAGACTGACCCAAGTCCTCAGCAAAGCACTTTTAAGTATTTGTTTTGTGAAACATGAAAATCCCTAAACAGTTTTAATAATAACCAAAGGAGGGCCATCTGTGCTCTGCCTGGCCTGGGGGAAGCTGGAGGAGTTCCTTCTTGATGCTTCCCACTTGCCTCCTGCTGTCCATGAGTGGTGAATAAACATTAATTCCTCAGCCGTGGATCCCCACTGATATCAGCTTTATTAGTGTCTCAGGGCAAAATAGAGCATGAAGTAGATCCGTGACTTATTTCTAGGTACTGGATGCTGCTTTGCCCATTCACAATCACACTTCCCAGGGCAACGTTCCCCTCCCTCTTCACAGCTGCAGTGAACTGAACCTTAAAATCCTGGTTTTATGTGACCTTTCCTTGCAGGATACTCCAGCAAGAGAGTGCAGAGTCCTGGCAGCAAGAGCAATGACACACTCAGCGGGATTTCCTCCATTGAGCCCAGCAAACATTCCAGTTCTTCCCACAGCCTCACCTCGGTAAGATGGGAGATGTGAGTTCACCTACCTGTAACAAGGGCACCAAGTCCTTGGTCTTGTGCTGGCCCAAGGATAATGCTAAGGCTCTTGGAGCAGGACAGGTTACAGCCTAATTGTAGGGTGAGTTCTGATATTAACCTTGCAGTGATTGTCTGGGGTTGCCTGCATGAAATCGGAACAGCATTTTCCCCTCCTGTGCTGGGGCTGCTCACAGGTTGCTTGGTTGTTAAAACCAAGGTAACTGCCAAAATCTGATAGCTCTGTTCAGGAAACAGTGCAGGTTGAGCACAGCCCAATCGTTCTACCTCCTCCAAAGCCAAAAGCAGCCTATAAATACAGGTAATTCAGGCATAACCAGGCAGCAGAAGCCATCACTGCTTATATCCACCTCTTGTGAGACTAGACACAGAATTGCTGGGGAGCATTTGTAGCTTTAAGACCTGTTTTATATCTATCTCCATTGCCCAAAGCCTTGTGGGCTGCTGTTGGAGCATTGGGCAGCCCAAGTGAACCTCTGCAACTTCGTGCACTGTGACTTACTGCAAACCAACCCCTTGGCATCACCTGCCTGGGCTTGGTGGCTGGTCAGCAGTGCTGTGGTAAGGAGAGGGGAAAAGCACCCCCAGGCATCGCTGGGTTTTAGCTTGTTCTCTACAGTTGAAGCAGCAGAAAGCTGCCAAACTCTGTGCTGGGCACAGTGTGTCTCCAGCAGGCGGCAGTGTCGGCCCAGCGATGAGTGTGCGCTGGAATTCTCATGGAATAACTGGGACACGATGGGACGTGTCAGTAAGCACCAAGCTGTGTCCAGCTCTGACCTCCCTCTCCCTTTGGGGGCTCTCACATCCATTTAATTCCCCTGCGGCTTCTCCCTTCCCACAGATGCCGTCCAGGATTTGTATCCTTGAAGCCGGTGTCTCTTTAGATAAAAAGCTACCTAAATACCTTTTTTGCTGCTGGTGCATGGGTGGGGATATCCACAGAGAGGGATCTGTTCCCGTATCCCCTCCGTGGTGTGGGAGCTGAGTGTCTGTGACACTGTACTCATTGCTTTCATGTTAGTTGATGGAGAAACAGCTCATCCTTCGCACAGCTGCAGTTTCTGTCTCTTCTCTGGTCTGCTTCCTGGGGTTCTTCTTTGCCATCTAATAAGTAAGTCAGCAGCAGTGAACTGATGATTTGCAGTTCTGGGTCTCGAGGTGATTTATTAACACTCCAGAGATCAACCAGTGGAGGCAGGGCAAGAAGTCATTGGTCAGATTATTGCGGTAGGTTTTTTTCTATGATCAGACTCACATTTGGACACCTTTTTCTGAGCCATATGAAAACACTGGCCATTGATGGTGTCTGAGCCCAGCACTTTATTGGGTGGGACTTTAAAAGCCATATATGAGCTAGTATGAAACTGGAGAAAGGTGACAGTTTGCTGTGTAGCTCTTAGTGCTTGGCTGTCGCAGGAGAAGCTTTGGTTACAAAGAGAAGAGTGAGGATCCCCCTGGCCAAAGCTCTCAGCTGTTCCGTTGTTTGGACTGTGGTCTCTTCCCTCCCACTTCCAGTGTTTCATGTATGGATACCAGGAGCTGCCATGAACTTTCTATCAAAATCCTTGTGCCTTTGTAGTGATTGCTTTGGAGCTTTCTGGGGCTGTCACCTCCATCAGTTCTCTCCTGCTAGTGCTGCCCACTGTACCTGGTTTCCTAATGAAGCTTCAGTGTAAATTGCTTGGGAAGGTAATTCCCACACAATTTCCGGGGCTTCCCAAGACCCTCCTGCGGTGCTGGGTGGAGAAGGGGAGAACTTCTCACCTTGCCTCCACTCTCAGCATGGTGGGGCTGTCGCAGCTGACAGCGTAGTGTGAACCCAAGCAGGAAGGGGCTGGTAGCCCTTGATACCTTCCCCTTCCCAGGGCAGGGAGAACTGGTACAGGAGAGCACAAGGACAAACTCAGGGAAGGGAGTGACTCACTGGTGGTGGTGTTTGTGTGGTCTGAACATAGCTACCCCTGGAGAGACTTCAAAAGGTGTTTGCTGCTCTCTGCTCCCTTCCTGCAGATGGCAGCAGTCAATTCCTCAAGTCCAATACCAGCATCAGCAGGGATGTGGGAGGCCCAGGTGATGGGAGATGCTGGAGCCATTGGTGATTCCAGTGCAGAAAGCCTCTACATTCAAGGTAAACAGGCACAAGGGTAGCATTACCCTGGGGAGGGATGTTTATCACTGTCATTCAAAAAGAGCGTGCAAATTGACACAGAGCATCAGCAGCTCTCTAATGGGAAGCTCTATCCTATTCTGAGCTTAAACTCCATCACTTGTTAGGTACAAAAATCCCGTCTTCTCCTAAAGAAATGTTTCTCTTTTCTCAGGGAATAATTTACTTCCAAAATACTGTTCTTGAGCAACAGGATCGCCTTGTGCAGAGAACAGTACTTTAAAAGTAACATGGCTGATGTTTTAACCAGTTTGGGGATGTTCTTAAATACGGTTTAATTTGGATTAGCAGTTAAAAGGGAAAGAAATAGAATACATTTATTCTTTCTTATCAGCTGGGGAGAACTTCCCTCTTCACTGTATTGTCTAAATGAGCAAACACTCATGCTGTATTGCTTTGGCCTCAGAGGGCCTGAGGCTCATATAGCTTGTTTTTGGTTGCATTGCCAGGCATGGAGCTGTTTGAGGAGGCCCTGCAGAAGTGGGAACAGGCACTGACCATCAGGCAGAGGGACAGTATTAGTACCAGCACTCCTGTGCCCTGGGACAGCAAGAAACAGCAAGAGAGCATATCTGAGAACATCTCAGAGGTAGGTCTCCACTATTCCCTTGCTGGGCAGCATGCTGAATGGCAGCCTCTGTGCTGGAAGCAGTAAGTTAGTAGGAGGCTAAAGAAGAGCAAATTAAGGGCAGAGCTGGGCCAGACTCTGTTTAAGACCTGTCTGTAGCTGCAGCTTCTTTATGCAACGGGAGTGGGTGTTTTTAATGTCTTTTTAATAAGTCTCGCCCCCTCATTCCCCAGCTTTTTCTACCCACCCTCCAGCATGGTGTCAGTCACTGTCAGGCAAGTCCTCCAGCAGCAGAGGCTGCGGTAGGAAAGGCTGTAACTATACAGCATCCGAGAGGAGGGAATAGCTTTTGTGTGACAGTGTTGTGTCTGCGACTTCTGAATGCATTTGAAAGCAGAGATCATGATGGTAGCTATCACTTGCTAGAGAGCTGGGTGGAGAATAAGAGGCCAGCTGGCTGCATGAGTAAGGCAAAGTGGGAACTCAGAAGGAGTTAAGTAAGCAGGAGGGGTAGGGAGATGTGTAACTTGTTCAGCTACAGCTATGAACCCCAGTATTTTAGGACAGCACCTTCTATGCAGGGAAGACCTCTGATAAGAGGAGATCCAAACTAGAATGGCTTACTGACAACCATGAGGCTCAAAAGAGCAGCTGTAGCTCAGGACTGTGAAAGGAGTTAAACTCCCAACTCTCCAGGAGTTCTCACTGGCAAAAAGAGTTCCTGGTGTAGGAAGCATGCAAGATATTTGTCTTTTGTCCTGGATAATATTTACCTAAGTCAAATCTGGATTCTCTTGTTATTGTCCCTCTTTGAAGAGTCCTATATAGTATTTCTAAAGCTGATTCGAAACCAGTTGGTTCATTATCAAAATAGATTTCATGCTTGTTATAGATTTCATTTCTTGTTAATGCTTCTGTCATCTGGGTGCGATACTCATGCAGACACAGGGCCATGAAGGCAAGTCTTATTTTTCTCCTTTTTCTTCATTATCCTCCTGTGCTGCTTACAGCCAAGTTTGCTTATGCCCAGCATCTTAATCCAAGGACTCTTAGTCAGTTGTCCAGTCCTAGATCCTCTCTTGTATTCAACACAGCTTTTCTGGCGCAATTCCCTCTTGAAATTAGGCTAAAATCACAAATCATGGGAGCTCAGTGATACATAACCCGTTAAAATACCTGTTATTCTGGATGGCAGGTTAAAGTTCTCAAGTTCTTTCTTCCTTTTTTTAACAGGATAATAGAATTGCAAAGCTAAAAAGCCAGATGGTTTGAATAGGCTGTGTAGAAACTTCCCTCCGCTTGCGTTATTAGCTGCACTGTAGGATTAAGGAGTCCTCTCTCTTGTTTCTTTCTTTGTTTTTTCAATCATTTAATCTGCAAACTGCAAATCCCATTTTCCTGAAAACTTCCTCCCATGTCTGTGCTGTCTGTTTGTCTCTGCCCTGGCTAACTAAGGGTGGCTTTTATGTGTGTTCAAGGAGGAGTCCCAGAAAAGGGAATTTGCCGAGAAGCTGGAGTCCCTCTTGCACCGAGCCTACCATCTCCAGGAAGAGTTTGGGTCTTCACTTCCATCAGACAGCATGCTGCTGGACCTGGGTATGGGAGCTGAGTTGGAAATGCGTGGAAGGGGCAGTTTCCATCTGGATGTATGGCTTTTCTGTAAGCTAGGCAATGTAAGCTAGGCAATGTAAGCTAGGCAATGTAAGCTAGGCAATGTAAGCTAGGCAATGTAAGCTAGACAAAGGGCTCTTTGTGGGGTGGGGGAGAGGGACAGCACAGGAGCTAAGAGGAATGATAATTCATAACCTCCAACACATGCAGCTTCTTCCTTTCGTTCAGAAAAGACTTTAATGCTTCCATTGACGGATGGGTCACTGCGGCTACGGACAGATGATGAAGACAGCTCAACCTCGGAGGACTCCTTCTTCTCTGCAGCAGAGGTGACTTAAGTTTCAGCTGTGTCACAGCCCAGCTACTTGGAGGGGAGCCACAAAGGAGCCAAACACCTCTTGGTAGAGGAAAATAGTAAAACATGGAGCAGCAGCCCCAAGCTGGGAGGTTCTTGATGGATGTTAGAAAAAGCCTTTTTTTAATCAGGGACGTGGTGCAGCCCTTTCCAATTGGCATTTCCATGTCATCTTCCTATCTATTGTAGAAAGCCTGCCATAACAGTCAGGGAAGTACTGTAAATGTAATGTAATGTGGCTTGGTTACCTAAAATTTAGGGGATATTGAGCTGTCAGAGCTGGGACAGCTTTGAAACTGGTGGGAAAAGAAGTATCTCTGCATGAAATAATTGGCAGTGATGCAGGCTTGCTGGCTGAGGAAGGCACATCGCGCGTGTGTGCGGTCTCTATGTGCAAACGTTAATGAGATCATTTTGTTCTTCCTGTGTCTCTTGCCACCTCTACAGCTCTTTGACTCTCTCCACTTTGAGGAAATGCCATTCCACCTCTCTAAGCCAGTAGCAGCATATGAAGAAGCTTTGCAGTTAGTGAAAGAAGGGAAAGTTGCGTGCCGGACGCTGAGGTGAACACAGCTGGAGTTGTGGGTGTTTTTGTCGAGGCTCCTTTGAGTAGTGTGAATACATAATTTGCCTCTGAGCAGCCCTTTAACCAGAATAACCCTGTGTGGTCAGAAACTCAGCATCCTTCCTGCTCATTCAGACTTCCCAGGGAAGTAGCCCCAGATTTTAGGACACAGGTTCAGAAAGGGTAATTGTCCCAGGAAATTAGCAATGGGAGATGGGACTGTTGTGGGAGGCTGGTAGGCAGAGTCCTGTGCTGTAACTCTCTTTGCAGAGGTGCTCTGGTCCCCCAGGGAGCTGTACAAAGGGAATGTTGTTACTTTCTCCTAGGCACAGACTGGGGGTTTACTTTTTGTTCTGGGGACTGTAGTTGATACGAACACAGACATCAGGAGAGCTGGAATTTATGCAGTCCTTCCCCTTTTCCTCTAGGACGGAGCTCCTTGGCTGCTACAGTGACCAGGATTTCCTAGCAAAGCTGCACTGTGTCAGGCAGGCCTTCCAGGTGAGAATGGCTCCTGGGTTCCTGCAGCATGCTGTTGTCAGCAGTGTGGTCTCCTCCACCAGCACAGGGCTGAAGGCTTTGCCTCTCTAAAGCAAATCAAAGCAGCAGCCTAAGCTTCCCTTGCTTAATTCTGCAAGGGAATTAAGCAATCCCATCCTGAGCAATTTGATTTGGAGAGCGGTGGTTATGTAGCTGCTGATGCTGATTTAGTTCTGGGAATCAAAGATTTAGGAATTTCAGAGCTGCCCAGAAGCTGGTGCTCTCACTTAAGAGATTTTCACTGGGCTGCAGTCAAACCTCTGAGGTGGGGGAGGATGGTTTCTGTCTCCTTACCACAATCCTTTTCCTGGTAATGTATGCCTAGAGCCTGAAGAGCAACTTTTGCACCCTGGCCCCACTGTCAGGCTGTGGCCCCTGTGCTTCCCTTTTTGCCTCTTCCAGTCTTTCAGCCTGATTTTTTAACTCACTTCCTGGAGACAGCAGGGCTTTTTTTTTTCTACACTCCAGCTTATTAAAGGTTGATGATACGGTGTCTGCAGCATTCACTGCTTCGTGTCTTGTCCTTTCTTGATCCCAGCTCAGAATTCATGTAGGTGTATGTGCTCACAGGAGATTTTTTATGTTCCCTTTGCAGGAGCTGCTGGAGGATGAAAGCAATCAATTGTTTTTTGGGGAGGTTGGGAAACAAATGGTGATAGGACTGATGACAAAAGCTGAGAAGGTAAGAAGTTTGTATAACAACTAAGCTGTGTTGTGAGCACGGAGACACTTGTTCCTCCATCCCAACCAGAGTTTGAACAGTGTGTTGGAAAAAGAAAACTTGGATCTGTGTGCTGGTGACTAGTGATAAATACCTGTGCTTTTAATCTTGTTTAACCAAGTTCTCTGGAAAGAGCTGTTCTGTGCATCTCCTATCCAGAGTTTGATGCTGTGCCTCACTGGAGAGGATACGGTGTGTGCATCCTACACACACAATCGCAGCATCTCAAGCGATAGTGGAAAGGGAAGAGATAGTAAAACCTTTGCCTCAGTGATGTAGCAGTTCAGATCGCTGGCTTAGTCACTTGGTCACCCCCTGAACAGGGAGATTGTTGCTTGCACAGCATTAGTCCCTTAGTGGCTCAGTTTGCATATAGGTGACAGGTCTTTAGCTACTAGAAAGTGGAGCAATGTAGGTGTGTAGGTGCTTTGAGGCACAGCTGAGCCTGGGGCCATCAACACCTCCTAGAAATAAATGATCTCTTTCTGCATGAAGAGTGTTTTGGCTAAAAGCTTTATGAAGTCACATGCATTTATGTTGGTGTAAGCTCAGAGTAGACAAACTTTGGTGCCTGCATAGCTGTTGTACCTTCTGAAGTGTTTTGTTTCTCTGCTCTCCCAGAATCCCAAAGCTTTTCTGGAAAGCTACGAGGAAATGCTGCATTATGCACTGAAGCAAGAGACCTGGCCGACCACTCAGCTGGAGCTGGAGGGAAGAGGGGTTGGTAAAAGACATTATCTCTACCAACTTGCAGAGGAGTTGGAAGATAATGGATGTGTACGAGCAGCCCAGGAGTGAAAGTACTGCTGCTGAAATACTATTACATTGTGTACTTCGTCTCATTGCATTTTGTTACTTCAAACCAAAAGAGTAAAGTCCATTTCTTTTCTTTAAGCCTGTTCCCTTTACAGACTGTTCTGCTCTCTGACAGGTGGTGTGCATGAGTTTCTTTGATATTGTGCTGGACTTTATCCTCATGGATGCTTTTGAGGATCTGGAGAACCCGCCCTCCTCCGTGCTGGCTGTGCTGCGCAACCGCTGGCTCTCCGACAGCTTCAAGGAGACAGTGAGTAAATGGGGAGTTAAACTTGTGCTGAGTGTGAGATTACAGGGCCAAGGCTGGGAAAGAGTAGAACCTCAGCTGTCCTGGCTGAGCTGAATTCTCTCTTTAGAAATAGCAGCCTTTCCTGAAGCTCTAAACAACAATCATCTGGTACAGGTAAATTGTTTACAGGAAAGCTTTCCCTGTTTTGAAAGCTCCAACAGATTTACTTCTCTAATGGCCTTTATCAGTGATGCTAAATGATGACAATGCGTGTTCTCATGAATGAAAATGAGAAGCTCAGAATGTAGGGAAAAACATGTGTGGTTTTGTGCACTTGGCCATTCATTCTGGTGGTACCTCAGCAGCTCCTGTGGCTCCAGTGGCAGTGCTTTCCACTAGTCCTGGCCCCTAGCTGGGTATTTAAGACTGATTAGTTTCATAGAGTGGTTGGGAGGCACCTTTCAACAGCTGTCTGCTTCCAGTCTGCATGCTGGGGGGTGCTTGGTAACCAGATCAGGTCATACTTTGGCTTTTCTGGAAGGGATTTGGAGTGGTTAAATCTGCTTGGTTGAGATGGTCTCTCTCGGTTAATCATAGGCTCTAGCAACTGCCTGCTGGTCAGTTCTGAAAGCAAAAAGGAGGCTTCTGATGGTAAGTAAAACTAAAAGGGAAAAAATCTAATGTATTTGAAGCTGCAAGCACCCAACTCTTGACAAAATACAAAACCACAGTGATGTAAGACTGACTCACATTCTCTGTGATGCTTTAGAGCGCTGGGGTCCTGCTGTTCTTGCTCCAGTATTGCCATACCAGTATTTTACTGAATCAGCCAGAGTTTATTCTCCCTTTTTCTTAATGTGAGGATTCAAAAGACAACATTTCGTGTCTGGTATTCCCTCTCCCTGCTCACAATACCATAGGAATGGTCACAGGCTCCAAGCAACAAGGTGCTGGAATGAATGGCTCCTGCACTTCTCTGCTTCTCAGCACTGATTGCTGAGTAGCTATTACTTGATGCATTTCCCTTAAATCTGTGGCTTTCTGAAGTTTCACAGCAGATGAGTTCATGGACCTGTGGAACAGGAAGCTGCAACTTCACAACCTCAGTTCTGCCACAGGGTCTGTGGCCTCTGGCAAGTTTTCAACTCCTATCCCACAGCCAGCTGGTACAAGGAGGTTTGCCTGATGAGGTGGTACAAACTGAAATGAGAGCGTTGAGAGTTGTATTGCTGCTACCATGCAGTAGCTCTGTCTTGGATATTTGCATGCCCTTTCCTGGCTTGGTCCAGATTTTCTTCTGTTTGTTTTCCTCCTGTAATAGTAGTTTAGCAACATGAAGACAGAAAGTTCTAGTCATTGTTCAAGGGATCTGAAAGATAAATGTAATCCTGCAGGAAGAGATGTTCTTAAGTAGCTCTTCAGTTATTGCAGTGTGGTGCTTTCTGGCAGGGAATTTGGTAGCTGGTATGGAATAAGCTGCTAATTCTGAGCATGAAGAATTCTTCCTTTCCTTGTGACAGGTACCAGATGGTTTTATCTCTCATTTCTACTCCGTATCGGAGCATGTCAGTCCTGTTCTAGCCTTTGGTTTTCTGGGGCCCAAGCAGCAGCTATCTGAAGTCTGCAGTTTCTTCAAGGTAAGGTGGTTTTTTTTGTACCTAATTTTGTTGTGGGACTCCTGCTGTCTCCTGTCTTAAGGCTGCAGATGTGTGCTTTTGGTGACTGATTTGGCATTAGAGAAACTTGGCTCTGTACAAAAGCCTTCTCAAAATCACTTTTTTTGAGATGCAGATCACTGAATTTGGATTGGTAAGAATCCCACAGCACAATTTGCCATAACTGGTAGCAAAAATGTGAGGTTATAGAATCACAGATTGGTTTTAGTTGGAAAGGACCTTTAAAGCTGATCCAGTTCCAACCCCTGCCACAGGCAGGGACACCTTCCACTAGAGCAGCTTGCTCCAAGCCCCGTCCAGCCTGGCCTTGAACACTGCCAGGGATTGGGCAGCCACAGCTTCTCTGGGCACCCTGTGCCAGCGCCTCAGCACGCTCACAGGGAAGAGCTTCTTCCTAATACCTAATCTAAAGTTCCTGTCTTTCATCTTAAAGCCATTCCCCCTTGTCCTACCTCTTCAAAACTGTCAAAAAGTTCCTCTCCAGATTTCTTGTAGGCACTGTTTAGGTATTGGAAGACTGCTTTAAGGTCTGCCCGAGCCTTCTCTTCTCCAGGCTGAATGACTCCAGCTCTCTCAGCCTGTTCTCTATAGGAGAGGGGCTGCAGACCTCTGAGCATCTTCATGGCCTCCTCTGGACTTGGTCTAACAGGCCCATGCTCTTCTTATGCTGGGTGCCCCAGAGCTTGTGTTGGCAGGTGGGGGGAGATCTCCTTACTGTAAACCTTCCTTTGCCTTTGCAGCACCAGATAGTACAATACCTAAAGGACATGTTTGATTTGGACAACGTGAGATACACAACAGTGCAGTCGCTGGCAGAAGACATTCTGCAGCTCTCACGGCGGCGCAGTGAGATCCTCTTGGGATATCTGGGCACTGAGACTTCCCCGGAGATGAACGGCATGCTTCCTGGTGAAAATGAGCCGCTGAAGGAGCTCATCTGATCTGTCAGGGGAGGAAAACAGTTTTGTACAAGGACCTTTCTCCTTCCAGAGATGGATAAAACTACCTGCAACGTGCTGTGGTGGCAGTGAGACTTCACACGCAGCAACCTGGTGGGACCTTCTGCTTTGTGTAGCCGGTAGTGTTTGCTGGGATGGATCCAGGACCACTTGCCAGCTTATGGTTTGAATTTCTTGTTTTGTTCCACCATTCTGTTCTTGTTATTTTTAATGTGTCATATGAACCATGCCTGGGCCCAGGTTTTTGCACAATTCCCTTGGCTAGGGACAACATACACGCACCCATTCACCCGTGTGTTCTCTGGGAGGTAACCCCTGATGTTTACGGTTGTGTGTGGGAGCAGGAACATCATTGGTAAATTCTGCACTTGACCATTAGCTTCTTGAAGAGGCTTTGTTTGCTTTGGGGTTTTAATTATTGTTCTTCTCTGCTGTGTTGCTACAGACATTACTGCTGATTTTTACCTTTAGGTGTTTTAATACATGCAATGTGACTAGCAAAGGTTTCTTTCCCGAGGAGGAAGAAATACTTCTGTAAAGCGCTGAAGTAAAATGCAGACTTCTGTAACCAGTCTGAAGCTCTAAGGAAGTTGGTCTGTTCCCTCGATGTTGCTGCTGTTTTCAGGCCAGATGACAGGCTCTGTGCCATGGTCATCCACCCTTAGGAGATTGCTGAGGTCTATGTTTGCCCCTAAGGCAAGATATTGTGAGAAAGGGGTGGATTTGCATCCTGCCTGTGCATGCACAAAGTCTTTAATGTCTGTCAAAGTGCCTTGCTGCATTTCAGTATGAGCCATTAGCAGGTTTTGCTAGGTAGGAGGTGTGGGGTGTACACAAGCAGAGGGAATTGATGTACTGTGCTGCTTATTCCTTCATGCACAACGTAGTAAGAGGTGTAGATGGTGGATGTGATGTACAAAAGGGGTTATGTGTGCAGGCAGCTGGAGAGCTGGGATCAAGCTGGTGGAGAGGAAATGACTCATGATAGTCTGTCAGTCCTAAGAAACATAGCATGGTTTTGGGTATAGATCAGATGCATGTGTATGTGTGCCCTTGTAATGCTGAGACAGGCTCTTCTCAAATGATGTGATCCTGCCTGCATAGCCAGCACCTGAAACCTGGCTGCTCTGGGACATGTGCTGAGTTGGATGCTAGCATAGGATAGCACTAGTGTTGCATGCTGGACTTGAAGAGTCCTGGCTTGTGTGAGGTTTGTGGTGATTGACTGAGTCCTCTCTGAATGCAGTACTGTGGATGAAGGTCGAAGGTCCAGCCTGTGCTTTCTCCTGGTTTAATCCACAGACAGCTCCAAGTCCCAGCCTCAGAACAAGGAGGTATTCAGGGAGAAGAAAATGAGGACTTTCACAAAAACATGGGCTTCACTGTTTATTCTCCAGACCTGATTAGTTATCCCTTCTGTCTGTTCTAGGTAAAAGGCATAAGTGTTATCTAGCCATTCTTTGTAAGGGGGACCAGAAAATGTAAGCATCTGGAGATTCCATGTGAGTGGAAAGTCAGTGCATGGGCTTGGAGAACACAAATGTCTTCTTTCTTCCTTCTAGGATATCTAATGTGGATTCTGCTGGTAAAAGCAGGAAGGAAATAAGCAGGGAAAAATTAAACAGGAGGATGTCAAAAGAGTAGATAAATGCTTCTGAGATGCTTGCAAGAGGGTAAGTGTAGAGTACGTAACATCTGTTGCTTTATAAGCGCACCAGCCTGATGTGGCTTATCCTGAAGACCGAATTAATGCTGTAAACAAGACAGTGCTGAAGCAGAGGTGAGGAGCAGCTGACCCAAGTGAGGCTGCATGAAATAAGCTATTATGAGGAGGCTTTAAGAGGCAGCAATTGAATCTAGGAGAGGTCTCTGAGGTGTTTTGCTACTGGCAGCATGATGTGAGAGAAGGAACAGTGGATGTTGTATTAGCATGACACACCTGCTCTGTGTAAATGTGATTCAAAAATGTGTTATATTATAAAAGCAAGTTACTTGTGGGGGGGGAGTTTATAGTACTTTATGTTCTTATGTGGCTGGTTTAGAAGAACGAGTAACTTCAGCAGCTTTGTATAATGGTTAAAAAGATGCTAAAATGTGAAGGTTAATGTAATAATACAGATTGTAATTCTAAAGAATCAATGCTGTTAATTTCTCATTTTTAGAGTTGTTTTATGTGTATTTATTTGCTACTTTGAGTGTCTTTTGGCCTCAGTGCATGAGGCAGCATGTTGTGTGCAGGTCTTTTCACACTGTGGTGGGAAAATGGCAGTGAAACAGCGTCCCATGAAGCAACACTAACTTGCACTGCGGCTTTTTAAGCTAAGAAACTGTAAATTCCCAATCAATTAAATGGAAGAAAGGTGTTTTTTTTTACAGCTTTATGCTTTTCCTTAGCTCTTATTGCAAATAGAGTACCCTGCCCTCCCAGCGAAGGTAAAGAGGAGTCTTCCCTGAGAACCTCTGCAGCTTCTTGAGTGTATGTCTGCAGAGACAAACTGATTTTCTCTTTACAGGGGAGGATGGGAGGATGTTAAACTCTGCATGCCCTGCCCTGTCCCTGCTATTTCATTGCTGCTCTTTCTCCCTTCCTAATCCCTGTGTAGCCTGAGAAGAAAGGTGTTTGCAGCCTCCTGAAGGATACTGTTGAGATCAGTGCGGTCAGAGGAGCTGTTCCTATGAAAGAGGCTCTCCCTGACCTGAGGGGTGGTGATCAGTGACCTGCTGCCTTCAGCTCCTTTGGATGCAACCCTGAGCAGAGACTTGGGCTGCTTCCACTGATCCCAGCAAGAGCAGGGCTTGGCCCAACTGGCAACCACATACTCAGGTTTGCAGGATAGAGTCAAAGGTGATGACCTCCTGCCCCCTGGCTTTGTAAGAGATCACAAGGAAATCTTCTTCTCCCCAGCATATTCTGTTTAGCAAAGGCAATTCTTCAGTATTAGTAGCAGATGAGATAGGCATTCAGGTAGAATCTCTAGAGATAAGCATTTACCTTTTTTTATAATGAACCCTTATTCTCAAGGAGTTAAATCATGCTGGGCTGACACTTGCACGATTTTATCACTGGGGATTTGAAGTGGCTTTGCAGCTATGAAATAAAATCCTTTGGTAGTTTCTGATGCTTCAACAGACCTTCAGATATGCATGATTTTTTTGTTTTTTATGTGGGGGTTGTAACAAGGTTCACCAGTGGTTAAAGTACATCCTCAGTACTTTAGCGTGTATGTAGAGACTGCACCAAATGGCTCTAGGAGGGTCCTTATGATCCTTAAAGCACAAATACATTAATAAATAAGAGGAAAAATCTGCCTTGTTATCTACAGGACTAAAATGGCTTTGAAGAGCAGGACTTGTGCTGTCTCATATAAGGAGGCGGGAAAGCAGGATGTCATCCCTCTTCAGTAGAACATTCCTTTGCTGTATCTGAAACTAATGAATGTAAACTCGTGCCTATTTTTGCTTGATTTCCTAAAGGTGTACAAATCTCTTGTTTTGCCTCTTCCTTTTTTCTTTGCAGCTATTTTTTTAAAATACTTTAATCTTAGGCTGTGGGCATTCCATGTCAAATAAAACTTTCCTTCATTGAGTGTGGCCTTTGTTTCTAAATTCCCTGGCGAAACTTGCTAGAACCTCATTCTCTGGTTGCTGATGTAGGTGACAGTTGTGTGACATTTCTGGTGTTAGTGATGGTATGAAACAAGGCTCGCTTTTCCTGGAGTCAGACTGCTAAAAGTAGGTTTTCTTGGTCTATGGGGTTTGTTTGCATGGGGACTTTTGCTGCTTCTAGCAAAGACAAGTCTGTGGATGAAGCAGGTTCTAAACCAAGACAATTCATTGCATGTTGAGCAGTGGTTGAAAGCTGGGCTTTCATTTCTGAGCTGTTTCTGGCTCCATGGTGGTTTGGTTGTGTTTGGGTGTGATGTGGGCAGGCCAGCAGGCTCTGATAAAGTGGTAACAGAAATCCCAGCGAGGAGCAGAATCTCTTCAACACTGTCCAAGTTCTTGTAGCATTCTTACCAGCCTCCTAAACGGTGTGAAAGAAACCCAGCTAAAGCCTGTGGGTTGGTATCAGAGGTGCCCATCTGCTAAGCAACGCAGGAAACTCATCTCAATCATAGCGTGTTTAAATACTTTCCTTTCCGAGTGGTGCAGAAACCAGACTGAAGCAGGCAAGCTCCTTGCTTCCACAGTGATTAAGATTCCATCCATACACTTAATACAAGCCAGCCCCGGTTAGCGTTAATGCAAGTCTGTCATGAACTGGGATATATGCAAATAAAACCTTCATGAATAGGAAGGTTTCTGTCTTGTGCCACACCCTGAACGTTGGTTGGAAGAGTTAAAAGGAGTTTGTCTCGGTTTCCATGGTGTCAGACTGTATATTCATTCCATCTCCTACAGCAGCTTTGTGCTTTCTTATGCTGAAGGAACAGAGCAAAGGCTGTGCTGTGTATTGACACTTTCTTCTTCTGTTCAGGAAGGAGTGGGTGAATATAGCAATGAAGCCCACAATTTTCAGTACTTGTCATGGTACATAGATCAAATGTAATCCACTCTGCCAGCATAACTCTATATTCAATAGCTTGGGAAGGAGGAGATTTATTTAACTCGACTATGAAAGCAGCAAATCACTCATGCTACCTCGCAGCAGCCTTCTGCAACGAGCTTGACTTCTGCAGTAAATATTTGCTCTTTCTCTCCAAATAATAAGACTTTATTGCTATTTTAATTCCTGCAAGGGGGGGAAATGTGTCAGCTTTGAAGAACCTGTTGGAATTAATGGGACGTAATCATCATTGCTATCTAAAATAAGGTATTTCACAACTGCAGGAAAAGGAGTTTTCTCCCTGTTTGGGTGAACGTGTTGGGGGATAGAAACCCTTCCCTGACATACACACAAATTAAAGGCACCCCCTTGCCTATGTTTATCACTTGTGCTGCTCTTGCATATTATTCTGACAGGAAAACCCCATAAGTTTTACGTTATAAGACAATTTGATGTGCTCATGTAAAGATGGCTTTGCCTTCTGCAACCTTTCCTGTGTGATGCTGCTCCTGGGTCTCGCTTGTGGAGTGCTGCAGTTTGTTCTGGTGGTTTGGGCTCCGCAGGTAAGTATTACCCTCTGGGGTCACACTGATTTCAATTTGGTCTTCAAAGCAGCTGATTGCAGTGCTCAAAGTTAGTTGGAGAGGGGATGAAAGGTTATTACCTTTAGACCAGGTGGTGCCTGGTCTTTGTAATGCCTTTTGAAGGGTGCACGTTGTTTTCTGCCAGGGCTTTACTTCAGGAGTTTCACATGTGCACGTCCGCTGGTCCTTCACTGAGCTATAAAGGAGATGTGGCTATTAAAAGAAGGATAAAAAAGGGCATTTTCAATTTTGGAGAGGTTATAAATTGAAAATCATCACCTGTGTGTTGAGCTAAGAAATGGGCTTAAGCTGTGCAAGAATCCAGTGCTGCGGTAACACCGTTTATAAGATGAAGGATTCCCTCCAACCAACACCCTTTAAAGGGTGACAGGACACAAGGGGATTTTTTGTCACTGACAGCGGGTGAAGGGGATGAAGCAGCTCCTCCAGCACCAGCCCCACACGGCCCCTCCCATGGCGGGCACCACACGGCAGCAGCCGGGTGAGGAGGGCTCGTCAGGGCGCTGCTGCCCCTGGGCCCGGCCCGGCCCGGGGCTGTGGGGGCACCGGGCGCCATTGGACCCCTCACCAAGCCCCTGCCTCAGCCACGGCGGCGGCGCGGCTGACTGGTCGAGAACTGGCGGCAAGGGAAGCTGTTCATTGGCTGATCTGCATCACTCCTTTCGCCAATGATTTAGGGCAATGACACCCGCCTTTCTTCCGATTGGCTTTTCCGCCCCCTGCGCCCTCCTCCTATTGGACACCGATGTTAGCGGCTTATTGGTTTTGCCGCTCCCCGGGCTGGGTTTTTAATTGGGTGGCTATGGGTTGGCCGGCGCCTCACCTGCCGCGCAGCGTCATTGGCCAGCCGCTCTCCGCGCTCCCGCCCATTGGTCTCACCGCCCCTTAAGTACGTTCTGATTGGTCGCCGTGGCCCGGCCCGGTATCCGGGTAAGATGGCCGCAGTCGGTGAGTGCTCGCTGCCCGCTCCGTGGCGGCCGGTCTCCCTCACTCACGTCGAGTATCCCGCAGGTAAAGCTCCGCTTCACCCCAACCCCGCTGCCCGCCGCTCCGCTGCCCGCGGCGGGGCCCCTCCCGCCGCCCCACGGCACCCCTGAGGGCCGGGATGGCAGCTGCGAAATAGTGAGCCATTGAGCTGCCGGCCGGAGGCGGCGGGGCGCGCGTGCGCCGGAGCGCGCTGCCACATAGTGAGCCGCCGTTTGGGGATGGGGGGGAACGGGACGGGACTGGGCGCTGCGCATGCGCCTGCCTCGGAGGGTACCGAGCCCCAGCTGGTGAAGGGGTCCGGGGGGGCGGCCCTGTCCCGGAGCCGTGGGGACCCCCCCTCTATGCCGCCCTCCACTCCCCACACCACGGCTTCACACCCTCCGCGGCCCCCCCCGGACGTGGGAGGCTGCCCCTGGGCCTCGAGATGTGGGTCCCACCTGGGGCATCCCGCACCCCATAGCAGCATGGTGGGGCGGGTGTCCCCCTCCTCGCCCCGCTGTTGGGTGTGTGGGTGATGGTGGAGGTTTGAGGTGGTGTGTTAGGGCTCCGGTGTGTCCCTGGCGTGATGGGGACTCTGCCTCTTGAGGTGGGCCTGGCTGCCGGGCAGGGTATGGTGGAGTGAGTCCAGAGGAGGACATGAGGGTGATGAGGGGCTGGAGCAGCTCCTGTATGGAGACAGGCTGAGAACACTGGGGCTGTTCAGCCTGGAGAAGGGAAGGCTGCGTGGAGACCTCAGAGCAGCTTCCAGTGCCTGAAGAGGGGCTCTTCATCAGGGACTGTAGTGGTAGGACAAGGGGTGGTGGGCTTAAACTCAAGCAGGAGAGATCTAGTTTAGCTCTTAGGCAGAAGCTCTTCCCTGTGAGGGTGCTGAGGCGCTGGCACAGGGTGCCCAGAGAAGCTGTGGCTGCCCCATCCCTGGCAGTGTTCAAGTGCAGGTTGGACACAGGGGCTCGGAGCAAGCTGCTCTAGTGGAAGGTGTCCCAGCCCGTGGCAGGGGTTGGAACTGGATGATCTTAA